AACTGAATAGTAATCTTTGTGGGCGCGGAGAAAGACTTGTCCCAAACTTGGTTTATATCAGTCTGTCGGGAAAATAATGTGGATTTGTCGCAAAAAACGTCTCTGGACGCCTATCTTTGAATTGTCATCTTTATGGGTGCAGAGGAAGACTTGACCCAAAACTTGGTTCATGTCAGTCTGTCGGGAAAATAACGTGGATTTGTCGAAGAAAAGTCTCTCTTAACGTCTAAAATCAATTGTCATATCGCGATCGGCGCTGCGAAATTGTGGGCGCAGGGGAAGACTTGACTCAAAATTGAGTTTATATCAGCCTGTCGGGAAAATAATGTGGATTTGTTGCAGAAAAATTTCTGACCTCACCTCATTATTTTCCCAACAGACCAACCGTCGTATAAATTTTTTCCTAGGCCAATACTCAAAAAAGTATTACAAGACCATTGCGTCATGTTCCATTCTCCCAGAACACACTTCCTTTTTGCATTCTATTCCCAGTGTTCATGACCAGAATCCCATTCAAAACTGGACCCATAACCTTCACCTGCGTCATCCAACCTTTCACCCAAACATTCGCGATCGCCCCGATCACTACGGTAGGCTGCCCAATTGCGTAAGCCCATCAACTACCGGAATTTTTCGCCCCGAATTTCCGCGAGACCTACGTGTTTTTTGTTTCGTTCTGTGACGTCAAATGCTTAAGGCCGGCCCCAACTTTTTTCGTTTTTTTTTCCTTCCTTCTCGCCGCTTTTTTCCGCCCCGTTCTTCTCGGCCTTAAGGCGTCGGGGAGGGCGAGAGAGAAGAGGGGAGAAGAAGGGGGGACTCACTCTCCCACTTTTCAATGCCCCATTTGTCAGATTGCACTTGTAAGTGGGGAAATTGCATATAGCCAAGACAAACAGTAATTGCTGTTTGTCTTGGCGGAATTTTGATTACAGGCACTTGTATGTTATTGTATAGGTTAATCGTCTCTTCAAACGAAATTTTGAGTATGTTTATGAAGGAAAATGTATTTTTTTTTGAAATGCACTTTTATTTTTTTTACATTTTTTCGTCATTGTAGAGTGAAAACTGATATTTTTTATTGAAAATTTTAGAAAAAAATAAATTTTTTTTTTCATTTTTTTGGCCAAGACCAAAACACACATTTTTCGCCGTAATTTTCTATCTTTTTTTAAACTTTTTGTCCTCAGACCCTAATTTAAAATTAAAATAGAAGAAAACTTCACAAATCCCCTTCAACTTTACACCTTCATTACGTCACAGCCCCATTTAAATCGCTTTAAACTGCTGTAAAATACCGCTTAACTTGGTTGTTGTAATTTTCAAATAGCAAAAATTGGATTTTTTTAACTATTTTTTGTTTGTAAAATAAAAAAAAATTAAGGAAAAAAGTGCTTTTTTGCTCTGATCTCCGGGCCTTTTCTCTATATATTTATTTGTCATGTGATGACGTTGTTGTGTTATATTTCTTGAGATGTTTGCCCAAAAAACATTTATCGCTTTTCAGGGTTCATTTGACCATTTATTGGCTTGAGAATTTCATGGAGTTTGAGCTTTTGAATTTCACAAAAATTGGCCAAATCTATGGCCAAATGCTTTTTTCATGATATCTTGGATTTTTTGGTTTAAATTTTGCAGAAATTTCACAGCAAATTTAAATCGGAAAATCTCCAAAAAGAAACATTTTTTCCACTAAAAAATCAGTTATTTTCCGAGGCGATGCTATGGATAGGGAAGGCTAGGAGAAGGCTTAGTTAATAGAAATAATAAGATTTATCGGGTCCTAGCTTATCACCTATTTTGAGGTATTTTGCATGCACTCACATCTTCTTTTTGCAACTCAGGGTAAAAAAAGTAACGTTAGTAATAGCTAAAATTAGAAAAAGGGGGCATATTGCAAGCCTTCGCCAAGTCTCCGCCGAGCCTTCTCAGAGCGTCCAGTGCTTTGTCAGGGTTCGCAGGCACTTCCTACAACTTTTTTTGGGGTATCCACCTGCCCTACTTGGGTTTATCTCAGTCTGTATTGATTGATTTTGTGTTGACCCGAACTGTCATCGACCCGAAAAGCCGGGACGCGAAATTCAAAAAACTTGATTTGTGGCCAAGAAAGGGCTAAAATCAACATGAAAATATGAAAAAATCGAAAAAAAAATATTTTTTGTTTTTTGAATTTTGGCTTTCCAATGTCACTTTTACTCCTCTCCTAAAAAATCCACTTTCACCACATAAATTCCAATATAACAGTTTCAATGAAAAACAAAAAAAAACTTTTTTTTTCGGCTGCTCCCTGATAATTCTTCCTCCTTTTTAGCCCTCTCAAAAATGCTGCAGATTACGTCACGACTCGGGGAGGGCTTGGAAAAGAAAATTTCACTGCCAAAACGTCGAGAGCGAAGAGAAAATTTCGGTTTTTTGGGGGGAGAAAGACGTGTTCCTTTCGTCCGTTCTGGGAACCAAGATTTCGAGGGCCGCTTTTGGGGTTTGAGAGGGGATTTGCGAGCGGATAAATGGGATTTTAATTGACGAATCCGGGGGATTTATGTCGGTTATGCCCAAGTATTTTGTTGGATTTTCATGTGGGGCCGTGTGGGTCCAGTTTTGGTGGTTTTTTGGGGGAAAAAATTGGATTTTTTAAGAAAAAAAAATTTTTTTTTCATTTTTTTTGAAAAATTTTGACTTTTTAAGGGCTTAAAAAGTATTGTAATATATTAAATTTGGTCATAAAATCTCTGTAAAACCGTTTTTTTTAATTTTTCGGCCAAAAAATTTTTTTTCAAAATTTCAAAATTTTTTTTTGCGGCAATCACAAAACTGAAGAAAAAAGGTATTTTCCATATTTTCTACGGTAAATAAGTCTGCAGAACAGTGACATATAAGTTATCGCTTATTATTTTAAATTTTTTTCCTATTTTTGGGCTTTTTTAATTACATAAGTGGCGTGTTTCCGCATTTTTTCCTTCCATTTCTTTTCATTTTTCTCTCAAAATCTTTCCTTTCAAAAGAACATCTCCGAATATTGTCTCGTATTTTTCACCCCTCCTTCAACGCACCCAAGGAAATCTTTTTTTCAAATTACATCACTTTTTAGCCCATAATCGACATAAGGGCAGCGATAAGAGGGGTTTTACGAAAACTTCCGGCCTACTTTTTGTTTTTTGAGTTTGCTTATAAAATATTGTGCAGTTGGTTATGTTTGGGGCAAAAAAATTTTTTTGTTGGCTTTTGATGAAAATTGGAAAAAAATTGGATTCGATTTTTGAAGATTTTTTTGAAATTTTTTAGTGATTTTTCGGTCGAAAATTTTTAAAAAAATTGAATTTTTGCGACATTTTTCGTATTTTTAAATATTTTTTTTGCGTTTTTTTTTCATAAAAATCTACATCTCTATTTCTATTGTCAATGATAATATTTCCACGAAAAATATATTTTTTTTCTTCAAAACCGGCAAAGATATGGCCAAAAAGTGTTGTCTCTGGCCGCTCTCCGCATTTTGCATACTCTCTCGACCCTCAAAGATCGTTGAATATCTCGGCTCTTCTTGCCAAGGGAAAACTAAGATTTTCAGTGATTGATACATGACCTATATACATTATGCCCGCTATATTACATTTTCAAAAAATTTTGCCTCAAGCAATAATTTATTTTTTTTGAAAAAATCATTTTTTCAATATTTTCCCCTAAAAAAATCGTTTTTTACAAAAGCGCCGGTATTTTTATCACCCCAAAATCCCACCCCCTGCTCATTAGTATGTAGTAGACGAGTCGGAAAAGAAAATTTTTTCCGGATTGACGTAAACTTGTGGGTCGTTTTCCCCGCACTCCGAAAATAAATAATGGGATCATTTGTGCTGCTAAATTTAGTATTTTGCATGGTATTTTGAGGGCCATTTTAGGGCCGCGAAATGACGATTTGAGGGGGTATTAGCGTGCTCTCAAGTGCCGACTCAAGATTTATTATTTTTTTTTAGAACGTTGCGTTTTACCATAATATCAGTCACCGTTGATCTTTTGGGGAGAAATTTTAGGGTCTTGGCGGGATTTAGGACAAACAGGAATCAAAATTTCTTAATCTATGGTCTAGGCGACATTTTATACGATGAATTGTATTTTTTGGTGATTCTTTTAAAATGGGATTTTTTGAATAATTTTTTATTTTTTCAAATATTTTATCGAAATTTGGAAAGAATCAAGATATTTTTGGAACCAAAATTTCTTAATCTATGGTCTAGGCGACATTTTATACGATGAATTGTAATTTTTGGTGATTTTTTTAAAATCGGATTTTTTGAAATTTTTTTATTTTTTCAAATATTTTATCGAAATTTGGAAAAAATCAAGATATTTTAGGAATCAAAATTTCTTAATCAATGGTCTAGGCGACATTTTATACGGTGAATTGTGATTTTTGGTGATTTTTTTAAAATCGGATTCTTTGAATAATTTATTTTATTTTTCAAATATTTTATCGACATTTGGAAAAAATCAAGATATTTTTTGGAGTTTTTTTGTGATTTTTTTAATTTTTTTTTTATTTTTTATTTTTTTTGATTTTTTCCACGGAAATATCAAAAAGCCCGCAGAATTTTATTTATGAATTATTTCGTATAGCATCAGCTAAAAAACTTATTTTTATATCGTATTCTGACATAAACTTATTTTCCATTCATATTTTTCGGGTCATTTTGCGTACAAACTATCGCATCACTTCCTTTTATATTTTTCTCCCCCCGCAAACTCCCACTGTCAAAAAACGAAAAAAAACTCTAAGTAAATGCCCGTTTCTGCCTGTTATTTTTATACCAATACATCTTGGATTACGGTAGAATTTTACAAAAATTTTGATAAAACAAAACGTACCGTTTATAATGAAAACTTTGGGGTTGGAATTGAGGAACATAATAAAAATTGTTTTTTTTTTATTTTTTGCTTTTTTGCGTGTGAAATATGTGCTAATTTATGCCCCCGTAATTCCTTATTAATCTCCCTTTTTCCAGGTGGTAAACATGAATGGCGTGGCGAGCACTTCCGCCGCACTTCAGCCTCCCATGGAACACCCTGAGAACGACGAGTCAAGGTAGGAAAAAAATAAAAAAAAAGTTTTTTTTAAAAAATTAAATTTTTAAAGATTTAAAAAAGAATTTTTTTTGAAAGATAAAATAAGATTTTCAAATTCCATCAATAAGGTTTTTAGGCCAAAAAATCGATTTTTTATTATTTTTTCGAGTCAAGGTGGGAAAAAAAATAAAAAACAATTATTTTTAAAAACTTTATTTTTAAAAATTAAAAAAAAAAATTTTTTGAAAGATAAAATAAGATTTTCAAATTCCATCAATGAGGTTTTTAGGCCAAAAAAATCGATTTTTTTTTATTTTTTCGAGTCAAGGTAGGAAAAAAATAAAAAAATATTTTAAAAAAATTAATTGAAAAAAATTAAAAAAAAAAAAAAAAAGAAAGATAAAATATGAGTTTCAAATTCAATTAATAAGATTTTTAGGCCAAAAAGTCGATTTTTTTATTATTTTTTTTAATTTTAAAAAACAATTTTTTCTCCTAAAAAATCAAAAAAATACTAACAATTTTTTTTTATTTTTTTTTGACTATATCTGCTCATATTTTCGTATCTCATTTTTAATTTTTTTTTCACTAATTTCCCCTCACTTTTCAGCCCAACCCCAACGCGTTCCTCCCAAACAATCACCGGATTTCCCCCAATCCGGCCAACCCACTTCCAACGCCCGAATCAACTGGTCGATTCGACCAGACCCTTCCAAAACTCCAACTTGCCTCCATTGCCTCAGACGAAGCCCGCCGAATCGTCGCCGAAGCCGGCGACGCCGAAAATTGGCCCATACGATGTGGAAAAGACGATCGGAAAAGGCAATCATGCAGTTGTAAAAAAGGCCAGACATAAGGTCACTAAAACTGAGGTAAGATTTTTATCTTTTTTTGATTTTTTATTTGAAAAATCTAGGTGACATTTTATACGAAAATTTTTGAATTTTTCAAAAAAAAAATTCATCAGGGTGACATTTTATACGATGAATTTTGAATTATTCGATTTATTTATTTTTTGGTTTTTAGACTAAAAAACGGTCGAAAAAGCGATAATTTTTTATCAGAATTTGTGAAAATCCGTCAGGGTGACATTTTATACGATGATTTTTGAATTTTTCTATTTATTTATTTTTTGATTTTTACCCTGAAAAACGGTCGATAAAACGATAATTTTCAATAAAATTTTTTTTTAAATTTATCAGGGTGACATTTTATACGAAAATTTTTTAATTTTTCAATTTTTTTATTTTTTGGTTTATACCCTGAAAAACGGTCGATAAAGCGATAATTTTCAATCAAAATTTTTTAAAATTCATTAGGGTGACATTTTATACGAAATTTTTTTAATTTTTCAGTTTATTTATTTTTTGGTTTTTACTCTGAAAAACGGTCGAAAAAGCGATAATTTTTTATCAAAATTTTTGAAAATCCATCAGGGTGACATTTTATACGATGATTTTGAATATTTCGAGTTTTCCAAAAATTGATACTTTTTGATACTTTTGCCTCAAAAATGCATTACTTTTAGCTAACAAAAATATTTTTTAGACCTTCTAAAAGAAATTTTCGCGGTCTAACCTATAAAAGAAGATAAAAAAAATTTTTTCAGGTAGCCATAAAAATCATCGACAAAAGGCGATTGGACCCGGAAAATGTCAAGAAAATCGAAAGAGAAGTAAAAGTTTTGCAAAGGATAAGACATCCGCATATCATCAAGCTTTATCAAGTGAGTTTTAAAAAAATTTTTTTTTGATTTTTTTGATTTTGTAAAAATTTTAAAGATCTTTAAAAATTATTTTTAATTAATTTTAATTAATTAAAAATGAGTTTTATCGGTTGTTTCACCGATTAATTGCGCCCATTTTCGTCCGCAGACTTTGTTTTTAATCCCAATTCAAGACGTCATACGGGGCCGTGAAGAGACGGAGAATTAGCTAATGAGGTCACTAATCCGAGCGTTCCTCTAGGCAGTTTTGCGTCATCCGAAAAATGAGGGATTTACATGTTTTATAAAAAGGCTGGCGAGAAGGTTTTTGGAATACCGTAGGTCGGAAAATTCGAAAAAATGATGTTAATGAAGAAAATAATAGAGAAAAATTTTTGATATAAATAATAAAAAAATAAAAATGAAAAAGAAAAAATAATATTCAAAAATTTGTATAACTTTAAATTTTGTAAAAAAGCTAAATTTTTAAGCAAAATAATTAAAAAAAATAAAAAAAAATAAAAAAAAAATTTTTTAAAAAAATAAAAAAAATTTTAAAAATTATAAAAATTTGCATAAAATAAAAAATCTCTTTTCAGGTAATCGACACTCCTTCAATTTTGTATTTGATCACCGAATACGCCCCAAACGGAGAGATTTATGACATGGTGCATAATAATAAACGGCTAACGGAAGACGAAGCTCGTCACAAGTTTTGGCAAATCATCTCGGCCGTCGAATATCTGCATAAAAATGGGATTGTTCACAGGGATTTGAAAGTAAGTTGGAATTTTGATTTTACTGGGGAAAAAATTAAAAAAAATTAAACATTTTTTTGGATTTTTCTTTTATTTTTTGAGGACTTAAAATTTAAAAAAAGAATATTAATTTTTCGCTTGTTTTAATTTTTTTCCTATTTTTACAACATTTAAAAAAATATTTTTTTGAATTTTTTTACAATTTTTTTTTGATTTTTTGGATACTAAAAAAATAAAAAAAATATTATTTTTCTGATTTTTTAAATTTTTTCATTTTCTATTTTTCCAAAATTAAAAAAAATTAAACATTTTTTGGATTTTTTTTTATTTTTTAGTATCAAAAATTAAAAAAATATATTAATTTTTTGCTTGTTTTAATTTTTTTTTCCTATTTTTACAACATTTAAAAAATTGAAAAATTTTTTAGAATTTATTTTTTTGATTTTTTTAATATTTAAAAAATAAAAAAATATTATTTTTCTGATTTTTTCATTTTCTATTTTTCCAAAATTAAAAAATTTTTTAAATATAAAAAATCCCACCAGGCCATTTTTGTCCTTTGTTTGTCCCTAAATGTTTGGTCTACCGGAATGTTGCAAAAAATGTTTTGAAAAACGTCGGAAATTGGTCTTTCTCCTTTCGCTGATGACGCAGGGAAAGGGCGAGAGTTTGCAAAGGGAAATGCAATAAACCGAACCCAAAATAGGCTACGGTAAATTAACAAAGAAATGATTCAATTTTGAAATTTTTGAGATTTGAAAATTTTGAAAAAAAAATAAAAAAAAATAAAAAAAATTTTTTTTTTGTAAAATACGTTGATTAATTTTTTTTTATTTTTTTTTATTTTTTCAGGCGGAAAATCTGCTACTGGACTCGAATCACGATATTAAGCTGGCTGATTTTGGATTCAGCAATTTTTATGAGAAGGAGAACACTTTGGATACGTTTTGTGGCTCTCCACCGTACGCAGCGCCCGAAATCTTTGAGGGGAAACTGTATACGGGGCCTGAAATTGATGTCTGGGTAAGTTAAATCACTTTGTTCCAAAAAAATAAAAATTTTTTTTTTCATTTTTTTGAAAAAAAATTTTTTTTTTCCGCCAAAAAATCAAAAAAAAGTTAAAATTTTTTTGGATTGCAAAGCGTCACTTAACTTTTTTTTAACCCTTTGAACCCAAAATTTATCTATTTCCCTCTTTTTTCCCTCTAATTTTGCCATTTTCAGAGTCTCGGCGTGGTCCTGTACGTCCTGGTCTCCGGCGTCCTTCCCTTCGAAGGGATCAACCTGCAAGCCCTGAGGGATCGAGTCCTCTCGGGCCGGATTCGCATCCCCTTCTTCATGTCCACGGAATGCGAGCAGCTGATCCGGCGGATGCTCACGATCAACCCCACGAAACGCCCGACCATCGACCAGATCAAGCGCCACAAATGGATGAAGTTCGAGGAGTTTGAGCCGCGCTACAACGTCGCCAAGTACCTGACCATCGACTCGAAGGAGCCGCATCCGCAAGTCATGAAGATCATCCAGAACATGGGCCTGAATATGGAGACGGTGGAGAACTCGCTGAGGACCGAGGCCTACGACAACTACCATGGCGTCTATTTGCTGCTGTTGGAGAGGCTACGCGAAAGTTCGCTGAAACTGCATCAACTCCAAATGTACGAGCAACAGAAGCAGAGTCAGAAGCGCATTCAGGAGGTGCAGAATCGCCGGCGACAAAGCGACGCGCCCCCACAGCCACGGCCCTTGTTGAAGGGGCTTCGCGAACATTCCACCTTTCAGACCACCGACTGCAGTGATGTGGCGCCAGAGGCTGTTGAATCCGCCGAAGAGGCGAAACAGACAAAAGTTGTGGAGAAACCGCTAGCAGCGACAACTCAGGCGACTGTGAAACCAATCAATGTGTCAACAACCACAATTACAACAACTTTAACCACAGTCCAGCCGAGTACAACCTCATCGGGGCATGGGACGAGCGATGAGAATGATCGCTGCTCCACCCTGTCTCGTCAGTCGACCATTGGCACTATTGGCTCGATTGATGAAGGCGTTGAGAGTGATACGAACGGGTCCAGTCAAAGTCGCGCCACCTTCTCATCACGAGAACTTGACAACGAAGGCTCGGGAAACTCCCTGCTAACTTTCGACCCAAACTCCGTGGAGAACCCGGATTTAATGTCGAGCTTAAGCCTCAACTCTTGCCCATCCAACGCCGAAGCCAGCCAGAACCTACGGCCCGCCAACCTGCCTCCCTGTTGCGTTAAAGCGTTGGCCGAAGAGCGCCAACTCCAACAGAACCCCGCAACCGCCACCAATTCCACGGAGACCTCACCGTGCGCCTCGCCCCAACGCCGCTGCTTCGGCGAGGGCTGGCGAGCGTCGGACAACGCGATGTTCGACTCGCTGACGCAGCCCTTCCCCACCGGCGAGCTGGGCCAAAAGTCGAAGGGCGTCCAGGACGTCTCGCGACCGACCGCCTCGCATTTGGCGGACAAGATGCGAAAAATGCGGCTGACCGGGCCCGCCAACGTCGCCGGGATTGCGGTGGGCGGTGGAGCGAAGATGGCGGCCGCTGTGCATCATCATCATGTCCATCCGCATCGACATGTCATGCTGGGCGGTGTGCCGAAGCGCATCTCGTTGCCGGAGAACCTGGAGTTCCAACCGCAAATGCTGCTGAACTTGAAGCAAGCGATTCACGTGGAAAAACAGTTGGGTGCCGAGAAGAGCGACACCAACAAAGTGCTGAAGGTGCGGATGGCGCAACAACAGCAGAAGAGGCTGACCAAAGCCAGGATGCAAATGTTCCGGCAACAGGTAAGGAGATGGATTTTTGACGGGAAATTTTTGGGGTTCAGGTCCGTCCGCAAAGTCGTTGGGGTGATTTCTGCGACTTGCACTGTGCAGAAAACCACAAATTGCACAGTGCAGTGTGAACTTGTGTTTTGCACAGTGCATGTCTCCGGACTGAAGCGATTTTTTGCACTGTGCAGAAAAGCTCAGGGTGCGAACGACAGCCCAAAAAAAGCCTATTGCACTGTGCAAAGTCAACTTTTGTTTTTGCACAGTGCATGTCGCCGGACAGAAGCGATTTTTTGCACTGTGCAGAGAAACTCAGGGTGCGAGCGACAGCCCAAAAAACGTCTGTTGCACGGTGCAAAAAACAAGCAATTGCACAGTGCAAAGTGAAGTTTTGTTTTCGCACAGTGCATGTCTCCGGACTGAAGCGATTTTTTGCACTGTGCAGACAGATTCAGGGTGCGAGCGACAGCCCAAAAAAAGGCGATCGCACGGTTAAAAAAGGCCACAAATCGCACAGCGCAGAATGAGCGTTTCTTTTCGCACAGTGCGTGTCGCCGGACAGAAGCTATTTTTTGCACTGTGCAGAAAAGCTCAGGGTGCAAGCGACAGCCCAAAAAACGTCTGTTGCACGGTGCAAAAAACAAGAAATTGCACCGTGCAAAGTCAACTTTTGTTTTTGCACAGTGCATGTCGCCGAACAGAAGCGATTTTTTGCACTGTGCAGAAAAACTCAGGGTGCGAGCGACAGCCCAAAAAATAGACGATCGCACGGTGCAAAGAGCAAAAATTGCACCGTGCAAGGTGAACTTTTGTTTTTGCACAGTGCATGTCGCCGGACAGAAGCGATTTTTTGCACTGTGCGGAAAAACTCAGGGTGCGAGCGACTGCCCAAAAAAAGGCGATCGCACGGTGCAAAGAGCAAAAATTGCACCGTGCAAGGTGAACTTTTGTTTTTGCACAGTGCATGTCGCCAAAATCACTCCAGCGACGTTGCGAACGGACTACGACCCCGTTATCGCCCTTTTTGGACACTCATTGTCCCTCAAATCTTTACATTCCTCATTTCCAGAACCTGCAGAGCTACCAGAAACAGGTCGCGTTGCCGGGCCCGTCGCTGATGAGTCGGCTCAGCGAAGAGCCGCCCTCCTCGGCGCCGCTCTCGCCCATCGAGGATCTCAAACACGAAGATGCCATGGACACATCGTAGAGTTGCCATTTGCTCGTCTACAACGTATCTCATCCCTCTGTTATCCGCTTGTTTTTTCTCTCTAAATTTAATTTTATTTTACTCCATTCTACACTCTACATATTCTGAAAGTTTTGTCGATTAGCAGCAAATTCCCAGCCGAGTAACCATATTCGAACGCCCGATGAAAATGTTCTAGTCATTTATGCATATTACTCATTGAATTAGGGTCTGCACGCACTGGTAACTGTAGTTTTGTTCCGCTTATTGTCGTACGAAGATACTTTACATTTGTCGTTTTTAACGGGTTCCGCAATCATTATTGTAAAACAACTTTGATCTTATGAGAAAAAAAAAATAAAAAATTGTTGTAATTGTAAAGATTATGGTAGTTGCAAAGTAATAAATATCGAATAACTTTGGGTTTGATTGATTTTTTTGTATTCGTAAACACTTGAAAATATCCAAACATTATTGATGCGAGAATACCTCAAAACAGGTGAGAAGCTATCCTTGGAATCAATAGGTCTTATAAATTCCATAAAATAGGCCTTCTCTTAGCCTCCACAATGCACACAACGACGAACAGACGCGATCCATCGACCCAAACTGTCGCTGACCCTAAAAGTTGTAACGCCGAAGACACTTCTCATACAGTGGCGGACCTGATCCATTGGCCAAAAACGTAAAATTTTGCATCCGGGAAGTGTCAAAAATGTGGCAAAATGCTATTCTCCAAGTGAAAAAACTCCGATTTCAAGAGCGCGCCCGCTCTTTTTGTGAGGAAAAATGCGCGCAATTCAAAACGGAGTTCTTTTTGTAGTTGGAAAGGGATGCATTTTGCCACATTTTTGATACTTCCTGGATGCAAAATGGCACGTTTTTTGCGATTGGATCAGGTCCTTCATTGGACATTTATGTCTTACAATTAGAAAGGATTGGTCTACATCTCCGCCAAGTTTAATAAAAAATCTGAGCGTCGCACTAGGAGTACTTCCAAGAAAAAAAGAGGATCGTCGGAGACCCCATTTCTCTCAAGGGATCACTTGCTTTTGAGTGGTCTCTCGTCTGTAAAAAAAGCTGATTTTTAGGTCGAAAAGGCGAGAAACATCTTCATATTATCTACAATATTTACTGCGTTTTTTTCAACCATCTGACACTTGTGTATTCCAGTAAATTTGTTTTACTGATCTGAACTCGTTACGCAACGTAAAGCCCTTCAACCGTCGCAAATCCAGCCCGCTCTCATTTGACATTACTTTTTTCGCTGTACAGTTATTGAAACAGCAAAAGGGAAGAGCCGGTAAGACCGTGGGAAAGAATGGAAAAAGTAATACTTTTTACTTTTTTCGGATCGGGCTTTTCATTGGAAGGGGGTTTGGACGCTGCTGTATAACTGATCAAAATTTGTGGTGTTACAAGGCCCTTAAACTTTCGGTTCAACGAATGGCTGTGGGAGGCTTTGATTTTAACCTGAAGCTAACAGGGGAAGTGAACGAACAAACTTTCTGGACGAAAGTTACTTGGGGTACTTCCGTTGTAAGCGTGGCTGCAATCCTGGCCGCAAGCCAGGCTGAAATTTTCAAGCCCGGCCCGGGCCTGCAAAGTTTTGAATGCCCCGCCAGACTGGCCCGGGTAAAACTACTGTGCAATTTATCGACAAGGGAAGTGTTCGAAGGGCGACGCTCAGATTTTCTTTAAATTTTGCACACACGTCGGGTATGGACTAAATATCAATTCATGAAAGTTTTAGCGTGCGCTTTTCAGGCGTCGCCGAGATATTGAAAGATCTTTGCCGCCGAGAGAGTACGCTTAACACGGAGAGCGGACAGAGGGAAAAACATGTTTTGGCCATAACTTTGCTTGTTTCCTGCGGAAAAATTTGATTTTTTGTGGAAACATTGCTCTATACGATAGAAATAGGCATAAAACTTTTCGAGCCGAAATTCGGCAAAAAGTCCTAAATTTTGGCCGACTTTCGATATAAAAATCTCGGTTGGTTCTGCAAAGCGCGAGCTAGGATTCTCGCATATATCTTAGGAAAAATTATTCTAAATTTGTGCCAAGTTTCATCAAAATCTGAGCGTCGCACTTGGGGTTTTTCTGGACTTTCGTCCAGAAAGTTTGTTCGTTTTCTTCATTGCTTTGTTTTACAACGTTTTCTTGTTGTTTGCCAAAGGGTATACACTTGTTTTATACAACTTTTTCTCCTCTACAAAACTGTGTGTTTAATTTTTTTGAAAATTTCATTTTTCATAATTTTTCGGGCTCAGAAAGTTTCTAATACTTGGTGTAAGTGCGACGCTCAGACTTTTTTCTTCCCTCGTAATCCATGTCCATTTAACTAGGCTAAAAATTTCATTTTGATACAATATCATCTTTCTCCAAGCTCATTGTTTTAATCTCCATTGCAAGTCACCCCCAACCCTCCATCAAAGCTTTATTTACCCTGCGCCATGACTCAAGATCAGCCAGCTTTCATCACTTGCCCCAAACGAATTAATCCAGTCCATCCGAATCAAGCCGCTGAGGATCCATTTCCGCTAAAAATAACCTCACGCATTGTACATATTTTCGTACGCATAAACACAACCCCTTGCGGGCGTCGCGCGCGCGCGGTCAAGATTGTTTGCCCGGCGAGGTGAATGGGAAGCGACGTAATGTTCCATTCAACAGGCGAGGGCAATACAAAAGCAATACGAACAAAACTTTTTTTTGTATTGTTTTCTTTTCGCCTCGCGGCGGTTAATTAGGCTGTATATTATAGGTTAGCCGGCGGAGTGCAGGGGCTGCGGTGAGAGGGGGATTTTGGGCGGATTTTTTCGGATTTTGAGGTTTTGAGGTACAGGTTGTTTCAAGAAATTTTGTACAAATTTGTTGGTTATATCTTAGTGCTCTTTGCAGCTATCCAAGAAGTTTAAGTCGTATTTAGAATTTGAAGTTTTGAGTTTTTAGAAAATGCAAAAGAATTTTGTCTTGTCTCGGCGGAGAGACCATTTTTCGGCGGAGACATTTGATGCCTTTTTTTTAAATTACACCTCGTTACAAAGCCCAGGCTTCTCTGTTACGGATGAAATTAGGCTTGCCACATCTGGCAGTACGTAATCTGTTAGTCTCGGCAGCTTGGCGGATGTTTCACATATCGGCGAAGGATCGGCGGAGACCATGCAAAATAAAAAGGCTGTTTTTTGTATCAGTCCGTTCGTCAAGTCGCTGTAGAAAGCTTGATGAAATCCGGAAAGAAGCTTCCAAGCCCGGCCCTTACTTGGAATATTTTAAAAGCCCGGCTCGGTCAACCCGTGTAAAATTTCTTGTACAGTTTATCGAATTGTGAAAAACGTCCTAGCCGGATTTTTTGGATGCCAAGTAACTCTTGGAATTCTACTTTGCTTTTTCTGCAGGAAGATACACATTTTTTGATCTTTTTGATTTTCGCAATTTTTGAGTGATTTTCCTCGAATTTCGCCTTTCTTTTGAGAATTCTCGATTTCTTTGTAATAAAACCGGGAAGGCCCTGAAAATCAAAGCCCGGGGCCGGAAAAAATTTCGCTGCGATAAATCCTCGTTATTTTCCCGACAGGCTTTTATCAGTATGTCGGGAAAATAATGAGCACAATGTCGCTGCGCCAATCGCGTCGCTGAAGTGAAAAGCAATATGGTGTTGTCGCAACATAATTCATTTTTTCAATTTTTTAAGCGATTTTGGATGCGACAGACAGCTCATTATTTTCTAGACGGACTTGATGATATTACTTGTTTGTTTTGTACCTCAAAAAATTCACATGTTACTGTACAATTTTCAGGATGCCAACAGCCTTTACAACTACAAGAACGCGGTCGTAGATCAACTAATATTGAATGTAATCAATAATAAGATGAGCGTTATTACCGAATGGCACAGCTCCAAAAATTCGACGGCTCCCCATGTTTTCAATGGAGTCCTACTCGTCTTCACAATGTTGGCGTTGTGTGTGGCTTGGGTTGCAATCTGCGTTGTGATTTTCCGATACTTGAAGAAAATCTGTCAGTTGAGGAGAGAGCGAAGCCAGGAGGTAAATATCAGCTGCTGAATACAGCATGCTGATATGTGGAGTTATAGGGGTTATAGGGCTGTATATGTACAGATGCGGACCTGATCCAGTGGCAAAAACCGTAGCATTTTGGATCCGGGAAGTATCAAAAATGCAGCAAAATACCTCCCTCTCCAAGTGAAAAAACTCCAATTTCAAAAGCGCGCCAGCTCTTTTTGCGAGGGAAAAGGCGTGCTTTTCAAAACGGAGTTTTTTTTTATTGTAGTGGGAGGCATTTTGCCACATTTTTGATACTTCCCGGATGCAAAATTATACGTTTTTGCCAATGGATCAGGTCCCTCACTGTAGTAAACGTGTCATACGCCTTACAAGTCATTGAAACTGTCCGTTTTAGGAAGTGGTGAATGCGGCGTTGCGAGCGTTGGCACAGACACGTGCAGTAAGTTCGGGGCAGTTGATATCGCCGTCGCAGTGTCATTACTACCAAAGTCAGGTAAGAAAAGCGCTGCGAATTTTTCAAAGGTCCAAAGGAATAATGACAATTTTTTTGCTACCTGTCGGGAAAATAATGTGGATTCTTTGCGCCCACCATCCTTTTGCGATGGCTACGGCCGAAGGTTTGGTGCGCGATTAAAAAAAAAGAGATTTTTTTCCGCGACAAATCCACATTATTTTCCCGACAGACTGGTACACAGTTAAACCTTTGTACAGCGAATTGCAAGGGACCAAAAAATTTGTTTGTTATAGAAAGGTTTTATTGTACGGATTATGGGCTAAGTGCAAGGTAAAATTAACCCATACAGCCTTCGATATATGCAGAGATTTCGCTGTACGGGAGTTTCTCGTATATGGGTTTCACTGTATCAGTCTGTCGGGAAAATAATGAGCACTCTGTCGCGTCGAAAATCGCATCGCCAATGACAAAACAAATCATGTCATGGCAAAATCAAATCGCTTTTCACTTCAGCGACACGATCGGTGCAGCGACATTGTGCTCATTATTTTCTCGACAGACTGATACAGTGAAACCTCTGTAAAACGAAACTTCGTTACAACGAAACCATAGCGAGCAGCTTTGAAGGCTCCATGTGTAAATTTTACCTAAAGCAGGCCATAAGTTTTTCCATCGCACTAAACAAGCCCTTGAAGGACTTTCATTTTGCCCTAAACCCCCAATTTTAGCCAATTCCGTACGCGGACCTGCCCAGCTACGCCGAAGCCTTGCACTTGCCTCCTCCGCCCATGGGTCGCCCTAAAGATGAGGAACGAGCATCGTCAGCGTCAACAAATTCATCAACTCCATCCAGTCGTTCTTCAGCCCCACCCACGTATGAGTTGGCCACATCCCGGTTCTAAAACAATCTCGACCAAAAATTGCCATCTAATATGGAATATGTACGCATCGTATATCAAGATTTCTAGTCTTTCAGTTGTTGAATTTTGCAATAAAAGTTTCTTATTGCTTGGGCTTTTAATAACTTTTATGCAGTAGTAAAATTCAACGTGATTTTTTTATGCAGTGGGGGACCTGGTTCAGTGGCAAAAAACGTACCATTTTGCATCCGGGAAGTATCAAAAATGCGGCTAAATGCTTCCCTCTCCAAGTGAAAAAAGCTTCGTTTTCAAGGGAGCGCCCTTTTTCTGACAAAAAGAGAGAAGGGAACGCCTTTGAAAACGAAGTTCTTTCACTTGGAGAAGGAAGCATTTTGCCATATTTTTGATACTTCCCGGATGTAAAATGGTACGTTTTTTGCCACTGGGTCCCCCGTTCTAAAAAACCTCCAAAATTCGGTTCAAATTGTTTCGTGAATAAGAAATTCCGAAAAGTTTTATCAAACGAACAAACAAATTGGATGTTTCAAGATCAAGTGACCCGAGAACACGAGGCAGTCACGTTGGCTGGACTTTTTTTTTGGCCTTATCAAACGGTCTTTTTCCTGCTTTTCTAGTGTCAGTGTAATATTTTGTGTATAATAAAGAGCTTTTCACTACAAAGCAAACCTTAAATTTTCGTTATAAGTATTTTTTGCCCTCGGGAATTGTGTTTTCTAATATTTTTTTCTTGATAAACTCAAAAAAGCTGATTAAATTAGCGGTATCAAGTTTCTGCAGGGTCCTTCTGTTACACTGCTCGCATAGTAAAGTTTAATTGTAACAAAATCGGATTTTTCATTCCCTGACCTCGGCAACTTTACAATCTTTGAATTGTCGAGTTCACGTGAACTGAATTGAATGATCTTTTGTTCAAACAATCAATGTTGGATTAGAAATTCGGTCATAAGTGCAGAAAAATTGGTTAGCCAAAATGAAAAGATTTTAATGAAAATTGCGGAAAAAACTCGATTGCAAATAAAAAAAAAAACTTTAAATTTTGATCTCGCACTTTGCAGAAACCGTCGACGTTTTTTGATGAAAAGATGTCAAAAATCAATATTTACTTTCATTGAGAATACTGGAACACAAACTTGAGAATTTTGTCGAATGTTAGGGAAATTTTGACCTTTTTTCCTCATTTTCGATAGACACTGTGGAAAATGAGGAGAGACGGTCAGCAAAAATCAGTTTTCAGAAATTCCTGTGCGGTTTTTCTCACAAGTTGCATTTTTTTGATAATCAAAGAGCATTTTTGCGAGAGAACATAAGAAATGAGGAGGGTTGGCTTGACGAAAAAGTTTTTTGTAATTGACTTTTTAAATTTTCTCGGTAAAAATCAATTTTTGGAGGGAGGTTGTGCTCCTGACAGGTAATAGAGCCTCAAAAATTTTCAAGCGAATATCAAAACATATACATATCAGTTTGTCGGGAAAATAATGAGCACAATGTCACTGCGCCGGTCGTGTCGCTGAAGTGAGAAGCAATTTGGTTTTGCCGCGACACAATTCATTTTCTCGACGCCGATGCAATTTTCGAGGCGACAGAGTGCTCATTATTTTCCCGACAGACTGATAAACATATTTTTTGACATCCGCTTGGAAATTTTGAGTCTCTATTACCTGTCAGGAACGCAGCTTCTCTCCAAAAATTGATTTTTACCTAGAAAATTTCAGAAAGTCAACTAGAAAAAAACTTTTCCGTCGAGCAGACCCTCCTCATTTCTTATGGTCTCTCGCAAAAAATGCTCTTTGGTTATCAAAAATCCCAACTTCTGAGAAAAACCGCACAGAAATTTCTGAAAACGGATTTTCACTGACCGCCTCTCCTCATTTTCCATAGTCTCTATCGAAAATGAGGAGAAATGGTGAAAATTGCCCAAAAATTCCACAAAATTCTCAAGTTTGTCTTCCATTTTTCTCAATAAAAGTTCATCGTCGATAGCCCGCCTTATGAGAACACGTGATAAGCACTCTGCAGGAATAACTCCCCTATCAAAAAAAACCTTAACGGTGGGGCTTTTGCAATCGCCGTTTTATTTACACTAAAGAGTTCACAAACAAAAAATCTTGGTCATCAATTTTATCGGTTTGCTGGACGCTCTTATCGGCGGTATTACAGGGGTTTCGGGAGTAAGTACATTCGTCTACGTGCTTAATGGGATTAATTTGAGAGTAAAGCCTTTAAAATTCGGATTTTAGGCAAAAATGATGTTGTAGTTGATTTCTAAGATAAAATTTGGCCCATACGGGGATACTCCAAGCTCTAAAAAGCATCTTTCGAGGGACTATATTTCTTATCAAACCATTTTTTACACAAAACTAGCATACTTTTATATTATCCATGATGACCACTTATATAAAGTTGGTCACAAATAGGCGATATGCGCCTCCAGGATAACGCTAGATGCTCAGACATGACTTTCAGAAGTCGTTAAGCCCATATAAACCCATTTTTTCACAAAATTTTTATATTACCCATGATGACCACTTATATAAAATAGGTCGCAAAAAAGGCGATACGCACCTCCAAGATAATGCTAGATGCTCAAACATAACTTCCAGAATCCGTTAAGCCCATATCAACCCATTTTTCCACAAAACTGCGAAATTTTTATATTATCCATGAAGATCAGGTCTTCTTATGTCCAAAAACCCCGGTTTCCCCACAATTTCTAATAACACCACACTCTAAAGGTCACGTCTCAACCCCTGACCTCATGTTTTACGTGCTCTCGACAAGCTGTTCAAGGTTTTTACAACGTTTTCGAAAAGACTGAACCCCTTCGAGACGGCCTGGGAAAAAGTGTTTACACTTTCTACGTGCTAACGCCGACTTTTTTGCCTGCACTCTAGAAGGGCTTTGGCCAAGCGGGACGAAAAATTGTTCCGTGTTCGCAATCTTTTTGGGGCGAAAAACAAAAAAACATTCGGCTCTTATGTTGTCTAGACCTCATGCCTTGTCTGGCCCGAAATCAACATGAATTCTGATGGAACTTTTGATTTTTCAATCGAAAATCAATGTTGGGACCTTACACTAGCTAAAGGCCAACATTTTTTGCCCATAGCCTTGGGGGATTTAGGTGAAATTTCGGTTTTCCTCCCAATTTTACCTAATTTTAGGTATTTTCGAATCAATACGAGATATTTTGAGGTCGAAACGCGTAAATTTTTACATTTTTCGAGAGGTAATTAAATTCCTCACTATTCATAACGTATTTTACTCGGAAACGTCGCAAACTTTTTTTTCTTTTTACGAAAATTTCTCTTTTTTACCTAAAATAATATTCTTATTGCTCCGGGTTCAAATTCCAACGTAAGCAAGTGAAATATGCATTTCAAAACGATGAAAGATTATCATAATTGGGTCTAAAACAATAAACTTCGCGTTTTATCAACCAGCCGCCGGTTTGTTTTCGTTTTGCCGCGGGCAAACTGGCGCTGAAAATAAAAATAAATTTTCAGACGAAATTTTTTGCGAAATTTTTTTGATCTTTGATGAAAATGCTGTAAAAATTGGAAATGATTGGGTGAAGACAAATGATCGACCTTGTTTTTGTGATTTTCAAAGGCGAAATTTGAGATTTTTAGCAGTTTTTTGACCAAAACTTGACTTTAGGTATAAATTTCGGACACTTTCTGTTGAAAACTGTCATATTTTGTTTGCATATCCTTTTATAGACTCTCTCATATAAAATTTCATCCATTTCCCCAAATTTCCTGCCGAGTTTTGGTAACTTTTTCGAGATTTTTCGCGAAATTCGTCATGTACAATATAATTTTTAGGCGCTCAGCTGGTCGAAATGTCGGAAAATGGAACTTTTAGTCGGTTACCGAGACGGCAATCATCTTCCCGATTGGTTAAACAGCTTGCGGTAAGTGTTTTTATATTGTTCTTGAGGTTTAGGTAGAATTTGCCGATTTTGGGTTTTCAAGCCGAAATTTCTCAAGGAGTCGATGGCGATCGATGGGGTTAGCTGTGATTTAGCAGTATCTTGCTGGCTGGCACTCCTTTCGCTGAAATCGAGCTGTTTTGAAAGTAATATAGCCCATTGTAGGACATGAACATCTCGGAAGACGTTCTGGATCACGGTGAGACCGCGCGACATGAGAATCGTTTTGTGTTTGAGTGTGCCTGGGAAGTGGCGAACAAAGGTAAGCTGTTTTTCATATTTTCTCTCTATTTAGATCATGTTTTCCATCAATTTTTGTCATGACTATCATTTCCAGTTGGTGGAATCTACACCGTCCTCCGAACAAAAGCCCCCGTCTCCACCGAGGAGTTGGGTGATCAGTACTGCATGCTTGGTCCATATAACGAAGAACAAGTCAAGTTGGAAGTGGAAGTTGGCGAGCCGGAGACGGCTGCCATGAAATACACCTTGGATCAGATGCACGAATGGGGATTTAGATGTGTGTATGGAAGATGGCTCATAGACGGGTATCCAAAGGTTGTGTTGTTCGATATTGGGTCGGCTGCGTGGAAGTTGGACGCCTGGAAACATGAGGTATTGTCTTGGATATTATTTTAGGTGAAATTAGATGTGAGAGGTTGGAAATTAGAAGATAAATATTGCAATTGGTATATTTAGATAGCTTTTGGATGTGTTTGAGTTATTTTGGATGTATCTGCAAAAAAAAATTTTTTTGGTTTATTATCTAAAATAATATAATTTTTTTTCAGCTTTTTGAAAAATGCCATATTGGAATTCCCTACATCGACAGAGAGTCTAACGATTGTGTAATCTTCGGCTTCCTCGTCGCAATCTTCCTCAAAGCCTTTGCCGAATCCACGGAAGGCCTTTCTCCTCTGATTGTCGCTCAATTCCATGAATGGCAGGCCGGAGTCGGCCTAATGATGACCAGGTAAGTCTCTATTTCCATTCTTGCATCTCTCTTTAGGCTCTGGAAAGTGAATGTGGCAACAGTTTTCACAACCCACGCAACATTGCTGGGCCGACATTTGTGCGCCGCTGGAGCGGACCTCTACAACAATTTGGACAAGTTTCAGGTGGATCAAGAAGCCGGCGAGAAGCAGATCTACCACAGATATTGTCTCGAACGAGCTGCGTGTTGTATGGCACATGTTTTCACGACGGTCAGGTAAGAATTTTAAAATTTTTGCGAAAAAATTTGGAATTTTCTCCTTATTTTAGGTAATGTTACATAATTTCTTATAATTTTGTGAATTTTACCGGCTACATTTGCAGTGAGATCACTGGATTAGAAGCAGAGCATCTATTAAAGCGAAAGCCGGATATATTGACGCCGAATGGGCTGAATGTCGTGAAATTCGCCGCTCTCCACGAGTTCCAAAACCTGCATGCCTTGAACAAGGAGAAGATCCACAGTTTTATACGCGGACACTTCTACGGCCACATGAACTTTGATTTGGACAAGACGTTGTACATGTTCACGGCCGGACGATATGAATTCAGCAATAAGGGCGGGGATTTGTTCATCGACGCATTGGCCAGGTTGAACCACTTGTTGAAGGTAAGAATTGAAAATTTTAGTTCTTTATTGATGTTTAGATCATTGTAAAAGATGATTTGAGGGCAAAATAGAATTTGAGAGTGGTTTTTCATTGATGGGCCCAAGAAGGTATCAATTTTTTAAAAGATTTTTACTAGTTTTGGGTTTAAATTTGATGTTTTTTGATCTAAAGTGAATGATAGCTGGCTAGAAGGTTGAGGAAAAAGATGGTTGGTGCAGTGGACGATTAGGGAAAAAGACACAACAAAATTTGGATTTTTAGCAAAAACTAGTGTCAACAGCAAAATCTACAGGATAAAACAGACAAAAAAATGTCTAAAACAAACTCGGGAAGCGACGGTTGAGGAAAAAGACAATTGGGGAAACTGAAAGTATTATTTTTGTTCGATGTAAGTGTCGAAATTCGGATAACCGATGGCGCGGATTTCGAAAATGACATTCATTTTTTTGTTCGTTACTATTTTGTTCAATTAGTACTGTAAAGCAGTAATTTTTTGATTTCTTTTTTTCACAAATACTCGATTTAGGGGTTTTCGATGGTGCTGATTTCAAATCAAAAGAAATGAACAAGATTTTCGGAATCAGCACCATTGAAAACCCCTAAATCGAGCATTTTTGAAAAAAGAAATCAAAAAATTACTGCTTTACAGTACTAAATGAACAAAATAGTAACGATAAAAAGAAATGAATGCCATTTTTGAAATCAGCGCCATCGCTTATCCTAATTTCGGCACCTACATCGAAGAAAAATAATACTTTTCAGTTTCCCCAATTGTCTTCTTCCCCAATCGTCGCTCCCCGACTTTGGTCTAGACATTTTTTGTCTGTTTTGTTCTGTAGATTTTGCTGTTGACACTGGTTTTTGCTAAAAATCCTAATTTTGTTACCTAAATTATATAATTTTAGGTGTCGACGGACAAACGGACCCAAGGAGTAACAGTAATAGCCTTCATCATCTATCCAGCAGCCGCGAATTCCTTCAATGTGGACTCGCTGCGAGGTCAGGCCATCACGAAACAGCTGCGCGATTCAATTCAACACATCAAGGATAACATCGGCTCAAGACTGTTTGAAAGTTGTCTGCAGTAAGTTTGATTTGCTTTGAAAAAAATTAAGTGGTATCTTTGGACTGGGTAGGGCTCATATGCATGAGAATTTGCTTTATTTTGAGGTGTTTTACATCGAAATTTTTATTATTTTATACTGGTTAACAAATTTTTCTTTCCACCTCGTATCTCGAGAACCGCTGGGCCTAGAACCTCCAAATTTGGCATAAAAACACGCCGGGACAGTCTAACACCATGCCCAAAAAATCATATCATTTGATGCACTTTTAGTCCACTTTTCATGCAAAAGGCAAAAAAACGGGATGACAAAATTTTCTTTCCACTTTGGAAAAACGTTTGTAAATTATGGTGTTAGACTGTTCCACAGTGTTTCTGCGCCCAATTTCAAGGTTGTAGGCCCAGCCGTTCCCGAGATCCAGGTGGAAAGAAAATTTTTTCGGCCAGTATACAGTGACGGTGGCAAAAAACGTACCGTTTTGCATCCGGGAAGCATCGAAAATGTGGCAAAAAAACTTCGTTTTGAAGGGCCCTCACAAAAATGGCGGGCGCGCTTTTGAAATCGGAGTTTTTTCACTTGAAGAGGGAAGCATTTTGCCACATTTTTTTTCTTCCCGTTTGCAAAATGGTACGTTTTTTGCCACTGGATCAGGCCCCTCCACTGTAGGTGTTGATGAGAATTTTAATTTTTTCCGTTTTCAGAGGCCATATACCGGACGCCAACGAGCTGATCAGCCCCGAAGAGAGGGTGCAGCTGAAGAGATGTCTGCTCAGCTCGAAACGCGACACTCTGCCCCCAATTTGCACGCACAACATGGTGGACGACGCCAACGACCAGGTCCTGAACGCCTTCCGACGATGTCAACTCTTCAATTCGGATCATGACCGGGTAAAAGTCATCTTCCACCCCGAGTTCTTGAGCTCCGCCTCGCCGCTGATCGGGCTCGACTACGAGGACTTTGTGCGAGGCTGTCATATGGGCGTGTTCCCTTCGTATTATGAGCCATGGGGATACACGCCGGCCGAGTGCACGGTCCGTGGAATCCCGTCGATCACCACGAATTTGAGTGGATTCGGGTGCTTCATCGAGAAACAGGTCCCCGATCACGACAATTACGGCATTTTTGTGGTGGACCGCCGCTTCAAACGCAGCGATGAATCCATCCAACAGCTGGCTGATATATTGTTGAACTACTGCTCGTTGAACCGAAGGCAACGAGTGATCCTCCGCAATCGGACGGAACGTCTCAGCGAACTCCTCGACTGGAAAACCCTCGGCGGTTTGTATCGGGAAGCGCGCCGCATGGCGTTGAAGAAATTGCACCCAGACTTGGAAATCAAACTCTCGGAGGCCCTCGCCAAAATGCCACGCCCATTATCGGCCCCATCGACCCCTCGCGGCTCGGCACACGGCTCACCGAATGAGTCGGACAATGAGAGCGACACCGCCGAACAGGTCGAACATGAAAACATCCATTGGCACATTGAAGGATAAGTAGTGTAAAAAAGATGGCGTGGAGAAGGCAAGGGTGGTTGGAGAAGAAGGACTGATGCTCCAATGGAAGCATCGTCCCTTTATTAGGGACTTTTCACAGTTTTGCAGCCTTTTCATAGGATTTTTTTTTTGGTTACAGTAACAGCAACACAAATTTTTATAAAACGCTAGAAATGAATAACAATGGCATGGATACAGTGGCGATCTGATCCAGTGGCAAAAAACGTACCATTTTGCATCCGGGGAGTATCAAAAATGTGGCAAAATGCTTCCCTCTCCAAGCGAAAAATCTCCTTTTTGAAGGGCCCTTTCCTTTACAAAGAGCGGCTTTTGAAATTGGTGTTTTTTCGCTTGGAGTGGGAGGTACAATGTGGGACCTGATCCAGTGGCAAAAAACGTATCATTTTGCATCCGGGAAGCATCAAAAATGTGGCAAAATACTTCCCTTTCCAAGTGAAAAAAATTTTTTTTGGTCTTAAAAAAAGCAGGCGCGCTTTTGAAACCGGAGTTTTTTCACTTTCACTTGGAGAGGGAGGTATTTTTCCACATTTTTTGATGCTTCCTGGATGCAAAATGGTACGTTTTTGCCACCGGATCAGGCCCCACATTGTATTTTGCTACATTTTTTTGATACTTCCCGGATGCAAAATGGTTCGTTTTTTACCCACTGGATCAGATCCGCCACATATCCATGCCATTGTTATCCATTTATTATAGCGTTTTATAGAAATTTATGTTGCTGTTAGATAGCAAATAGTAGTCAATATTGTATACTCTTAGTCTCTCAATTTATGGTTGTAATAGTAATATTTAATAATAGTGCCATTTTTTAGCAACTTTTGCTCAATTTTTTAGGATTTTTTGATCATTTTTTGGATTTTTTTTTTGATTTTTTTGGTTTTTAGGGTAGATTTTTATAGCATTTGTTGGTATTTTGTAGCTAGTTTTGTGTTTATGAATAAAGCTAAATTGAAAAGTTTTTTTTTTGAAATTAAAATTTTTTTGGCAATGCCAATTACAAGGTAAATGAAAAAATTTTTGTCCATTTTTGTGGATTCTTGACGCCAAATTTCGAACGACCACCAAAACAACCCCCCTTTCCAACGTTTGTGGGGAAAACAAAACGCGTGGGCGAACGTTTCGAACGCGGCCACCCGATCTTCTCCCTTTCGCCCTACCTGTGGACAGGTGCGATCGCGAAGAGAAAACGGCATTCGGAGAGAGTTCGGCGCCATGAGCCACCGGCCTCACCGGGCCGGTTGATTCGATTTTTATTAAAATTTTATTCGAATTCGGCTCGAATGATAAGGATTTCGGGCATCTGGACCTTACTCAAGGGGCATTTTGGTTGATTTTATGGAAGTTTAAGGGAAAACGATAAAAAATGTGTTGAATTTTGCGGTCTCCTCTTGTCATAGCGAAATTTATGGGGTCTGGGAAGGATTTTGGGATATTTTTTCATCAATTTTTTTTCAAATTCACCTTATTTTAGGCCATTTTTTCAAAAAAATCATTTTTTCGTTTTTTAATCAAAAAAATTTGTTGAAAAATCGTTGAAAAATAATCCGCTTTATTTACAAAACGCTTCGTTATATCTTATTTCAAACTCTACACCTCCTACTCCTTTTAAAATCACCGTTGCCTGAGGCAATATTTATTTTACGGCCAACTGTTTGCTTGATTTTCCCCCCGTCCGAATGGCCCGTCCTAATTAACGAGTTGGCTGCTAAAGCCTCGACTTTTATACATTTTTTATTCCCACGTTTCGATTTTTGATGATCTAAACATAGTTTCTTGTGTAATGATTTCTCAAACTTTGGCAGCAATTTTCCAAGATGCGTTGATTTTTATTTCAGTCTGTCGGGAAAATAATGGGCGTCTGTCGCATCGAAAATCGCATCGCCCTGGAGAAAATGAATTGTTCTTCGCGGAAAAATCAAATTTCTTTTCGCTTCTTGATGCGATTGGCGCAGCGACAAAGTGCTCATTATTTCCCCGACAGAGTGAAATAAAAATCAACGGCATCTTGGAAATCTTTTTTTAAAATATTTTTATGACTTTTCGAAAGGGTTTCTCTTGGACATTTTAAACCTCACATAAAACAAGTCTGTTCCGGGATGGGAAACTTCCTTCTTTACCCAAATTTAAAAAAAAAAATACGTTTATTTATAATAAATGTCAGTCTGTCGGAAAAATAACGGCGGATCGTCGCGCCTCGGAATCGACCATCATCGTTTTGCGACGACTGCCGAAGCTGGAGATTTGATGTGCGAATGCATATTTTTTCGATCGGGAGAAACATTTTGCTGGGACGACCCGCCGTCATTTTCCCGACAGATTGATGATAGTCCGTTCGCAAAGTCGCTAGTTTTTCTGCACAGTGCAAAAAGTGATGTCATTTTGTCGACATGCAACGTGCAAAAACAAAAGTTTACCTTGCACAGTGCAATTTCTTGTTTTTCGCACCATGAAATAGACTTTTTTGGGTCCGTCGCTTGCACCTGCATTTTTTCTGCACAGTGCAAGAAATGGTATCATTTCGTCGACATGCAGTGTGAGAAAACAAAAGTTCACTTTGCACTGTGCAATTTCGTCCGTTTTGCACCGTGCAATAGGCTGTTTGAGCTGTCGCTCGTACTCGCCCTTTTCTTCACAGCGCAGACACCAAAAATCGCACCAGCGACTTTACGAACGGATTTGTATCAATTTTTCGGATCTGCGTGAGGTTTTAGACGTTTGTCTGGCAATCAATCGTGTTTAGCGCGCGCTTTCCAAATCCGAGCAAAATCGAGATAAAAATTGCAGGGACATGGCTCATCTATACCGGTCACGTTCTCTCGACTTGAGTCATATTCCACGGTAAGTATTTTATCACCATTTTTATTTTTGCCTTTATAAATTGTATTTTGCCTTTATATTTATATAGTATTACAGTGAGGGACCTGATCCAGTGGCAAAAAAAGTTTCATTTTGCATCCAGGAAGTATCAAAAGTATGGCAAAATGCCTCCCTCTCCAACTAAAAAACTCCGTTTTGAATTGCGCGCCCTTTCTCTCACAAAACGATTGGGGGCACGCTTTTGAAATCGAGGTTTTTTCGCTTGGAAAGGGAAGCATTTTGCCACATTTTTGATACTTTCCGGATGCAAAATGGTACGTTTTTGGCCAATGGATCAGTTCCCCCACTGCATACATGGTATAATAAATCTGGCTATAATATTTTTCAGTGGGGAGCGTTACCTTTCCCGCTGGTCGCGTGAGAACACCCCGGTTGATGCGTTCGGCTCGTACGCCCGCAACACCCGCCGCTCATTCACGCCCGTCCGTGAAACGGCCGGCTACCAGAAGGTGCACGACCATCGGCGCGCCTTCTCCGAGCAGCCGCAGGGCGCCGGCTCGTTGGCGGGCTACCGGCGTCGCGAGCCGCTCGCCTACGTGCACACCCCATATCACGCGAACTACGGATACTACACGGAGAATCAGCCGATCCGCAAGTACGACGTGTTCCAGGTGCGGACATGGTCCTATCCGATTCACAAGTGAGTTGCGGATCGTCTTATTGTTTAGTGTTGTGTTGCTTTAGATACCTATACGGCCGCGACACCCACCACGATCGGCCCTACAGTTATTTCCGCGACTACGCCAACACCGCCAAGTATACGCCGCCCGTGATGACGCCCGAACAGTCGTCGCTAACGCAGCGACGAGGATATTCGGGGTATAATTACGTCAGCAATGCGTCGTACGATGTAGCAGCAAAACCGTGGTCGCTAAGTAACTACAGAGTTCTACGGGCTCCGCATGTGACGAGGTAAGCGAGCTGGGACCATTATTTTCTCCGTATATCTGGCTCGGGACTTATAAGTCTGTGTGTCCAGAAAATATGCCATGGTGGTTCTAAGTGCACGTCAAACTGAAATAAGCAATATTATAAAAGGGCTGGTGAATGGATTGGCAATTCGCCACAAAAAACTCGAAAAAACTTTCAGTCGCCGAAGAAATGGGGATTTTTTGGGGCGAGAGAGTACGTTTTTGCGCGTCTTTTTCTCTCTTTCGTCTTGTGAAATCAAGACGAAATGTAAAAAACCGATAGCACAGGGTCTAGTCCGTCACCGGACTCCTCAATTTGACGTGCAGTGTTTTAGAGAGCACTCCTTGCAATATACAGCCGTTTTTTGTACCGCTGGTACGTTTTATAGTCCGTCTCAATATGGCACATTTCCTGGACACACAAATTCATAAGTCTCAAGACATAGATAAGGCAGACTGTATGGCGCTACGACCTTTCTTGTCAGCGACAGTTTGGATTTACGATACTATGGATCTCGCCGGTTCGTCGTTGTATGCATGGGAGAGGCTAGAAGAAGGCTTAGTTAGTCAAAATAACAAAAATCATCACCTCCTAGGATAGCTTGTCACCTATTTTGAGGTGTTTTACGCGTCCTCACATCAATAATATCCAGATAAAAGTTACGGATCTTCGTTTTTTGCCACAAATTTTGGTCGTTTTTATGTTATACAATAACTCGGGGTAAAGAAATCTAACGTTAGGAATCGCAAGAATTGGAAAAAGTGGGCACATTGCAAGCCTTCGCCAAGTCTCCGCCGAGCCTTCGCCGAGATTTTGCTGACCATCCAACAGCTTTACGAGGCCTCGTAGGCACTTCTACAGCCTTTTTTCGGGTATCTACTTGCCTTACGCCCAGTATCAATCAATTTTCTTCCTCTTGTCCCGAACTGTCGTCGACCCGAAAGTCTTGGCGCCGTCTATATTTATAAATATTATTATATATTATCGTACAATCTCTACAAATCCATTTTCCAGCGCTTCCTGGTATTGGCACGGTCGTAGCAGCTTGAGACATTACAACAGCTACCGCCCACCAACGACTTCGGCTCGACTGTCAACTTACTGGAGACCCTACTACTGAAAACTCGACTTTAAATGTATTGCGCTTTCTGTAATCTCAAGTATTTTTGTTTTTTTTTATGTAACACAACTGGCCATGTAATTGCTCAAAAGAAAACTGCCCAAAAATAAACAAGACATGAGAAGATGCACAAGAAAAATTTTTTGTTGACAAAGAGATCTTCTGTTGGCTATTTTGATGTCCCAGGTTCTCGGTGGCTTGGACGAAGTTATCGTAGCGTTCTCTTCGGATCCTGCAAAGTAAAAAAAAAAAATTTATTAGCAAAATTCCGACCCATTTTATGAATTTACAAAATCAAAAAAGTTTCCTTCCCATGCCGGGAATCGAACCCGGGCCGCGTGGGTGAAAGCCACGAATCCTAACCACTAGACCACATGGGATCCGGTTCAAAGACCCTTCGTTTTCTCAAATTTCTTTAAACTTGGTCTCCTGCAAGTCTTTGTTCTTCATTATCACCAAAAAGTTGACAATTCGGCTCATTTTCTATTACTCACAACAAAAAATTGTTCTTGTCATCATCAGGCTCTCCTAACGTTGTCAAATATACGGCATCGCCACCTGAATTCCTGCGGCTTCATGGGTTGTACGAAAGCCATAAAAAACGAAGCGATCACATGTAATAAAAAGAATAGTAAAAGGAGAGTTTGATTGTCCGAATCGCTTCCTCGAGACGGAAAGAAAAACAATTTTGTGACTCAAAGTTGAGGGTATCCTACTATTTTCGCTCTTCCCTTCAGTAATTGAGCGGACGGGTTGTTTTGTAGTAGGGAAGAGCGGGTAGTTCACGATGCCTCGTTTTGTTTTATAACAGTACAAGATGGTAGTCATCTTTTGCTGTTTTGCTGACGTCCGGCGAAAGGCTCTTTTATTCCATGAGAAATACTATGATATGGCTGAAAAGTCTTCTTTCTCTGACCGTCTCTCTTCATTATCCGTAGTCTCTTATCTGCAATGGTTGTTGAATATCTTGGCAGGGCTTTCAAAATCTCGCCCTGACTTTTTCTGCACACGAAATCGCTCCAGTCATTTTTCTAACGGACTGTTAGTTTGTCGGGAAGACAGCCGGATGAAAGTTATTTGTAGACCGAAATTTTGAAAATTTTTTTTGAAGTATTGCAAAAATAGTGATTTTTGTATGTTTATTGGATGATTACTCCACTAACAATGTTTAGATTTCCCTGAAATTTTGTGCGAATGCTCTCGGTATAGGCTAAAATTGCGTCGCTGAAACGAGGATCAATTCATTTTCTCTTCACCGATGCGATTTTCATTGCAACGGAGTGCTCATTATTTTCCCGACAGGCTAATAATAAGCATTTCAAAGAAAAATTAAAAAGACTTATAGCTGACTATACAGGGTCTTACAAAAAACGTGAAGGAAAGTGGAAGGCTATAACTTCCGGCGGAGGCGGCGCAGAGACTTTTTGATACGGGTGATGTTGAAAAAGAGGAGGAAAGTGCCAACACTTGCAATTTTTTCGACGTTTTCTTAAAGACTATATCAAGAAACCCCAAAGAAATCCGACATTTCCTGATGATTTTCAACCAAAAAAACCTGGTTTTCGGGGTACAGATGCCTCTACTTCAGAGGGTCGTAGCGACCTCAGTTTGCACTTTAAAAGCTTGTTATTTCGTAGACAAAAACTAATGTCTTTTAAAAATACATATTTCAAATACGGAGCCTCTGCGCCGCCTCCGCCGAAAGTTATAGCCTTCCACTTTCCTTCACGTTTTTCGTACGACCCTGTAAATCTTTACGAAGACCCGGAAACCATCTGTGCTGTTTATTTCGGCCAATAATTTTTTCAATAAAGAACATTCTTCGGATCAGAATCCAATGTCAACACAACGTCTTCGAACTCCGGCTGACCCCCGAATCCCTGACCAAACTCCGCAATCCCCGCTCTTTTTGCACCTTACAAAAAGCGGAAAGTCCTATTGTTTGCGTTTGTCCGCGCGTTCCAACGTTTCCTCCGATTTCGATTCATGTTTTGAGGACTAATTTCCACCCCAAAATTTCTCCCCTTCCCTTGCAGAAATTGCGCTGGTAATAATTGCGTAATTCCTGTTATTGCATGTTATATGGTGGAAGTCGGGCGCCGGAACACGTTGTGGCGATGGAGGCTGTGGCTCGGCTTGAGACGGTAGGATCTGAGGGGCAATTTTGTTTATGTCGGATCTCATGGCCATGGTCATTCTTTGAGATATCTTTGTGAAACAAAGCAATGAAAAAAACGAACGAACTTTCTGGACGAAGGGTCGTTTGTTACAAGTGAAGTACCCCAAGTGCGAGGCTAAGATTTTGATGAAACTTGGCACAAATTTAGAATAATTTTTTCTAAAATATATACGAGAATCCCAGCTCGCGCTTTGCAGAAAACAACCGAGATTTTTAGATCGAAAGTCGGCGAAAATTTGACACTTTTTTTCGAATTTCGGCACGAAAAGTTTCATACCAATTTCAACTGTAAAGGATAACGTTTCTACAAAAAATCAAATTTTTCCGCACGAAACTGCCAAAGTTATGGCCGAAAAGCGCTTTTCTGACCGCTCTCCGCGTTTAGCGTGCTCTCTCGGCGGCAAAAATCGTTCGATATCACGGCGGAGCCGGCAAAGCGCGAGCTAAAACTTTCAGGAATTGATATTTAGTCCATACCCGACGTGTATGCAAAATTTAAAGAAAATCTGAACGTCGCACTTGGAGTACTTCCCTTGTTAAAATTTTCTGGTCTCCAATGGGAAGCCGCAAAGACAAATTTTGGCTTGCGCTTTGGGGTTTACTAGTCCGTTCGCAAAGTCGCTGTAGTTATTTTGGCGAAATGCACTTTGCGAAAACAAGAGTTCACTCTGTCTATAAAAATGGCTTCAAGTGCCATCAAGATCAAAACTTTGGGGTACCCTTTACTTCTACTAATCGCGCCATGCAATTTCTTTTCGCACGCCCAAAATTCGCTGACTCAGTTGAGAAAAGCTTGCGTCCCAGCAATAGCCGGTTGCACAGTGCAGTCAAACGTACCCCGCAAAAAGTAATTTTGTGCACGGTGCGGCCCACGACAAAATGTCTACGTACTTTTGAAAAAGCGTAATATTACTATTGGTATTTTCATAAAGTACATGGACATTTGTCGCGTCTCGTGCTGTGCCCGAAAACCCCCCTCGGTGGAGATGTTCCGCAGCGAAGCGCCTGGATCCCGATACCGTAATTTTCTCTTTGTCTATCCTATCTTGATCTTGCAGTAGTAGAGAAAAGACAAGCGGGGTGTAGAGAGAGAGAGTGTGTTTTTGTTGTGGAGTTTTGTGTCAGGTTGATTTGTATTGTTGTTGTCTGCATTGCTATTGCATTTTTTTGACCACCAGCCAATCTCGTTGTTTCTTTTTGTGTTTTAGTCTATTAGCATGTGGAATCGGACATGCATTTAGCAAAAAAATGTCCATGCACTTTACGAAAATGCTATCAGTCTGTCGGGGAAATAATGAGCACTCTGTCGCACCAAAAATCGCATCGCCAATGAGAAAATGAACTGTGTCGCTTCAAAATCAAATTGCTTTTTAACTTCAGCGACATGATTGTCGCAGCGACACTGCGCTCACTATTTTCCCGACAGACCGATAATACTTTTTTTCCTTATTTTCCTGCCCTCATCCTCACCGTCTGTCCTCAATTACATTAAAAACGCTCGGTCTTTCCCGCAGCCTTATGCTTATGACTAATTAATGAGGCGGGTTACCCTAATTACCCACGCCCTTTCGTGGGGGTTTGACCTGAATTGAAAGGTGTGGGGTTCCAAAGGGACAAGGGCAGAAGCGAGCGCCCTTCTCGAGAACGCAAAGCCCTTTCCTCGAGACGGGATGGATCGGGGGGAACGAAGGAGACTATCAATTTTATGTGTTCCAAAAACGAAAAAAACCGGCGGGGCAACGCCGGACGGGGATGATTGTGGGAGAGGTCTTTGGTCTTCGATGATTACGGCATGACTCTATCGGTCTGTCGGGAAAATAATGACCGCCATTTGGCTGCAATAATCGTGTCGCTGAACTTCGCAATGACTATTTTTTCAATCGTCATTGCGAAGTTTATACGACGGGGTTCTTTACAATATTTATATTTTCTGAAAGCCGGCTTTTTACTCTACTGCCGTGCCAAATTTTAGCCTTCTAGCTGAAACGGCTAGCGAGATATGGAGAGAGAAAACAAGCGCATTCCGAAAAAAATAGAAAAAGTCGCGGAGATCGGATGTGTCCCAAAAGTAATGCCATGCGACAGAATGCTCATTATTTTCCCGACAGACTGATATAATTTTTCCAGCTGTCTCTTCTTGTCCCGTAGACCTGCGTTTTTGGATGAAAATTCATTTTTCGGATGACTTTTTTTTCTTGACCTTGTATTAATAGTAGCATGTGTGTGAAACTCAAATTTCTCATGGTTTTATATCCCGATCTGCTCCAAATTTTGCATACGTCTTCTCTGTCTAGTGTATAATTAATTCCCAAAAGTTTTTGCTTACGATTTACCGGCACAGCCGAGATATTGGTCTGTCGGGAAAATAATGTGGACTTATCGCGCTTTGGTATTTACCATAACAGACAATTTTTTTCAAAAATTGATAACGACTCAAGATATCTCATGGAAAATTAGAAATTTTTTTTTTTTTTTTTTTTTTTGTAAAATACGGGGCATAGATTTTCGACTTCTTGAGTGGGCTGTAATGTTATCAGTTTGTCGGGAAACTACGTTTAAACAAAAATTATTTTACAAATTTCCTCAAAATTTCCTTTGCCATCCCCTCCAAAATTCAGAGATCCCAGAGGCCGGAAATTTGGGTGAGCTTAATCCTGTCGCCAAAAAAATAAAGCGTAATACCCACCGTTTAAAGCTTTGCCTTCACTGTTCTCCTAAATCTCTTCGGGGGACGAAAGCCGGCCAATGGATTTATGGGGATGGGATTAAGCGCATAAAAAGAAGTTGGGAAGTCAACTCCTTCATATTGTTTAGAATTTGTGCGACAGATTGCGAGCACTTGGACACTTCTTTTTACGGGATTTGTTTCGGGAGTTTCGGAGAGAGCGAGAGGGTTTGAAATGCTCGTCTGTCGGGAAAATAGTGAGCAAAATGTTGTTGGATGAATCGCGTCGCTGAAGTGAAAAGTTTTTTAGCGGCTATGCGATTTTTGATGCGACAAAATACTCATTATTTTCCCGACAGCCTGATGAAAGTTATTTGAAAATGAAATTTTGAAAAAAAGTTTTTTTGAAATTTTGCTTAGTAATGATTTTTTATGTTTATATGGTGATTACTCGACTAAGAACGTATAGATTTTCCTGAAATTTTGCACAAATGTTTTCTGTAGGCTATAGATAAATTCTTGAAAATTTCAGCTTGCACTTTGCAAGCGTTGCCAAGATATTCAACGATTTTTGCAGCCAATTTTAAGACAGTGTGGAAAATGAGGAGAGTCAAACAATTTTTTGGGGAAGCTTGATGCACTACCTTGCAAATAAAAACAGTAAATTTTCGATCTTAAAAGCTGCGAAAAAATTTAGTTTTTGATGATTTCGGGAAAATTTTTGATCATTTCTTCAACCTGTGAACTTCCAAATACAGGGTCTTACAAAAAACGTGAAGGAAAGTGGAAGGCCATAACTTCCGGCGGAGGCGGCGCAGAGACTTCGTATTTAAAATATGCATTTTTAAAGGACATTAGTTTTTGTCCACGAAATAACAAGCTTTTAAAGTGCAAACTGAGGTCGCTACGACCCTCTGAAGTAGAGGCATCCCTACCCCGAAAACCGGGTTTTTTCGGTTGAAAATGATCGAGAAATTTCGGACTTTTTCGGTTGGAAATCGCCAGGAAATGTCGGATTTTGAAAAATGCCTTTATACTAGTCTGTCGGGAAAATAATGGGCATTCTGTCGCTGTACCGATCGCGTCGCATAAATGAAAAGCAATTTGATTTTACCGCGAAGACAATTCATTTTATCGGCGGCGGTGCGATTTTTTCGGGCATTGCGCTCGTTATTTTCCCGACATATTCAAAAAACCCCCAAAATTTAATCCTGAAACCATCAAAAATCAAACTTTCTAAGCACTCTCCAAATACTCCAATAACTGACACCCCGGAACCGATTCGTCTCCCATAAGCGCGCTTAAGCCCGCAGATGTTTTCGTTGCCATTACTGCATTGGCTTGGATGAGTGAACTCGGGTATTTGCGCGCCATTTCCTTCGGCTCCTTCGGCTGCTTCTCCGATCCCGTTGGGATTACCGTTTTTTTTGACAAAGACGGGAAAAGAGGGCGAGGGGAATTTATTGGGGACGGTTATCCGAATAAATGTCTTGGCCATGCGGTTCTGTTTCTGGACAAAGTTCCGCCGGAGGTAATCGTGTTTCGAGTTTATGTTAGGTTTTCGAATTTTCGAGGCGACAAAAACGTAGTAAAGTGGAAATTTAAGGGCACAAAGATCTATTGTTTTTTGATTATTATTCCGTCGGGAAAATAATGTGGCTTGTTGTAGAAAACGCGTCTCTAAAAGCCAGAATTTGAATTTTTCGTCTTTATAGACGCAGAGGAAGACTTGACCCAAAATTAGTTTTTATCAGTCTGTCGGGAAAATAATGTGGATTTCCCCAGAAAAGCATCTCTGAACGTCAAAGTTTGAATTTTTCATCTTTGTGGGCGCAGAGGAAGACTTGACCCAAATTTGGGTTTATATAGTCTGTCGGGAAAATAATGTGGATTTGTAAAAAAAGTGTTTTTATCATTCACCATACAGTAAACTCGTTGTATATAAGTCGCTATGGTATAATTTCTTGGCATTTTCAGGCCAATGCACAAATGGCTAGCGACCGGCTTCAGTGTGGCCTCACTCTTTCTGTTTGTTTTTGTGCTAATCGCTCAAAACGAAGATGATCCGGTTACGTTGGCAACGGTGTCCAGTCGAGAGGGACTTTTTGACGACAGAAATCGACTGGTCGATTTGAAAGTAAGAAATTTTTTTAAATAAAAAATGGAGATTTTTCGATTTTTTTTTGAAAAAAAATTAATTTTTATTCGTTTTTTATTTTTGAAAAATTTAAAAAAAAATGAATTTTCCAATTTTTTTTTTTATTTTTAAAAATTTTCGACTTTTCTATTTTTATGATTTTTTTATTTTTTTAAAATTTTTTTGAATTTATCGATTTCTTGGATTTTTATATTTTTTTATTTTTTGAGAGTTTTTGAAAATTATATTTTTTAAATTTTTTTTTCAAATTTAAAAATTTTCGTATTCATTTTTCAGGTCGACGGCAATACAGTGACCTTCCAAACCCCTTATAATCGATCTCATTCCTCCCCAAATGACACTTTAAACGTATTTTTGGTCTTTCATTCCCACACGGATCCAGGTTGGCTGCGGACTTTCAACGAGTATTATGACGAAAAAGTCGAAAGGATTCTCGACTTGGCCGTCGATTTTCTAACTCAGCATCAAGACGCTAAATTTATTTGGTCGGAGATCTCGTTTCTCAGCGAATGGTGGGATCGGGCGAATGAAACGAGCAAAGAGGCTATGGTGGAGTAAGTTTAAAAAAGTGAAAAAAACGGCGTGGGCTCAAAAACATGATTTTTAATTGTAGTTACGCAGAATGAATGTTTCAAGAAATTTTGAGCCTGCACGCCAAATTTGGGCTAATTCTGAACAGTTTCCGCAAAGTTATAAGTTGTGGCCAGAATAAGGAACTTTTACCAAAAAATGTAGCATTTTTTTGTAAATTTTTATTTTTCAAGTTTTGTGATGAAAAGTTTCATGGCTATTTCTACGGCAGAGCATAATGTTTCCATAAAAAAAGTCTTCTTTCTTCTGAACAAATCGTCCCATCCTTTGCAGACTTGTTCAGAACGGCCAACTCGAGCTGACCGGTGGCACTTGGGTGATGAACGACGAAGCTATCACTCACTTCGCCGCCTCTATTGACAACATTATTGAAGGGCATACATTTGTAAACCAAAATTTCAAAGTATTGCCAACAACAAGTTGGTCTGTCGATCCTTTCGGGCATGGCAGTACGATGCCGTATTTGTTGGGCAGAGCGGGCGTTGACAACTTGGTTGTGGGGAGGCTGAGTAAGCACGTCAAGGAGCAGATGATCCGGAGAGGAGCGCTGAAGTTCTTGTGGAAAGAGCCTTGGAGTGAGGTGAGTTTTTTTTTGGATATCAGTCTGTCGGGAAAATAATGAGCACTCTTTCGCATCAAAACTTGCATCGCAGCCGAGAAAATGAATTGTGTCGCGACAAAGTCAAATTGCTTTTCAGCTCGACCTCCGATTGGCGCAGCGACATTGTGTTTTCTATTTTTCCTACAGACGGTTGTTTCTACAAAACGCAAGCTAAGAGGATCGCATATGTCCAAAAAGAAACTATTCTATTAAAAATTTGTGCCAATTTTCGTCAAAATCTGAGCATCGCGCTTGGAGCAATTTCAACGTTAATCTAGATCTCTGTTTGTAGTTCCACCAAAATCTATATGGCCTATAGATTTTGGGGTAGTCACGTTTTCTACAGGGTGTTTCAAGAAATTTGGCAGAAACTAGTTGCGAATATTTTTGAGCTCTTGCTAGTTATCGCAGAAATTCTTTTTGTTTCTGAAACTTGACAGCGGGCGGTTTTGTACTGAACAAAAAAAAAATTTTTTTCGTCGGCGGAGAGGCCAGTTCTCGGCGGAGGCATTTGGGGCCTTTTTTAAAAATCACACCTTATTACATCGTGGAAACTCTGTTACAGTGGCCAAAATCATGCTTACGTTAAACCTCCGTGGATTTTGCGGTATGCTTTTTTTGCGTTTTCGATTTTACGCAACATCCGCGGAGGCGCGACGGAGACCGCAGATTTCGGCGGACTTTGTTTTGGGCCCTCGGTTTTTGCAAATCCATGTTGGAAAAAAGGTTGGGGCGATTTTTTGTTGTCATCCGATGCACAGAGGGCAAAAATTTTGTACTTTTTTCCCCCGGCGGAGCATTCGGCGGAGGCTTTCTCAAAGGGTCAAAACAAAATTTTGACTCTTTTGATAAAGCCTCCGCCGAAACCTCCGCCGATGTGTCCGCCGGATCAAAAAATAAGAAAAATGGTGTTGCTGTGATGGATTCTTGTAGCTGAGTTTTTTCCCGGACTCCTAAGACTGTTCTGACCCTTTGGTAAAGCCTCCGCCGAATCCTCCGCCGGGGAAAAAAGTGCGAAATTTTTGCATCTGTGCATCGGGTGACAACAAAAAATCACCCCACACTTTTTTCCAACCTGAATTGAATGATCCAAAGGCTCAAAACGACGTCCGCCGAAACCTGAGGTCTCCGCCGTGCCTCCGCGGATGAGCGAAAATCGAAAACAAAAAAAGCATACCGCAAAATCCACGGAGGTTTAACGTAAACATGATTTTGGCCACTGTAACAGAGTTTCCACGATGTAATAAGGTGTGATTTTTAAAAAAGGCCCCAAATGCCTCCGCCGAGAACTGGCCTCTCCGCCGACGAAAAAAATTTTTTTTTGTTCAGTACAAAACCGCCCGCTGTCAAGTTTCAGAAACAAAAAGAATTTCTGCGATAACTAGCAAGAGCTCAAAAATATTCGCAACTAGTTTCTGCCAAATTTCTTGAAACACCCTGTACAGTATATCGGGAAAGCAATGAGCACAATGTTGCTTCGTCGATTGCGTGAAAAGCAATTTAATTTTGCTGCGACACAATTTATTTTTTCCCGGTGGCGATGCTATTTTAGATGCGACAGAGTGCTCATTACTTTGCTCTAAAAATTGCCGCAACTTCTTGCCTAAGCTTCAACTTGCTCCACATTTCACTGTTACTTGCATTTTCAGGATGACCGAGCTGCTCTTCCTCTGATCAGCTCGCTTCCTCGAACCTACTACACGACTGCCGACGCCTGTGGGCCAGATGGCCAGGTTTGCTGCCAATTTGATTTTGGTCCGTCCGCCAGATCCGATTGTTTTCATCGATTTGAGCCGTCGAACGTCTCAACGCCGGCTTTGTATGTCTTATGTAGCCACCTCGCTTTTAGTCATCGTTTTTATAACTTACTATAACCTTTTTCAGCGCCAAAAAGTTGGTTAACCAATATCGAAAGCTTCAAGAATATTATCGATCGTCCTCGTTGCTCGTCCCAATCGGCGATGATTTTTTCTTCTCCAATCCCGCCGATTGGACGGAGAATTACGAGAATTACAAGGTCTTGATGGACTTCATCAACAGCCACAAGGACTTCAATATGAAGGTAAGATTAAAAGCTGGATCAAAAGAATGAGTTTGTCGGGAAAATAATATGGATTTGTCGCTGAAAAGCGTCTCTGGACGTCAAAACTTGAATTTTCGTCTTTGTGGGCTCAGTAGAAGACTTGACCCAAAATTGAGTTTATATCCGTCTGTCGGGAAAATAATGTGGAATTGTCGCTAAAACTCGTCTTTGAACTCCTAAATTCGAATTCTGATCATTGTGAGTTCAGAGGAAGACTTGACCTAAAATTTATCTTGGCCTGTCGGGAAAGTAATGTGGATTTGTCGCAGAAAAGCGTCTCTGAACGTCGAAATTTGAATTTTCCGTTTTTGTGGGTTTAGAGGAAGAGTTGACCCAAGGTTGGGTTTATATCATCTGTCGGGAAAATAATGTGGATTTGTCGAGAAAATGTCTCGCCTTGTCGCAGACGCGCATCCTATCTCCAGCCACGGCCACCGCGCCACAAACCTTCATTACTTTTCCGACAGACTAATCTAAACCCAATTTTGGGTCAAGTCTTCCTCTGAGCCCACAAAGATTACAATTGAAATTCGGATGTTCAAAGACGCTTTTCTTCGGCAAATCCACATTATTTTCCCGAAAGACTGATAAGTATGTATATATGCGATTTTAGATCCAATTCGGAACCGTCGACGACTACTTCAAATCCCTGGCCGCCACTGAAAACAAAGCCTTGTACCCCGTGGTGGACGGGGACTTCTTCCCCTACACCGAAGACTTTGATGGGCCTTTCCCATATTGGACGGGCTACTATGGCCATCGGCCCTTCTTCAAGAAGCTGGAGAGAATTGTTGAGGTACGGATGAAAGGATTATTTTTTGAAAATCAGCGGGCGTTTTTTTTTGGATTTTTTCTTAAAAATTTTTCAATTTTTCGCATTTTTTTGGTTTTTTTTGTAGAATCTTTTGATTTTTCTATAGATTTTTTTTGATTTTTTGACATTTTTTTGTTTTTTTCAAATTTTTTTTTATTTTTTTCAAAAAAAATTTGATATTTTTGAAAATTGCTGAATTTTCCTGCTTTTTTTGATAGTTTATTGTAGAATTTTTGGGATTTTTCACATTTTTTTGGCTTTTTGGATTTTTAAAAAAAAAAATTTTTTTTAGAATTTTTACATTTTTTCAAAAAAAAATTTTTTTATTTTTTTCACTTTTTTAATTTTAATTTTTTTTTTCTTATTTTTTCAAATTATTTTATATTTTTTACCAACTCTTCCCCCTTTCAAACCATCACATTTCCAGAGCCAACTCCATCTTCTGGACTTTCTTCTAGTCCGCTCCCAAATGTTCAAATCGATTGACCAACTCCAGCCCCATCGCCGGACCGTATCTCTGGTTCAGCATCACGATGCGATTACGGCGACCTCTCGACCTCACGTGATGACTGATTACGAGGATCGGCTGTTCAATGCGTCAATTCACATTCAAAAACTGGAAGCGGCCGTTTGGGCGAGTCGAATGAGCAATGTGAAAAACGTGGAGATTTTGTTTTATCAGCGGGGTCGCGCCGTGATTTTCGATGAGAAAATGAGAGGGTAAGGGTTGTTCTGCGATATATTGTTGATTTTGGGATCGCGTTTTGCAGAACAGCCGAGATTTTTTTATCCAAAGTTGGCAAAAAATTGGATATTTTTATGCAAATTTTGGCACGAAAAATTTCGTGGCTATTTCTACCGTATAGTGTAATATTTCCACAAAAAATCAGTTTTTTCCATGCTCTCTTGTCAGCAAAAACAATATTGGTGAATATCTCGGCTCCCACTGCGTTTTAAGAGCTCAAATTTTCAGGAATTTATATATTTATGGATTTTCATAAAGTGCATAGACACGGGCCGTGACACATGTCTATACATATAGTACAGGGTGGATCAGCTAAGTTCGCAGATGTAAAATGCTTACAACTTTTTATAGGATTGTTCAATTTTTATGAGCAATAGCTCATTTTATTCCTTAGTAGTTACCATTTTGTTTAAAAGAAAGATCATTAAAAATGATCAATCCTACGTCGAGTTATGACCCTTCAAAGTCAAACATGTATATCAAAAAATCATCCATTTTCAGCACCTGGCTGACGATTTACAACCCTCGAACTTTCGATGTGAACGAGAAGATAACCTTACGAGTAAACTCCCCAAATGTTGTTGTCCGCTCATTCCATGGCAGTCCAATTGAAGCCCAGCTTCTCCCACTTCTCATCATTGATGAGTGGAAGGCGGATTCAGCCTACCTTGAGGTCGTATTTTACGTCGAATTGAAGGCCTTGGAATCGAAGAAAATTTGGATGGAAATGGGTGAAAATCGACCGGAGAGCACTGTGATGTCTTCGATTTATACTGATGAAAAGATTGAGTGAGTAAACAAATTATTTTAATATAAGTCAATAAATTTTTCAGCAGTATTTTTGAGACAAAACCGCTGCCAAATGGAACGTTCGAATTCGAAAATAATGAGCTGGTCGTGGTAATGGAAGACGGATATGTTCAGGTATGTTTCACTAACATAAAAAAAGTCAAATAGAAGTAGCGAGAAAGCATCGCAAAATTTTGTGAATTTTAGTTTTAATTTTTGGGATTTTTTGATTTTTTTGAGTTTTAAAATCATTTTTGATTAGTTTTTAAATTTGACATCAGTTTCTTTTCAGATCACCATGCCTAGGTGTCTAATTTTGATAATCTTTAGTTTGAAATTTTTGAGATTTTTTGATTTTTTTGAATTTTAATTTTTTCGTTTTTAAAATCATTGTAACAAGCGAAGTACTACCCTAAGTGCGACGCTGAGATTTTCTTTCAATTTTGCACGCATATCGGGCATGAACTAAATATCAATTCCTGAAAGTTTTAGTTCGCGCTTTGCAAGGGCCGCCGAGATATTGAACGATCTTTGCCGCCGAGAGAGCATGCTAACCTCGGAGAGCGGTCGGAGGGAAAAACATTTTTTGGTCATAATTTCGCTAGTTTTGTGCGGAAAAAATTAATTTTTTTGTGTAAACATTACCCTCGATGTTAGAAATAGGCATGAAATTTTTTGTGTCGAAATTCGACAAAAAGTCCTAAATTTTGGCCGATTTTTGATCGAAAAATCTCGGTTGTTTCTGCAAAGCGCGGGCTAGGACTCTGGCATGTTTTAGAAAAAAATATTCTAAATTTGTGCCAAGTTTCATCAAAACCTGGGCGTCGCACTTGTGGTACTTCCCTTGTAAATTCATTTTAGTAAATTTTTCGTTTAAAATTTTGGCGATTTTTTTAACAATTTTAAATTTTTTCTTTTTTTTCTTTTCAAATTTTTCAATTTGAAAAAATGTTTATTTAATTATTAAATTTTTCATATTTTCTCTTCAGAAAATGCTCAACAAGCACACTGGAAAAGAAGAGCCCCTTGAAATTTCCTACTCCTTCTACTCCGACATGGGCGGAGCCTATGTTTTTGCGCCAATGAGCAAAGAAAAGCCCATAGTCTTGAACCGAACCCTCGCCAATCCAATCTACATTTCTGGCCCGCTAATCACTCGGGCCTACTCGCATATCCGATCAGAATTATTACCCAAACTACACTCACATCAGGTTTTCGAGTTCGAGAAAAAATCGAGAAATCTCGATTTTGCGTTGGAATTATTCTCAAATGTCGAGGAAATTGGCGACTCAACGATCGTGATGAATGTGAAAACGGAGATTTGGAACGGTGACAGTGTCTATACGGATGTGAATGGGTTGTTTTTGAGGGAACGGAGAAGGTTTGAGTGAGTTTGAAGTTTTTTTTTTTAATTTTGGGGGATTTTGCATGGTGCAGTGGATGAATTTTTGTGGAATTTTTCAAAAATTATTTTTAAGCCCCAAATTATTTCTAAATTTTTTATTTTTTTGTATTTTTTCAAAAAAATTTGAAAAAAAATCCAAAAGATTCCAAGAAAAAAGTCGGTTTTATATTTTTAATTACATTTGGCCAAGCCAAAAATCATTTTTGCCAAAAATTTTTTATTCTGCACTTCAAAAATGTAAAAAAAATTTTTTTTTTTGAAATTAAAAAAATTTCCATTTTTCAAAAAAATTTCTGCAAAACGCGACATAAAGACCTTGAATATGCCTTACTTTATTGAAATAGGGTTGTTAATAGGATTAAAAGGCATTATAAGAAGTTTAAACGAGAAATTGGTTTGATTTTGAGGCTCTCTGAAATGACATAAACTTTCGTTTTTTGCAAATTTTTTATCGAATTTTGTCGAAAATTATATTATTCTTGTTAAAAAATTGATAAAAGACTTAAATTTTTTTTTCAGATTCGCTCAAACCCCCTCAGCCAATTATTTCCCGGCAGCGACCGCGGCTATGATCCAAGACAAGACCAGTCGATTGTCAGTCTTATATGGGCAACCGACTGGAGTCTACACACCAAAACGGGGCCAAATCCAGTTCTTTGTGGATCGAACTTTGAGTGGCGACGATGGAAAAGGACTCTCTTATGGGGACGCTTCGTATGTAAGTGCAGCAAAATACTGCTATAATTATGCTATGCGTATTTTACAACCAAAATGCATGTGAAAAAGATTTTTAAAATGGATACTTTTGGATACTTTTCAAAAAAAAATTGGATACTTTTGGATACCTTTCTAAAAATTCACGTAAAATCAAGTCTTATGGGTTTCGATGAGACACGACGCTACAGTGTGGGACCTAATCCAATGGCCAAAAACGTACCATTTTGGATCCGGGAAGTATCAAAAATGTGGCAAAATACCTCCCTCTCCAAGTGAAAAAAAAACTTCATTTTGAAAGGCGCGCTCTTTTTCCTCAAAAAAAGGGCGGGCGCGCTTTTGAAATCGGAGTTTTTTCACTTGGAGAGGGGGGTATTTTGCCACATTTTTGATACTTCCCGGATGCAAAATGGTACGTTTTTGCCATTGGATCAGGTCCCCCACTGTAAATGATGCTTGGCGCTAAACAAGCCAGTAATTTTGTAAGAGAAATGTAAAGTTTTTAGCTCGAAACGGCCAAGTTTTTTAGGGCAAAATTTCAAAAATTTAATTTTTTTTTTATTTTTGCGGCATAAAAATTTTAGCGTTTGTTGGAAATGAAAGAGTAAAATTTCTCTATACAAACTTATTTTTTCGCACAAAAACCACAAAGATACAGTTGAAAAAATTAAAATTTTTCTCTGACCGTCTCTCCTCATTTTCCATAGTCTCTCGTCTGCAAAGACTGGTGAATATCTCGGATATCCCTGCGTTTTAAAAGCTAAAATTTTCGGGAATTAATCTACCATCTATAAGAACCATCCTGGCCAAATTTCAGACAAAAATCAAATTTTTTCCAAAAAAATTTTTTATTTTCCCCAAAAAAATCAAATTTTACCCAAAAATTTTGCAGAGTGAGCCAGCTAAGCTGAAATACCGTTTCCAATGGGAAGAACGCTACATAACGCATGCGAATCCGACCACTTTATACCATTCGCGGAGGACTCATCAAGCGATGACGTCATTATTATCGTCAGTTTCGATTCACAATTCGCAGAAATCGGAGAGAAAATTCGACACACAGGAATGGCCATGTGATTTGGAGATGATCAATGTGCGATATTTGAATTCGACGAGGTTTGCGATCACGTTTAGGAAGTTGGAATTTGACAGCAGTGTAGTGCATGCGGGGAAATGCGAGACAAATGTGGTAAGATTTTTTTTTTGATTTTTTTTTTTTTTTTGAGATTTATTGACAACGAAATTTTAAAAACAAATTTAAATTGATGAGATAGCCACCGAGATTTCTCATTGTGACCAATATATGGCTCGGGACTTACAAATCTTTGTGTGTCCAAAAAATGTGTCATCATGACACGTGTTTAAAATCTGCCAGTGGCATAAAAACCGGCTGTATATGGATAACAATACACCCTAGAGCACGTCGAAAAAATTGCGGGCGTTGCAAAGCTCCCTGACGCAGAAAAAATCCAGAAAATGCGTCATATAAATTAGAAAACTTGTCATCCAAACTGCGCGTTTCAAAAAATTTAAACTCAAATTTTTTTATGGGCACTAGGGAGTATTACAAACCATATACAGCCGTTTTTTATACTACGGGCACATTTAAACAGGTGTAATCATGACACATTTTCTGGACACACAAAGATTTGTCATCAGTCTGTCGGGAAAATAATGAGCACTCTGTAGTATCAAAAATCCCATATTAGCCGAGAAAATGAATTGTGTGGCGGCAAAATCCAATTTCTTTTCACTTCAGCGACGCGATCTGCGCAGCGACATTGCGCTCACTATTTTCCCGACAGACTGACATAATTTCCAAGCCATATATGGATTAGGCTTTACAATTAGCTTATCTCAGCTGGATGTGTAACGATCCCCGGGCCCTGAGGATCGGCTGGGCCCGGGGACATCCCTGAGGTCGGAGGAGGAATCTCCGAGGGGGCATAATGAAGTGTGATGCCATGCCTGGCAATGGAGGCACGTCTTCCGACTTGGGCATCCGGTGATGTCGTGACTGCCTAAACAGTTGACACAACGGTCGCCAATGAGTTGACGACGCACCGCACGGTCTGTAACGGTAGTACAGTCGAGGGGATTGTGATGGGGCGAGGAGCAGTAGAGGCAGGGTTGCCGTGGAATCTTGTGCGGTCGCCGCATCTCTTGATCGAGGTTGTGGCGGAGTGAGTTGACGAGAGCTTCGGACGCCTCAAGGCGGAGCTGGGTTTGGCGATGTATATCCTCTTCGATCCGGAGCGAGGCGGCGAGTTGTTGAACTTGTTCCTCTAGTTGGGCCATCTCTTCCGCCGAGGCCCGCTGTTGCTGGCGTAGGGCCTCTCGGAGGGCTTGTATGTCCCTGTTGCATCGATCGTTGTCTTGTGTTAAGATCCTTCGGGTTCTGCGAGCTTCGTCGAGCGTCTCCCTGAGATGTTGGGCCTCCTCCTCCAGCTGGGATTGGGCTGAGTAGGAGGAGGAGGCCGCTGCGGATAGAGACTCAAGCTGTTGGCGGAGTTTCTGGTTTTCCCGTTGAAGGATCTTGATGGCGTCGGACGTGGAGGGGCCAGACATTCTTAGAGGTGGAGGGGCCTATAATTTAGGAAATCGAGGGGCCTGGAATCGGCCTGAAATAAGTACTAGTTCGTTCTCAAAGTCGTTGGAGTGATTTTCGGCGTTTCACTGTGCAAGAGTCAGGGTGCGAGCAACATCATCAAAAGGGAATCAGACCAGCGACTTTACGAACAGACTAGTAGGTTAGGTCACCAGAAATGTCGCAGCGCAAAAGACATTTTTTAAAAGGAGGGAGACCGGCTTGGTGGCAGGGGTCACCAGTAAAAAATTAAAACATTTCCTTGGTCCCCCTTACCGTTTTTTTCCCGTTGACCCGGGCTTGCAATAAGCGTGAATACCGGAAGGTTGCGTGCTGAGACCACGTCGGGGTCACCAGAAAGTAATCACTACGCAATGTCCCGGCTTAGGGATGGCGCAAACGACATTGGAGGCGGGGGTAGGCAAGGGTTATCGTACTTTCTATATAATTTCCTACCTGTAGATGAAAGCTGGTGCTGGGGGGTGAACAAGGCAGGGTGGTAAACTTGGATATAAATTTATTGCGTCAATGAGACGGCTTATGTAACCAGCGAAATGGGCGTGTTTGCCGAAGTGTATAAGGGCTGGGCCAAGCGGAAATGGGCCTGGCCATAGGACACCTCATCAAAAGGATATTCATGCAATCATGGGTTTAAAAGGCAAATGATGTGGTTATTCATCGGCTTGGAAGGGAAAGGCGCTGATCATTAAAGGCGATGACTATTCCTGTGATTTGAAAATGGCGAAACAGCGGCCACAATTACTCATACGATCGGGAAATGGAATTGGCTTTAGCTGCTTTGCGAAGAATTTGAATGACTTGCGACATGGCCAAAAAATCTTTTTTGAGGCTCGTAGCTTTTTTCGAATTTCCACACAAAACACTTAGGGCACCCCAAGTGCGACGCTCAGATTTTGATGAAACTTGACATAAATTTTATTTGATTTTTTTATAAGAAGTATGCCAGAATCCTAGCTTCCGCTTTGCAGAAACAGCCGAGATTTTTAGGCAAGTATCTAAAACAGCTTGTGCTGGACCATACAACTTGGATTAATTGTTTGAAATAGGGGGGTTTAGAATGGACGAGGGGGTTTGTACTGGGTCATGGGGGCTAAACTGGACTGGGGGGCTGTACTACCTTAGCCCCAAAACTTTTTCTAGAATTTTGTCATGAAAAACTTCAAGCCTATTTCTAGCGTAGAGAGTAATGGTTCTACAAAAACATATTTTTTCCGCGCGAAACTGGTAAAGACATGGTTAAAAAGATCCTTCAATATACCGGTGACAACTGCAAAGCGTGAGCCAAAATTTTCAGCAGTTGATATATGGCCTACACCCAGCTTGTGTGTAAAATTTAAAGCAAATCTGAACGTCGCAAGTGGGTAGATACGAATGAATCATCATAGAACTTCATTTCTCATTTTTTTAAAAATGTTTTTAAAATTGAAAAAAAAACTTTTTATAATACCGTATTTTAAAAACCAACTATCACTTTCATCATTCCAGGACTTCTACGCGATCCTCCTAAAATGGATGACGAAACATCGAAGCAAGGCGTTTTACTCCAATTTGGCCACAACCAAGCTCTCCGAACCGGTCACAGCGACCAATCTTCATCAACGATTGGACAAGAAATTTGAAATTTATACAATCGTCTTTATCAGGGTGTAACCGCTTTATATCAGCTTGCAATTTAGTATTGGAAATTGTGCAATATTTGTGCAACTTTTACGGGTTTTTCGTTTGCAATTGCAATAGTTATCATGATGTTATGTAATACAGATTTTTAATAAATCGAAGATTTGAAATGGGAGGTTGAATAAACCGGAAATTAAGGGGCAGATCTTGTTGAAACCCTTGTTGGAACATTACCATCTGCTGTAAAAATTCGTCTAACACCTTTCTTTAGCAAACGTCGCAAAAAAAGACCGCATTTTTTCCAACTTTCGACCTAGAAATCTCGGTAGTTTCTGCAAAGCGCGATCTACATATTATAGTAGTCTGTCTTACAGGGGAAGTACTCCAAGGGCGACGCTCAGATTTTGATGAAACTTGGCACAAATTTAGAATGATTTTTTCTAAGATATATGCGAGAATTCTAGCCCGCGCTTTGCAGAAACAATCGAGATTTTTAGATCAAAAGTCGGCCAAAATTTAGGACTTTTTGTCGAATTTCGGCTCGAAAAGTTTCATGCCTATTTCAACCGTAAAGGGTAATGTTTCTACAAAAAATAAAAATTTTCCGCTCAAAACTGCCAAAGTTATGGCCAAGATCCAAAAAGGTGTTTTCTCTCTGACCGCTCTCCACGTTTAGCGTGCTCTCTCGGCGGCAAAAATCGTTCGATATGTCGGCGGCGCCCGCAAAGCGCGAGGTTAAACTTTCAGTAATTGATATTTAGTCCATGCCCGACGTGTGTGCAAAATTTAAAGAAAATCGGAGCGTCGCACTTGGGGTAATTCCCCTGTTAATAGAAAAAATTATTCTAAATTTTCGCCAGGTTTCTTCAAAAGGATTTACTTTCACGTCGAGAAAGTGAATTGTGCCGTGGCAAAATCAAATTTCTTTTCACTTCATCGACATGATAGGCGAAGCGACATTGTACTCATTATTTTGCTGGCACATTGATACTATTATATCTTTGTAAGCAGCAGTCGACTCTCGGCATTTTCTCCCCTAAAATTCATTCATATTGAGCACCATGGCTAACGATTTACAGTCCTCGAACCTCCGTGAACGAGAAGATAACGTTGCAAGTAAATTCCCCAAATATTCTTGTCCTCCGTTTCCATGGCAGCCCAATGGAAGCCCAGCTTTTCCCACTTCTCATCATGGATCCAATGGCCCGGGGCATGATGGAAAAATTGATAAAAATTTTACGAAACCAGCCACTATTTATTTTTTATTTATGAAATATATCGAAAATGCGGCTGACGTTGTATACGTAGGCCGTGTCTGGCCCGAATGCGATCCCTCCAATTATCCGGCCCTCTTCTTCGGATCAGGGCCGGCTTGAGTCGGTTTTTTTCGCGTCAAAAAATAACCCAGAGGAGGAGGGGAAGAGAGAGGATCGAGGGACGAAGAAAATGTTTGAATTTTCGTGTTTTTTGGTCTTAAAACTTTTGGGATTTTACGGCCGGAAATTCGGGCGAAAACAGTGGTTTTGGCTTTAAGATTTTGTTTGATTTTAACCCTTCCGACTTTGTAGGGGTTGATTTTTTACTAGTAAATCGCAAAGTGACTTTTTTGCAACTTGACTTTTTTGGACTGAGACCAAAGAGGGTCCCGAAACAAAGAGGCCCCCTTTTAATAAAATTTTTTGAAAATCAAAATGAGAGGTGACATGTTATACGATAAAAAAAACTTTTTGCAAAATGTAAAAATTAGGTATAACGCGTATAACACGTCGTCTGCTCTAAATTTTCATCGTGTGATTGCTGATTATTTTTTTCTATTGCGAATTAAATTCAACAAAATTTGCATCGTATAACATGTCACACACTATTTCTTTCATTTTGCAAATTCTCTTTTCATTTTTGGAGCCTTCTTGGTTATTTTCGAATTTTCCGTGAATATCAGTCTGTCGGGAAAATAACGGCGGATCGCCGCGCCTCGAGATCGCTCATCATCGCTTTGCGACTGCAAGCCGCGGCTTGGGATTTGGTGCGACGATCCGCCATTATTTTCCCGACAGACTGATAAAAAAAGGGGCCTCTCCTTCCTTTCTTTGTAGGCCTCTTCGTTTCGGGGGCCTCTTTGCTAGTTTTTGAGTTTTTCTTGGGCCTCCCCGGTTAAGGGACCTCTTCGCCTGCAACTCCTTTTCGGCATAGAACGCCAAAAATCACTCCAGATTTTACGAACGGAATAGTAGAAATTCATCCTCTCTTTGACGGTATAAATTGATTTTGAAACCTAAAACATGCTGTTTATGTTTCGAAACGTTGTCTTTGGCCTCCGCCAATCGCAGTTTGGATCTAATCCAGAGGAGTTATTTATAGATTTTTCTCCTCTCGATTTTTTAACTTTCTAGGTCAATCAAGTAATAACAAGTCAAATGAGGGGGAAGAGAACACTTTTTGGTTTAGAAAATGACCTAGAAACTGGTGAATTTAAGATTTCAATGTTATGATGATGGTATACAGTAAGAAAATAATGAAAATTTCCGGGGTTATGACGCTTAGGTTTACCTCAAATTTTGAGGTTTTGCTCAGTCTAGGCCACATGCCAGTCTCTCAAAATTGTAGCTCGTTCTTTGCGAGCGCAGATATTCTACGAGATATGGGACGAGAGACTACGGCAGATGAAGAGAGAGGGTCAGAATAAAGTTGTCATAATTGTACCTATTTGTGTTTCCCGTATAAAATTACTCGCGTAGGTCATGCAATGCCCCATGAGGGGTGACATGTTATACGATGAAAACCTGTAACACCTGATTTTACTTGAATTTTTAGAAAAAGATCTAGAAGTATCCACACCTTTTTTGGTCGTGACTTTTTGAAAAATCCGCCTGATAGGTAACTGTTAGCCTGTTTCCTTGAGGCCATTTCTTGATTTTCCACTTCCTCTTTTTCAATGTTCAGTTTGTATGTTACCATTTGATCCCTCTTGACCCCCATTCTTTTCTCGAAACTTCGGAAAGGCCTGTAAAAACTTACAAGAGAAATACCACGGGTAGATTTTGATGAAACTTGGGGACAAATTTAGAGTATTTTTTGCATGACATTTACGGGACTCCGAGCTCTCGCTTTGCAGAAACGAGCGAGATTTTTAGATCGAAAGTTGGTAAAATGTGACAATTTTTTTTCAAGTTTCGGCATGAAAAGTTACATATTTATTTCTACGGTAAAGGGTAATGTTTTCACCAAAAAAAAATATTTTTTCCGCGCGAAACTGGCAGTGATACAGCCAAAAGAATTTTTTTCTGACCGCTCTCCGCATTTTACGTACTCTGTCGGCCACAAAAATCGTTGAATATCTCGTGTAATCCACATTATTTTCCCGACAGACTGATACAGAAAAAATGGGAAATTGCGTTTTTTTCAGAATTTGGAAAAAACTTTTAAATTTTTATCAATTTATAACCAAAAAATATCTTTTGTTTCTGCAAAATGCGAACCAAAAATCTCAATTTTTTTGACTTTTTAGAATTATCATATCAGTCTGTCTGGAAAATAATGAGCACCCTGTGGCTGCGCCGATAGCATCGCTGAAGTGAAAAGTAATTTGATTTTGCCACAAAACAATTCATTTCCTCCGCCGCGACGCGATTTTCGATGCGACAAATTGCTCATTATTTTCCCGACAACACATAATACCTTCTATCTCTTCTCACGTCTTCATAATCCATCTTAAACATGTTCATTCATTCCCCCCTTCTTCTCCGCTGTTCTTCAATTTTGACGCGTTCGATTAAATTTGTTTGATCCGATCTTGTTGTTTACACATTCAAAGGCCAAGCAGCGGGGAAAATGATGGAGGAATGGAGGGAGGCATTCTGTTTGCCTTCGGGCTCTTTTCATAGTTTGCGCTTTACACAAAACGCTTATTTTTTGGGGATTGAGAAAAAAAACCTGACGTCTCGATGAACAGGGGCTGGAAAAAACTGGAATGTAATGGATATATCGGAACGTCGGGAAAATTGTGAGTCGCTGCGCCAAGTGTCATGAACTATGAATTTGCAAGATTTGAGTGAAAATGATTTGTTGTTGGGACATTTTGGTGGTAGTAGAATTGCGTGGGATTTTTGGTACAATATTATATCAATGTTTTCTAGAACGTATATTAGTTTCTTACATTTAGTCTATGGTTGGCAGTCGTTTTGCAATTTTTTATACATATTATATTAGTCTGCCGGGATAATAATGAGCACTACAGTGGGGGACCTAAAAAAGTGGCAAAAACCGTACCATTTTGCATCCGGGAAGCATCAAAAATGTGGCAAAATGCTTCCCTCTCCAAGTGAAAAAACCTCGCTTTGAAGGGCGCGCCCTTTTTCCTCACAAAGGAGCTTTTGAAATCTGAGTTTTTTCACTCGGAGAAGGAGGTATTTTGCCACATTTTTTGATGCATCCTGGATGCAAAATGGTACGTTTTTGCCACTGGAACAGCTCCCCCACTGTACAGAGTACACACAATTTTAGCCGGGCTAAAAATTTTCAGCCCAGGTCTTTCAGAGTTCAAAGATTTAAAGAAATTTTTTTTTACTTGGAGAGGGAAGCATTTGGCCACATTTTTGATACTTCCCGGATGCAAAATGGTATGTTTTTTGCCACTAGATCTGGTCCGCCACAGTATGTCGCATCAAATGTCGCATTCCCGCCGAGAAATTGAATTGTGTCGCGGACTGATGCTGCTCAAGACAAAAAGTCCTGATAATTTGTATTGACAAGGGAAGTACCCCAAGTGCGACGCTCAGATTTTCTTTAAATTTTGCACACGCGTCGGGAATAGACTAAATATCAATTCCTGAAGTTTTAGCTCGCGCTTTGCAGGCGCCGCCGAGATATCGGACGATTTATGCCGCCGATGGAGAGCGGTCACAGAGAAAACACCTTTTTCGCCATATCTTTGGCAGTTTCGCGCGGAAAAATTTGATTTTTTGTAGAAACATTATCCTTTACGGTAGAAACAGGCAGGAAACTTTTCGTGCCGAAATTCGGCAAAAAGTCTTAAATTTTCGCCGACTTTCGATCTAAAAATCTCGGTTGTTTCTGCAAAGCGCGAGCTAGGATTATCGCATATATCTTAGAAAAAATTATTCTAAATTTGTGCCAAGTTTCATCAAAATCTGAGCGTCCCACTTGGGGTACTTCCCCTGTGAGTTTTTTCGGCTAAAAAATTAGAGTCGACCATCGAAATAAGAATTTTTCTCTATTGTAAAAACAATTTTCTCACTAATTTTCACCATGACCAATGCGCCACAACTCTGATAGTGAGTAAACGGGGCTTTGGTAGTTCAGCCCCCCACGAACGGTAGTTCAAACCCCCACTGTTTTGTCCGTTTCACACCCCCCATAATTAAAAAATTAGAATTATACAAAAAATGCAAATTAGAGTAAAATGACCCCCGGCGTTTTAGCTCAAACCCCCAGTTACCGTCCAAATTCGTTCTTGTGGTTCAGGCAACGATGATCGTTGCCGAGAGAACCCAATCCCGAGTAGGCGCTTCAGATTGGATGAGGGGGTTTATACTGGGTCATGGGGGGCTGAACTGGACTGGGGGGCTGTAATACCTTAGCCCCGAGTAAACTCCTCGCTGATCCTAAGCCTCATTTGAAACTACACCAAAAATCTTCGTCTTTTTATGATTGACGTAAATTACGGCTAATTCCCGACTGATAACAAAAAATTTGCCTACACTTTGCGATCATTCTACATAACCTATCCCATGAAAGGAATGTTAATCCGCAGGCGTATCCTGGACATTTTTAAATACCTGTTCTGTCCTCTTATCTTCCATCTTACTCATTTCGCCGTTCAAAGTGTGAACGCCAAACGAAAAAAAGAGGGCGGATGTCAGGTTGTCACGTTCCGCTTCATCCAGCAGTCCTTTCGACAATCGATATTTTTGAACGAGAATGTACCCGTAGGACAATTTTTCTGGACTTCTTATAAACTAGTCATTATCGGGTTTTGAAATTCTTCCGAGAATTTTCAGAGATGTTTTTCTGCAAGATTTCGCTGCCCAACCTCTTCTATATGCATGCCAATTTCGAAAAATGTTTTTGTTTTGCAAGGGCCATCTTTTCCTCCGAGGCACTTTGGAAAATAAGATGACCAAACAAATCGTCTTGGCCAATCTTTTTGAACCCAGTACGGAAAGTATGATATTTTTTGAGACCTATTACTCTGCTTTTCAGCCAAAATACGGATTTCATTTTTTGCATTTTATTATAATAGAAACCAAATTTTGGGTCAAGTGTTCCTCTGTGCCCAAAGAAGAGGACAATTCCATTGGGTCAAGTCTTTGACCCAGAGGCTAAAAAAGGGACAATTCCTTTGAGTCAAGTCTTCCTCTGAGTCCTCAAAAGGACCATTCTTTTGGGTCAAGTCTTTCTCCGAGCCCATAAAAGGACAATTTTTTGGGTCAACTTTTTCTCTGAGCCCATAAAAGGACAATTCTTTTTGGGTCAAGTCTTCCTCTGAGTCCATAAAAAGACAAATTTTTTGAGTCAAGTCTTCCTCTGATCCCACAAAGATGACTGCTTTGTGGGCCAAGTCTCCCTTTGAGTCCATAAAAAGACAAATTTTTTGAGTCAAGTCTCCCTCTGAGTCCATAAAAATACAATTTTTTTGAGTCAAGTCTCCCTCTAATCCCAAAAAGATGACAATTCAAATTTTGGGCTGTTAAACCTCATGCCTTCAGCTCTTTTTCTCAAAAAATCAAAAAAAAATCTTTCAAATTCCACATTACTTCCTTACCTCGTGCTGTTTACCCCTTGCAGCTTGCTTTTCGCGGTTAAAACCCCACTTTAACCGGCTGCTAAACCTGCCGGAACGCATTATCCCCTTAATTCCTCACTTTTATCGCTCCCAGCATTCTCCGCGTTCCCCGGAATTGGCCACAATTTCGTGTTGGCCCCGAAATCATAAGCCCCAAGATTTTTGTTTGATTTCGGACGCCCTGAGGGCCCGAGAGCAAGTCTAGGTGATTTTTTCGAACACGTTCGGCCTTTTCACGAGATCCGTTTCTCTCTTCTGCCCGTTCGAACGCGCCATTATGCCCTCAGGGTTTGTAATTAAAACCATGCGGAGGGCTCGTTTTTGAATTTGGATATTACAAGTTTGAACGGGTTTTCGCGAGGAGCTGCTTGTAATTAGTAGCGTATGGGAAGAGGCGCAGGAGGCTGTGTTTTTGGACTTTTTTGTGGGAAACAGAAATAGATGGGTTTAGAAGAGTAAGGAAGAGTAAGTGGTAGTCTTGTGTGGGCTCTAACTATTACAATATTTCTCTGGAATACAGTGGAACCGATTCTAGAAAAATAGTAGCTCAAGCGGAGCTTCTGAATAGAGAAGGTTTCCTTACTCTAACAGGGCTATAAATTGCATGTCTCGGGCAGAAAAAAGCTATTGACTGCGGAAACGCTGCCCACTGTAGATTCTATCAACGTAAACACTTTTGATTTTTTGTTCTCGTCCAAAAAATGCAACCTAAAACTTTCTAAAGAGTCGGGAAAATAATGAGCACTCTGTCACCGCGCAAACCGCATCGCCGCCGAGAAAACGAACAAAATCAAATTGCTTTTCACTACAGCGATGCGATTGGCGAAGCAACGTTGTGCTCATTATTTTCCCGACAGACTGATATAAAGTGTTTGGCCCATGCATTATCCTTTTTAGACTGTGGGGAAGATAATGGGAATTTGTATGTCTTGTCTCTTCACATACAAACCAAAATTTGGGACAAGTCTTCCTCTGAACCCACAAAGGTGACAATTCAAATTTTGAAAGCTGCGTTTTTTCAGGATCCGTCAAAACTTTTAAATTTCAAATTTTTGCGCACCAAACCTCCAGCGCCAAAACCAAATTTCTTTCCACTTCAGCGACTCGATTAGCGCAGCGACATTGTGCTCATTATTTTCCCGACAAACTGATGATTTCTTGATTTCTTTATCTCTAAACTTATCACGTGTTTTACCAAGCATTCTTCCTCAATTTTTTAACTGTCAACACTTCCCAATCCAACCCTCAAACATGACCTTTGACATCACTCTCCCATTCGCAGTTCCAACACCATGTTAAGCCTGAAATATTTGCACAGACACACCCAATTTTTCTCCTATATTTTTATATTTTTTAAAATATTTATTTTCACGGTTCTTGTCATCAAATATTTGCGCTGTTCCCATGATTTTGAAAATATAAAAATGCAGGTTTTATGCGAAATGATTTCACTTCGGAAAGGCTTCGAAGAAGCGGCGTCATCGCCCTGATTTTCCCAAATTTTCCCGTTAATAATCCCTGAGTCATAGCCCGAACTTTGGAGGTCATGGGGTTTGTTTTTAGCGGCCGGCATTTCGAGGGAAATTGATGAATCTTAAGTGGAAATGCTTATTAAAGAAGCTGGATGAGTGATAAGACAAAATGAATGTTTTGTGGAGGAAAATCTCGTTATAATAAACACTTTTTACAACGACAAAATTTTATTAGGGTGTCCCATAAGTCTTGCAAATTTTTGGATTTAAGAATTAACGTCTCATTTCGAGGGCCTCGAGAACTGTGCTCATTAATATTTGGTACTGTTAGAACCATCATCTCTTACACTTGTTAACAGCATAAAAATTTTAACCAAGCAGATGCCCTCCGGGCAAATACTTGACATTCCTTAATATTATCCAGTTTTGGGAAGGGTTAGGAAAACGATTCCGTTCTGGCAAAATCTTCAATGTCTAGTACAATATCGGGGCAGTGTGGGTAGCAGGTGGACTTTAGGTGGCCTTGTCATATACGATTTAGAAGCGCTTTATCTGGGCTTCACAACAGCATATCCAACATACTCCGTAATGCGTTTCAAAGCTTTCAGGAATTCGCACAAATCGACAACCCAAAAATTTGCAAGACTTATGGGACACCCTAATACTATATACCTGTCTGTCGGGAAAATAATGAGCACTATGTCGCATCGAAAATCGCACCGAGAAAATGAATTGTGTCACGGCAAAAACAAATTGTTTTTCATATATTATGCTTTGCAATGAAGCCAGGATAATCATCATTTTTTTCCGTTGGGAGAGCGCGCAAAATTCGGAGAGCAGGCAAAGAGAGAAATGGGGCTTTCGCCATCTCTTTGCAAAATTTTTGACACGCAAAACTTAAGATTTTTTCGAAAACGCCACTATGTCTCAGTCTGTCGGGAAAATAATGTGGATTTGTCGAATCGCCCATAATCGCTGGCTTCAATGGCTAGCTGCGGCTGGAATATCGTTTTCTGTGGGAAGGCGAGACATTTTGCTATGACAAGTCCACATTATTTTCCCGACAAATTGATATAGATCAAATTTTGGGTCAAGTCTTCCTCTGAGCCCACAAAGATGACAATTCAAATTTGGAAAGCTGCGTTTTTTTCAGAATCCGTTAAAAACTTTTAAACTTCAAATTTTTTACAATTAGCCATTAAAAAATATGTTTTATTTCTGCAAAACGCGAACTAAAAGTTTCAATTTTCGATTTTTTTGAATTTTCCATATCCACATCAGTCTGTCGGGAAAATACTGAGCAAAATGTTGCTGTGCCAATCACGTCGCTGAAGTGAAAAGTAATTTGATTTTGTCGCGAAGACAATTCATTTTCTCGGCGACGCTGCGATTTTCGCTGCGACAGAGTGCTTATTATTTTCCCGACAGGCTGATTTCCCATTTTTTCTGGATTTTTTATGAAACCAGAGGAGAAAGTCATGAGGTATAATTTATTTTTGTTTGTCATTCTTCTCCATTTTTTCTTTCTCCAATATTTTTTGGATCTGATGACGTAATCTCCGTGACGATTGCTAAATAAATAATAATACATAAATAGAATCCATCATTTATTTTTGTCAATAAAACCTTCTATTTCAGGAGATATTTGCTCAAATTCGCAACAAAAAACGACGGTTTTCATCTAAATATTTATTCAAATTTTCCAAAAATTATTCAAATTTTTGGAATTTCCAACTTTTCTCTAATTCCCCCTGAGGCATTGAATTTTTAACTGCCTCCGAAACGTTCAACAAGCCTTGAGAGAGTTTCCGAACCAACAGGGAATTTGATGTAGGCCGTCAAAACGCCCGAGGTGACGAATAATTAGGCCACGCCCACCCGCGGAAAGGAGCGAAATTTGAAGGCCCCAAAATGGTGGTCCTGGGCAATGACTGCAAAATGTCGGCCGCCGATCAGCCGGCCGACGCGATTCATGTGGACGAAATCGATCACTTCAATGGTAAGTGGTTTTTGGCTCGAATTTTTTATTATGTTGGCATTTTTGAGGGTAAATTTTGGGGATTGGAACTTGTGATATTGAGGAAAATTAGAGCAGGTTTTTACGGCATGTTCGACTTTTTCACTTGCGCTTTACAAATATTATTGAGATTTTTAGGCCGAAAATTATTATCGAGATTTATTTTTTTGATAGAACGAATTTTTCTTTATTTTGTTGTTTGCGTAAATGCTTTACTAGCAGGCTGCATAGCATTTCTATAAAAAATTTTTTTCCAACGACTGCTCGAAATGTTATTGGCAACAAATTGCTTCGGGCCAATGGTCCAGATTTGGTCTTTTGTATAATAAAAAGATCGTTGAATACCAGTATTTTCAGAGAGTACTTATCAGTCTATCGGGAAAATAACGGCGGGTCGTCGCGTTAAAATGTCTCGTCTCGCCGCTATCGCGCAAGAAATTCCAAGCCGTGGCTTGCAGTTGCAAAGCGATGATGGGCGGTTTCGAGATGCGACGATCCGCCGTTATTTTCCCGACAGACTATACTTTTATCTCAGCGATGCCCCTGATTTTCAGGGATTGGTTTACGGACCATTTGGGGGACCTATGCCAAATTTTTAAAAATTGGGGGTAATTTTTTTGGAATACTGAACTTTTTTATTTTATTTTTTCCGTTTTTGTGGGAAATTTTAATTTCAAAAATTGTTTGGATTTTCATAAAGAAAACCAAGACTGTAATATATGTTTTTATGTCAAGTATTACCCAGTAATCCATTTATTTTTACCTATTTCTTCTATATTTTACTAATTCTCACCTTGTTTTAGACGATTGGTCACCGCCCTTTGCTTTTCGAGATGGAGTCAAAATACGAACCGAACAGAAGCTCTCCGACTTCTACACCGTCTACGAGGAGATTGGAGAGTACGTCAAAAAAGTCATTTTTTAAATTATTTAATTTTTTTTTCAGAGGCAAATTCGGCAAAGTTTTCCGTTGCGTTGAAAAAGAAACGGGTTTAACGTTGGCGGCGAAGTTCATTAAGCTTCGGAAGGATGCGGACTTGGCCAAGGTGGAAAAAGAAGTGGGTTTTGGGGATTTTTTGGTTGAAATTTTTGGAAAAATAAATTTAAAAAATTTTTTTTTTAATTTTAAAATTTTTTAATAATTTTTTATTGGCTATTAAAAAAATTAAAATAATCTTGGGGGTCGGTTTTGAGGTTTTTTGACCGACTTTTTTGGTCGAAAATTTTTTTTATTTTTTTTTTTTTATTTTTTTCTTTTTTTTATTTTTTAAATTTTACAAGTTTTTAATAGCTTTTTTGCGATTAAAAAAATCAAATAATTTTGGAAGTCGGTTTAAGGATTTTTTGACCGATTTTTTGGTCGAAAATTTTTTAAAAAATTTTTTATCTTTTTTTTCTTTTTTTATTTTTTTTTAATTTTAAATTTTTAATATAGCTTTGTTTGAAATTAAAAAAAATTTTTTAAATATTTTTTTTTTCAAATAAAAAAAAATTATTTCAAAATCCAACAGTACAAATTTCGGCTTCGTCCAAAATTAATTTCTCTTTCCCAAAAATTTCGCTTTGATTTTAGGTCCAGATCATGACTAAGATGCGACACAAATGCATTGCTCAGATCTACGACGCTTTCGCCGGCGCGAACAATGACGTCATCCTGATAATGGAAATGTGCGTTTAATAATTACTGTAAAATTTCGAAAAAATATTTTTTTATTTTTTAATAATATTTATTGATTTTTTATTTTTTTTTTTATTTCAAAAAAAAATTTTTTTATATTTAAAAAAATTTTTTTTATTTTAAAAAAAAATTATTTTTTTTTATTTTTTTTAGTGTGGCCGGTGGCGAATTGTTCGATCGTGTAATTGAAGAGTATTATGTCCTCACGGAGACCGCGGTAGCCCTAATTATGTATCAGATATGCGAAGCACTCGCCTACATACACAGTCAAAATATCATTCACTTGGATTTGAAGGTAAAAAATATTTTTTTGCAAAAAACTTTTAAAAAAAATTGCAGCCAGAAAACATAATGTGTGTCTCGCAATCGGGTAATCAGGTGAAATTGATCGACTTCGGTCTGGCTCAATATTACGATGGATCTCATGACCTGCTCTTGATGGCCGGCACTCCCGAATTCGCGGCGCCAGAGGTGATAAAATACGAACCCTTGGACTTCCATACGGATATGTGGAGTGTGGGGGTTATTGCTTATATTTTGTGAGTTTTGAATTTTTTGAAGGGAAGAGTTGACTCAAAATTATTGAAATGGGTCAAGTCTTTCTCTCGGTCAAATTTTTGGCGTTTTGATAACTTGGTGGGAAAAAGTGTAGGGAGGGCTCAAATTTAGTGATTTTGGTCCTTTTTTAGTCGGCAATTTGCCCGGGCAAGATCAATCTGACCAGAATTTATCCGGTCAACTTGCCCAATATGACCAAAATTTGACCGGTGAAGTTGATAAATATAATTTTATGGCAAGCCAGAGGGTATTCGAACTTGGCCGACCAAGTTTATCTTGCCTAATCTAACCGGTCAACTTGCCGAATATGACCAAAATTTGACCAGTGAAGTTGGTATATTGGAATTTCATTTTTAATTAGAGAATATTCAAACTTGACCAACCAAGTTCATCTAGCCCAAATTGACCGGTCAACTTTTCTAAATTTTCCCAATATGACCAAAATTTGATCAGTGAAGTTGGTATATTGGAATCTTATTTTTGATTAGAGAATATTCAAACTTGACCAACCAAGTTCATCTAGCCCAAATTGACCGGTCAACTTTTCTAAATTTGCCCAATATGACCAAAAATTGACCAGTGAAGTTGGTATATTGGAATTTCATTTTTGGTTATAAATATTCAAACTTGACCAGCCAAGTTCATCTTGCCCAATCTGACCGGTCAACTTGCCCAAAAAAGTCCAATTTGACCGCTCAAATTCTACCTCCAATTTCAACAGTACTTCAACAAAAAGCTATATTTCCATTTTCCAGGCTCTCCGGCGAATCCCCCTTCCTCGGCGACAACATCGCCGAGACCTACTGTAACGTCGAAAAAGGCAAATACGTCTTCTGCGAGCAATTCGATGAGAATGGAATCAGCGAAGAGGCTCGCGATTTCATCCGCAAATTGCTGGTGATGAACAAGTCCGAGAGAATGCTGCCTCATCAATGTTTGCAACACAGTTGGATAGTGAAATCTTTGGAGAGATCGAAGGAAATGTCCCGAAGACAGTCTCAACAGGAGTTGGAAAAGAGGCTCAACACACAGAAATTGAAGTCCTATGTGAGGAAGAAGCAGTTCAGAGTAAGTTGGAAAGGAATTTGAAAATTTTTTAAATTTAAAAATTTCATTTTTTTTTTTTTTTTTTTTTAATACTTTATACCATTTATACTCCGTATTTCACCTCCATTTTTTCAGAAAGCCGTCTTCACAGTGCTCTTCGTCAACCAGGCGATGCGTTTGATGCATACGTTGAAGGAGCGTCGTTCCGAGGCCGGCGTAAAATACGTTCAAAACATGCTGAATGCAGTGCAAAATCAACAAGAGCAGGACAAAAAAGAGATTTCTTCTTTGCTCAAGAGCTCATTCAAACGGAAACCAACGCCTGTCGGAGAGAATGCGCCGCCGAAAAAAGAGGAGGATGTGGTCATGAAGCCGACAACATCGCAAGAAACTGTTGGAAAATTGTCGGTAATGGATGTGGATAGGAGTGATAGCGATCATAAGGATACCTTGCAGGTGTGTTTTGTCATTATTTTAATGTTTTTTTTTTTTTTTTTTTTTTTTTATCACATGATAAGTGTTGAAAAGTCAACTTGCCCAATATGACCGGTCAAGATGACCGATAAATTTTAATGGTAATTTCCATTTATAACTTACTAAACTTTCATTGATCACCGTTAAAATCCGGGCTAGATGACCGGTCATTTTGGGCAATTTGACCGGTCAAATTGGGCAAATTGACCGGTCACAGTGGGCAAGTTGTCCATGACCTCTCAAATCCCCTCAAAAGTTACAATATTCCTCTATTTTTTAAACCTCAATACTTTAAATCCCCAAATTCCGCCAAGAGCAAGACTTGACCCATTTTAAGTCAACTCTTTCTTTACCAAGTATTCCTCAAGCCAAAATATTTTCAGATATCCGTCGTCTCCACTGACAATGAATCCTCTCGACCAAGTTCACCAAAACCCGCCAAGCGTCATCGCGAAAAAGGCGACAAACCGAAACGGGTCAAGTCTACCTCTCGAAAAGCCTCCAGCTCCGAGCAAGCCGCCAAAAAACCGAAGCAAGGCTCGTTGGGCACCGGAATGGCCACGATGTTATTGAAGCCGCCCGAGACCACGGAGCCGGCTTCGGTCGACGTGGATATGAAATCGCGCTCTCCTTCGCCGAAATCGCCGATTTTGGAGAGAAAACTGCCAAAGACGGTTGAGGAAAAAGCAGCGGATGTGAATAAGGTGGCTGAAATTAAAGTTCAAGGACTTGAGAAGAAGGACGAAGCCAAAGATGTGGCTAAAGACGGGGCTAAGAGCAAGAAAGAGAGTCTATTAGCTCGGCTACCCTTCAAGGAAGAGGTCAGTTCAACAAAATTCGAATTGCCCATTGCTTCGGCTGCAGTGGCGAAGAAAGAAGAGACAAAAGTTGCGGGAAATTCTACCATAAATAAGAAAGAAGAGCCTACAGTAGTCGCCGTGCCTGTAACGGCCGTTGCAACTAAGAAAGAAGAGGCTAAAGACCAGACCTCAACGACAAAACCATTTTCTTTACCAGTAGCGGCAGCTGCGATTAAAAAGGATGACTTTAAGCCGTTTTCTTTGCCGGTGGCTGCAGCGGCTCCTGCAACAAAAATCGAAGCCAAACAGCCGTTGTCGGCGTCGAAATCAACTCCTCTTCCAACTGAGACTACTGTAAAGAAGCCGTTGAGCAAGACCATCTCGGCAAAGGACGCCGAATCCGAGGGGAAATCGCCAAAACCGAAGAAAAAGCGGGTCAAGCCGAAGGAGACCGCTGTCTCGTCGGAAGCGACGATTTCCACCGCCAAGCTTGACTTAAAGCCTGCGGAAAATCGACCAGAGAACAAATTGTTCGAGTCAAAGTCGCTTCTGAAGCCGGTTGAGCTGCAGAAACCCAAAGACGAGGCGAAATGCAAGAGCGAGGAGCCGAGCGGATCAAAAGTCGGAAATCTGCTGAAACAACTCCAAAAAAATCAGACTTCAGATGCCCCCATGATGATGGCTGTATCTTCATTTGTCCCTGTAAAGGTTGAGCCTGCAAAGGTCTTGAAAATTGAGGAGGAAAAAGGCGAAATTAAGAAAGATCCGGCCAAGGTTTTGTCCCCCGAATTGGTCAGCAAAACCGTCAGCGAGAAGAAGGTTTCGGTGAGGAAAAAGAAGGTCCACAAGACCAAGGAAGCCGGAGAACCGAACAAAACGGAGGTTGAAAGTATCAAGGTAGGCTAGGGAAAAATTTTGGATTTTTTTTTTTCAAAATGAGATTTTTTTGGAAAAAAAAGATTTTTTCGAATTTTGTCGATAGTAAAAACTGCCTCAGGGCGATTTGGATAAAATTTTGGGGAAATTTAGAGCACACTTTTATAAGACACACCCGAAATTTTTAGGTCCAAATTTGCAAAAATAATCGAGATTTTTTGGTCGCAAAATGAAAAAATTAAAAAATTTTCTGAAGATTTTAGACCTGAAATTCTCATGGTCTATTACTAGTTGAATGTTTAATATTTCCATCAAAATTTTTTTTTTCCCCAGCGAAATCCGCAGAGTCATACAAAAATATGTAGTTTTGTCTGACGGACTCTCCTCATTTTGCGTGCTCTCTCGAAAAAACATTGCGGAATATCTTGGCTGCGGGTGAACGGAGTTCACTAAAACTTTCAGGGATTGATAGTAGAGATGTTTAGAGCATATTTGTGAACTTTGGTTGAGCCTGAACTCTACCCCTTTTCTGAAATTTACCCCAATCTGAACTCTACCCCTTTTTCAACTCTACCCCAAAAAAGGCTGAACTCTACCCCTTTTTCAACTCTACCCCAAAAAAGGCTGAACTCTACCCCTTTTTGAAAACTACCCCATTTTGAAAATTGAAAAAATGAGGTGTGACATCTTATACGATGGAATTTTTTTTCAAATTGAGATAAATGAGGTGTGACATCTTATACGGTGAAATTTTTTTTTCAAATTGAAAAGAATAAGGTGTGACACCTTATACGATGAAAAATTTTTTCAAATTGAAAAGAATAAGGGTGACACCTATTCAATTTGGAAAAATTTTTCATTATATAAGATGTCACATCTTATTCTTTTCAATTTGAAAAAAATTTCCATCGTATAACGTGTCACACCTCGTTTTTTCAATTTGAAAAAAATTTCCATCGTATAAGACGTCACACCTAATTTTTCTCAATTTGAAAAAATTTTTCATCGTATAAGATGTCACACCTCATTTTTTCAATTTTCAAAATGAGGGGTAGTGTTCAAAAAGGGGGAGGGTTCATTCAAGGGGTAGAGTTGAAAAAGCGGTAAAGTTCTGAAGGGGTAAAGTTCAAAAAGGGGTAGAGTTGAAAAAGGGGTAGAGTTCAAAAAGGGGTAGAGTTCAAAAAGGGGTAGAGTTGAAAAAGGGGTAGAGTTGAAAAAGGGGTAGAGTTGAAAAAGGGGTAGAGTTCAGAAAAGGGGTAGAGTTCTGCCGCAACGGTGAAATTTGAACAAAAAATTTAAAAAATTTTTTTTTTATTTTGTAATTTTTTTTTCAGAATGAGTCCTCTGAAGTAAAAGTCCAACATAAAATCAACGTGCATTCCCAACAAGACACCTCGCACACCGGAATCGCCACAAAAAAGCTGGTTTTCAACGAAAAAGACAAGACTTTAGTCAACAAATCCGCTGTTCTCACCGAACAGGAGAAAGTCATTGACTCCCGGGATGAGCTCGAATTGATTCGTCAACGGCTGCGGCAAGGCAAAGAGCGAAAAGAACAAATCTTCGTGGAAAAGAGCGAACAGACCACGGCGAAATTGGAGATCCACTCGGAAAACGGGGATTTGAAGTCGGCCAAGGGATTCGGAGAGAAGAAGAAAGTGTTGAAGGCCAAAGTAAAGGAGGATAATCACGTGGAAGAAGTGAAAGTCAGCGGTGGAGAGAAATTATATGCGCTTTTGGGACAAAAGGTGAGACTTTTTTGAATTTTTGGATTTGGTGAGAAGAAGGAACCTTTGCAAAAATGGCATCTAACGATGAGGGTACCTTGGAAAAAAGGGCACCTGGGCAAACAGAGTACCTTAGCGAAGAGAGCATCTGGGCGAAGAGGGCACATGGTTGGGAAAAGGGCATCTAACGAAGAGGGCACCTAGGAGAAGAGGGCACCTGGGGGAAAAAGGCATCTAACGAAGAGGGCATCCGGGCGAAGGGGGCACCCGGACAAGAAGGGCACTTATGCGAAAGGGCACCTAGGCCAAGAGGGCCCCAGGGTAAAGAGGGCACCTGAGCGAAGAGGACATCTTAGCGAACAGGGCATCTGGGCAACGAAGGAACCTAGACGAAGATAGCACCTGGGCGAATAGGGCACTTCACCGAAATGGACACCTTTGCGAAGAGGACACCTTAGCGAATAGGGCACTTAACGAAGAAGGCGCCTGGACGAAGAGGGCACCCGGGCAAAGATTCCAACTGGGGGAAGAGGACACCTAGAAGAAGAGTCACCACCTGGGTGCCCTATCATTTTTTCTCCAAGATCTAAATTAATTTTTTATTACATTTCCAAGGTACCTCTTGTACCAAATTTGGAGAATTTGGAGCAATTGCTTTTTTTCAAAAATTACAGTAACCCAAAAGATTTCAAAATTTGAAAAAGTGAAAAAAATCACCTCACTTTTTCCAGACCACTGAATTGTTCCCTTCCTACTGCAGATTCAAACCCACACGTGTAAATTCTTTTATTTTCAGTCGGCTCAAAACATTCCGCAGCCGAGTGTGAAGCCGGAAGTCAACGGGGTAAAGCCCTCGTTTTCCGAACAGTTGGCCGCAACTTTGGAGGCAAAGAAGCGGCAAAAAGAACAACAAGCCGCTTCGCAGTCGAAGAGAGGCTCCAGAAGCACGTTTGAGTTCGACGAAAATGACGATTCACTTCTCCGACAACAACAAGATGCCTTCGATTTTAGCCTGCTCAAGGTGAGAAACTAAAAATTTTTTTTTGTCATAGTGCTCAGAGGTCGAATTAGAGGGCGTGGTAAAAATTTAGAGAAATTTTTAACCGAATTTTTCAAAGAATTCTTGATTTTGAGTTAAAAATTTTTTTTTAATTTTGACAGTTTGCTCAGATTTTGATGAAACTTGAAAGCATATTCAGAATACAATTTTATAAAGAAAATGAGAAATTTTTAGTTTGCAATCCTCAGAAAATATTGAGATTTTTTAAAAAAAAAAAATCATAAATTAAAAAAAATTTTTTTTTGTGATGTGTAAAGTAAAACCTGTCTTATCTTTTACCAATCTCATGTATATTATTCCAACAAAAGGGCAATTTTTTCCGCTCAAAATCCGCTGAGATATAGGCAAAAAACGATAATTTTCTCTAACCGTCTCCTCATTTTACGTACTCTTTCGGGAAGAGATCATTGAATATCTCGGCTCTCTTTGCAAAATATTATTTGTGAGCCAGATGGAAGATTTGAGCCAAATTTGAAGGCATTTGGAGAATTTTATTTTGAGATATTACACTACCTTCACCTTGATTCCACTAGAAAAAAATTCGACAAAAAAATTTTTTTTTTTTTGATTTTGATATCCTAAGTCATAAAATACTAAATTTTCTATTCCCACTTCCATTTTCAGGCCAAACTGGAGCAGCGGCTAGCCGGAAATGCCTCGGATTCCATGGACGAACAGGCCTACTTGGACAACATGCAGCAAAAGCAAGAGGCAATCAAGTCGTTGCGCTCTCGTCTCACCGACACCGGCAACGTCCAAAGAGCCAAGAAGAAGTGGCTGTCGATGGAAAAGTCGTTATACGATGAACCAATTTAATCAGCCAAAATTAAAAAAAATATTCACAGGGTACCAAAAAGTGACTTTTCGATTTTGCTGAAATTTGAAAAAAATAGAAAAAAAATTGTGAGATATTTCTGAAATTTTTTACTCGCGCTTTGCAGAATTTATCGAGATTTTTAGCTCTAAATTTTTAAAAAATTCGGATTTTTTTTTTCGATTTTGGGTCTGAAAATTTGGGGTTTTATTATTAGTGAGGATGACAATATTTCTACAAAAAATCAATTTTTTCCAAGCAAAACCCGCAAAGATATAAGCCAAAACCGGTTCTTTGTCTGACCGCCCTCCCCATTTTGCGTACTCTCTCGCAAAAAAGATCGTTTAATATCTCGGCTCTCCCTGCAAATTCCCGGCTAAGATTTTGAGAAATTAATATATGACCTATTTAAAAGACGTATTCCAAATTTGAAGCAAATCGAAGAGTCACCCACCCTCGCCCATCCCTCGATATATCATGTTGTATTATAGCCGCTGATTTGCCGCCGCTTTCGATTACGCCATAAAAACGTGTATAATATAAATATTAACTTACTCAACTTGTTCGTTGTTAGTCCGTCTTCGTATTTTTGGTCTGTTTGGCCGGGTTCCCGGGGTTATTTTTATATTATACTTGGTGATATACTTTTGTAGTGCATTTTGAAAAATTTTTTCGAATAAAGTCAAAAAAATATTGTTTGAACAGGTGAACATAACAAGTTTTAACATTAAAATTTGACAGTAGGCCAATTTGTCTACAGTATAAAACAGCTGCAGGCTGCAGGAAGGTTCTACAAGATTCGGCGAGCTGCGCCCGAATATTTATCGACTTCTTGCGAGTTTCTTGTTTTTCGACCAATTTTTGTCAAAACCTGCAGTTAATTCTTGACGACAACGTGTTTTACTTCAGTTTCTGCTGATTTACAACGATTCGGACACCATTTTCATTAATTCTTTCGAGTTTTCGACCATTTTTATATTACACTTGACCTCTTGAATAAGATCCCAAATTTTCAGACGGCAGAATGGATGCCGACATAAAAGCATTCCTGCCGCTGCACAAGCAACCTTCTGAGCCTACAGTGGGATGCTTATCCACCAGCTTTGATCGTAGTTCATGCGGTACTTTCGACTCTTGCGAACCTTCTCTGGTCCCGTACTCGTATTCTTCGTCAGAGGTGGGAGAAGATTATGGAAGCTTCGCTGATAATATTTTGGGCACTCTGGACTCCTCCAGCCGCTTTCAGAAGGAATCTGAGAGTCGGATTAACTTTTCAGACGATTTTTTTGACAACAACTTAGCTGGCTATGATGAACATGAAAGTTTGGTGGAAAACGGATCTCAAAAGCGGGGAAGAGGCCCAAGACTTGATGGAAAAAAGACTCTGTTGTCGTTTAAGGAATTCGACAACACTTACTTCAAATTGGCACGTCATTTCAGGATCAAAACTATAACCATGAGTGGAGGTCGAAGCATCCACATGAGGTATGTCAATTTTGGTTGTTTTTGGTTTGGTTTTTATGTGTGATAGCTAGATTATGATGTAACAGACGCCATAGTAGCTGTAGAGAATTTTCAAAGGATGTTTCGAGTCCAAAATTGAGGAGGCAACGTCAAAATTCTGATTTTTGTCAAGTGTAATATACTTTTTGTCAGTAAAGCCGGGTTCTGACGGAATTTCATGCGGAAACGCTTGCATAAGATCCGCTGAAGCCTAATGAACCTTTCCTTTGCAGATGCCGCAATGCCGGCTGCAAGCGTCGCCTTCGCTTCTCCTATCTCGAAAATGGAGTGTTGATGGATGAAGACATTGAATTCCAGCACAACCATCCTCTCAGCGATGAGCCTGTCGAAGTTCTCTTGCCCGAAATTCCTCTGCCAATCCAGCGGAAGGTCATTCTACTCCACAAAACCCATCCGGAATACTCGAATCGCGAGATTTTGAGTTGTCTGAAAGCCGACTGCCACGGACAAGGGAAGCGGTACCAGGTTCCGAAGAGCTACAAATTCATTGGTCACCTCATCAACTTGGTTGAGAAGGAGGGCGAGTTTTGGCCCAATCCGGAGACGCCGGCTATAGAAGAGACTTTGAGCCAGCTAGTTCTTGGTTTAAATGACCAATCTTCATCTTCGGATGAAAGTGGTGAGTAGTAAAGTTGCTGTAAAATACTTTGTTGGTAAGTTTTAAAAAAGGTAATCGGCCATTTTCCTGTCAACCCGTCGACTTTTCGCCTTATATAATCATTTGTGACATTTCGTCAAAAAAAATCAATTTTGACATTTCGCAAGTGGGAAATTCTGCGATTTTCACTTATTTTCGCGCCATTCAGGGAGTTTTCTCCTATTATTGGCTTGAAAATTGCCTGATCTTTGTAGGATTCTGTGAAAAATTGTTAGTTTGCTCTCTCATGCAGTGTAATATCTTTTCCTCCGATTTTTCGTCGATTTTCTCCCAAAAAATGTTTTGTTATTGAAAAATTTTTTTGTTATGGTGTTGCAGAGATGGCTTCCACCCATGGATCACTAATTGACGGCTGTCAGGCTATTGTGGAAGAGACTACGGACACAAAACTTGATGATGATGCCGCTATGTTAATTGCTCAATTTGCTGTAAGTCTTTGGATTGAATTTGTGTTTATGTGTTTAGGAGACAGCTCTGAAAGCAATGTTGCGAGAATGCTGCTCAGAAGTCGCTGGTAAAGAAGATAAAGACATAACTTACGATACTATTGCTGATGTGGTCCAAACTCGAAAAAATTTCGAGCCATTAGCAATGTCCTTCCCGAAAAAAGTTTTGGTGGAGGAAGTGCATTCCCTGAGGAAGAAGGCCAAAGAAGCAAATTGGACCAAGGTCCCCGGAGCAAAGAGACCAACCCTAAAAAAGAAAGGGAAAGTATCTAAAGTAAGATTGAGTTTTTCATTTGATTTCTTCTGTTTTTAGGTGATCAAGTTGAAGTCTCAATCTACTCCAGAAGTTTCTAAACCCAAATCCAGGAAAAGCGCCACGAAGCAAGCGGATAAAACACCAAATAATAAATCGGACAAGCCACAGAAGAGGATCAAGAAATTAAAGCCGATTTCTCCCAGAAAATCCGAACTCACTCAACATGATTTGTCACATAACGACACACAGAACATTGAGAATGCATCTACCGTGAATTCACAGGATTCGAACTTGGATATCACTTCTTCTAACAGCGAAAACGCGGAAGATTCGACTCAAAAATCGGGTCGGCGCAAATCCCGCATCGATTACAAGCAAATGGCCTCAGGCAGAGTTGAGTAAGCGACCTTTTTCTACACTAGCGAACACATGCAACGGGTTAATGAGTACAAAAATGCGAATTTCTTTCATCTCCGATCTATGGGTGGAACGCTGCCGAATAATGTAATTATAGATTTGTGTATATATCCTTACATATCGATCTCATCCCTCCGAAAACCTCTCAGATTATCACAGTCTTAGATTTTGATACCAAATACTTCCAAATCTTCCCATAACTTTTTCAAAAATTTCCCGGTCTCAGATTGAATATTATTAAAATAAATTTGGTTGTGAATGTGAGAAAAATTGCCGAGCGAACCGGTTCATTATGCCTAGAGTATCTTTGAAGTGTGTTCTACCCTATTTCTAGATGTTTCCGCCGCGGAAAGAGCAATAAAGTGCGCCCACGGCTTGTTTACTTTGTTTTGTAAACAAGACGAGTGCCCCGAAAAGGGCGCACCATTTCGACTACATTTAGGGTTTATTTTGCCCAAATTTTAAGAGCCTTTGCTTTGCAAAGCTCTGTACTTTTAGTTTCGCATTGAATTTGGATAATTTGAATTGAGTTTAGCGGCCAAAAAATGTAGTTTTTGAGGCCCTATATGAGCAAGGATAATATCGGAGATTTTTGAAAATTTTTTGATGTTGTTGCCCGATTTAAAGGCCGCACCTGGGTTTATTAGCGGCGCAGTGATGTTGGGCAGGCTGTAGAGCATAGGCGCACCTCCACCTTGCTCCACCCGAAGTGCGGTTATCCTTTTTTACAGCAGAATTTGGCGCTGAAAGTGGGTTTGTTTGGACCCGCCGAAGGAATTGTTTTTCTCCGGTGTTGTTGCAAATGAATGAACACAGTGATTGCTGAGAGCCCCAGAGAGCCGGAGGAAAGATTATTTTCGCGCCTTGCCGTCTTATTGGCTGATTTTGGGCCCCCCTTATATTGTACTGGACAAGTGCCGGAACTTTCCCAGTTTTCTCAAATTTTTTGTTGTTTATTGTGTGCAAAAAGTGGTGTCCGTGAGTTCGAAGGCGGCAGAGAGAAGAATTGGGTGGGTCCGGTGTTTTGTAATAGAAAATAGTCAGAGTTTTAGCAGTTTCTCAAGTTTTTTGCTGGAAAATTACTGTTTTTTGATGAGAAGTCTCATTTTTCTCCTGTTTTTGTGCTTGACATGGCTGTGGAATGACGGTTGTTCAGCGAGCAGTGTTGTGAATATTATTTTATAGCGGTTGAGAACCTATTTAATATATTTTTATGTTGTTTTAGACTATTTTTCCCCGTTTGTTCAAATTTTTATTTTTATTTCCTAAAATAAGGTTGTCTAGTGGAATAATCGTTGTCTGGTGGGTCAGAAAAATGTTGGGAAGTAGAATTGAGCGAGTCTAAGCAGTCCGTTCGGTCTTTTAAAAAGGTTTTCAAGACTTTTTCCTCCTTGTACTTTGCAGGTCGGAAAAAGAGTAAAAGAAGAGATAAGAAGGGCTGATTTTAGCCCAAGAAAGAATCAATAAGACCTTTAAAATTTATTGATGAGCTGTTATTAGTAGTATTGGGGGATTCGACAAGAGTTTTGAGACAAATTATATTATCCATGCCGGCTTGACATGGATAATATAATTTGAATAGGTTAATGGATGTTTAAATGAAAAATGTTTTTTGTTTAGAAGTGGATAAAGTAGTATCGTTGTTTTGGACCGCATTTTTGGCGGTTTTATTGATATTTGTCTTTTATATTATCCATGACATGGATAATATAAAGTAAATATGTTGTCGATGTTTTTTGTTGAACTTTTGATTGATAAATGACCTTTAAGGTTTATTGATGCTATTGTGATTTTTTCGCGAATTTTCGATGTGTTTTTGCTCGTTTTTTTACTAAATTTTTGCCTTGTGTAATGTAAAAAAATTTTAGATTTCCCCCGTTCATCGATAACTTTGTGATCCTCCAAGAAACACTCGAATCGTACTCCCGAGAACGAGTCACCGAAATCCTTCGCGAAATGGAGCGCGCCGACCACGACAACAACATCTATCTCGTGGAACGCCTGATCAATCGGAGATGGCGTAACAACCGAGCCGAATACTTTGTGAAATGGCTGAATTATGGAGAAGAGGAGAACACCTGGGAGCCCAGAGCGAACATCAATGTGGCTCTGTGCGACCAATATGATGCAGAACATGGAGGACCTCTGCAGCCACCGGCTAAATCTCCAAGAAAGAGAAAATCCGACACTAGTCAGCCAAGTCCACCGAAAAAGACGGCTAGAGGAGCTCCAAAGAACAGAGAATGTAAGTAGTTTTGTTTGACATTTTGTGTTGACTTTTAGGAAAAAGAGATTTGGAAGTTGAAGAAGGGCAGCTAAAATGTGTTGTTTTTGACGAATTTTGGTTGAAAAAACTATTGAAGGTTGCCGAATGTAAAACCAATTTGCTTCGCATGGCACGAAAGACTGTTTAAAATCAAATCCACCTGGCATTTGTCAAAAACTTGCGTGGTTTCAGATCAAATTATATTGTACTAGACAGGTTTTGAGAATAGTGCGAAAATTCGAAATTTTGTTGATTTTTTGTTGCGAATTTGAACTTTAAAGCATCGTAAATCTTTCAGCGATTACTCCCTCTTCTTCCCGTCGCTCCTCCAGACGCCGGACCTTGAATACCGACGACTCTAGCACCAGCATTGAACCTACTCCCACTCCAGAGCCGACTGCCGAACAGAAGAAAGAGGATGAAAAACCGGAAGAGCAACCTCTACTGGAGCCAGAACCACAAACTTCCGCCGAGAAATCGGTGGAACCAGCGGCCGAAGAGCCCGCTGAAAGCGAGGACAGCCAACAAGGGGAATTTGCGGAAGAACAGCCTGAACCTCTTCCGGAACAGGCCGAAGAACACTTTGATCAGCCAACTGAGGTGGGTCAGAGTGTATTCTAGGGATAGATATTAGAGGATTTGATTAGAATTGAGGTTAAAATATCAAATCGACCAAATTTTATATTGTTCTATGTATTTTTTGACAATTTTTAATTATTTTTGGTTTCAGCAGCCCATCCTTGATCCGCCTGCTCCTCCAGCCAACGCGGAGCCCGTTGATGACATCCCAGATTCTTGTAAGTGATGTTTTCCTAATTTTTTACTTGTGATTTTTAGTCATCGAACCACCGGAGGAGCCCAACCAGCCAGTTGAAGAAGCGCCTCTGCCGAAAGTGACCAGCTACTTGGTGTCCAATGAAGCCAACCCCAATGATCAGCACATTGTCCAGATCTATGAGAATGCACCGCAGTCTTTGGAGGCGGCGGATAATGGACAAATCGTCTCTGGGAATGGCAATGGGGAAGCTCATAAACCTCAGGTAAGATTACGGAAGTAATGGTGAATTTTGGGACGTAAAAGGTTTTCAAGTCATAAAAAGGAGTATTAGGACAAATCGTGGAGATATAGTGAAGTTTTGAACTTAAAATTGAGATTGGTTGTCATGGATAATATAAAAATATTTTTTAAGGTTTATTTTTTGGCGAGCTATCGGTTGGAGTTGGTGAGTGGAGACTAAAAATAGCTTATAAAGGGCACTGGACCGAATTTTTGGATTTTTTTTTTCTTGTCCGAGCCGGAAATTTTTGAGTTTTGTAATGGAGAATATAATATCAATGTCGTTTTTGTAGGCAGCTTAGGGATTTTTAGGTGTCGGTGGGGATTAGGGAAGAGTTATCGGATCTAACCGGATTTGTACACGATTTTTTTTTGCTAAAAATTTACTGTTTTTTGTCATGTATAATATAATGAGATGATTTTTTAAGAAAGATTCGGTTGGTTTGAGGCCTGTATTGTAAACTTGTGCTTGCAGGAGTACAACGGGAATGGTGACGAGCTGAGGAACGCCGTGCGCACCGACGTCACCGTCAACAATCAGACCTCCACCATCTGGGAACTGTAGGCGCGGTCTTGTGGACCGCCCTCTCCTCCTCCTCCTCTTTTCTCTTCTAGATTCCTCCCATCCCTAATAATATATGTTCTTTGTTACCCTTGTGCCTCTAACCCCCCCTATATTTCCATTACTTTGTACAATTTTAATCCACTTTTCTCGTAATTTTCTCAATAAACCCGACCGCAAAAATGATATCAAAAATTTATTAAGTAGTCCGTAATTTGCGGAAATTCCATACCCGTTGCGACGAATAGATATGCTACAGTAACGGTTAATACATGTTTCAAGAGTTATAAGGCATTCAAACAAGAAATAAAATAGACCATGAGCTGAGAGAAGGGTAATATAAATTTTGTTTCGAAATTTGGTTCTTTCTCTAAAATACACTTTTACACATCGAATACATTCTACAACAAACATTTTGTTCGTCATAACCCTCATTAACATCACTTTTCTGTCAAAAAATTTCAAAAAAATCGGCTAAAAACAACAATTAGTAGTTTCAAAGCAATGAGTAGATATACAATAACAATATTATTCTATTAGAAGCACTCATCCAGGAGCTCTTCTTCGATCGTGTCGTCAAAAATCTCCAAAACACATTCGTCGGACTCGTCGACCGGGCGCAGGTCGGGCGCGAAGATTCCTTTGACCGTTTCCTTGTCCCACAGCACTTCGTGCTCCATGATTTCGAAAACGAAACGTTCGTCCTCCTCGTCCAGCAGGCATATTCGACCAATTGGCTGGAAAAATTCGAAGTATTAAATTTGAAAAAAAAAAAATATTGAAGGAGAGTAAATTTTGGCCGATATTTTGGGAAATTTTCGGGGTTTGAAGAATAAAATGAGAAAAGAATGCTTTGTAGCCAACTTATTTTAGGTTGCAAGACCGCCAGGAGAACGATACTACCAGTTTCAACCAGAAATTTTATCAAAAAATCAAGATTTTTGCCCGTTTTTCTTACAAGGAGAGTACTTCTATGGGGCGTGGAGTTACAGGTCGAGACATACATCAAAACAATCGCAAAAGTTTTCTGATTCAGAATATGTGAAAGTTAGCCGCCTAATTTTGGTTTGTAAGGGTGAAAAAATCCTCGGAACTTTTCTCGCAACACCACACAAATGCTCAAAAAAAAAGCTTTTGATTTGGTAGAAACTTGGTCAAAATGGCATTTATGTGGTGTTGCGAGAAAAATTCAGAGGATTTTTTCACCCTTACAAACTAAAATTAGGCAGCTAACTTTTACATATTCTGAATCAGAAAAATTTTGCGATTTTTTGATATATGTCTCGACATGTAATATACCCCATAGAAGTGACTTCCTAGTTAGAAAAACGGGCAAAAATCTTGATTTTTTTGTAAAAATTTCTGGTTGAAACTGATAGTATCATACTCCTAGAGGTCTTGCAACCCAAAATAAGTTGGCTACACAGCATTCTTTTCTCATTTTATTCTTCAAACACCGAAAATTTCCCAAAAAAACCGGCCAAAATTTTTAAAAGTTGTCAAAAGACTTCTTTTTTCATATTGAAAAACGAAAAAATTTGGCTCAGGCGGCGAGATAATGCCGCATTACAAATTCATAAGTTTGTAATGATCCAGTGGCAAAAAACGTAGCATTTTGCATCCGGGAAGTATCAAAAATGTGGAAAAATGCTTCCCTCTCCAAGTGAAAAAACTTCGTTTTGAAGGGCCCTTTCCCCCACCAAAAGTGAAGCATTTTGCCACGTTTTTGGTACTTCCCGGATGCAAAATGGTACGTGTTTCGCCACTGGATCAGGTCCCCCCAGTGTATTTTACAAAATTTTGAGATCTTTACCAAAAAAATTTGAAAAAAAATCAAAAAAAAACTCGAAAAAATCTCAATTTTCCCACCAAATTTAATTTAAAAAAAATGTGTTTAATAAAATCATTCTAGTTCCCCCTCAAACCACTAACCACCATAATTTTCTGATCCATCCAGCCTTTTCCCCAAAAAAATTTAATTTTTTCTGAACCCCCAAAAACCCCCCACAATTTACATTTCGCCCGAAGCAAATCCGGTTACAGTACGCATGACAGGCCCAGAGCTTGCATCTCCACGCCAAAATCGCGGTCCCGAGCGCGAATCCAACAAGTTTCGTCCAATGTATCAGGTACGATCGCATAAACCGGGCTGGGTTTCCGAAATTCGAAAAATTTTCGATTGAAAAAACACGAAAAGCGAAGAGTTCAGCGTTTATCCGACTTTCAACGCCGAGTTCAGCGTTTATCCCACTTTCAATCGGGCTTCCGTGGGAGGAAAGCAGCATGGAAGGAATGAGAAAAAGTGGGAGTTTAGCGTCGGTTTTTATGAAGACTGTCTTCTGAAGGCTGTTATTAACGGAAATGACGTCGGAAAAATGAAAAAGCGATGGTGTTTTCGCTGATTTCTCAACAAACGGTAATCGTGGAAGAGTTTGTAATGGGAATTGGGGTCAAGCTGCTTTTCCGGAGGGAGGAATGGGTAATCGAAAAAACACAGGTTCGATCTCAAGAATAATATAATTTTCGATAAAATTCGATCAAAAAATTTGCAAAATCTTAAATTGCATATCATTTTTGAGATCTATAGGGTCTATTCCACTAATTAAATTGTAAAATCATAAAAATTTTTGATCAAACTTGTCTAGTATAACATAGATCATCTAAAACAATGTCAATTTTTCGATCTAAAAACCTCAAAATCAAACTAATTCAAAGTTGAAACATCTTACAATACCCTTTTATTCTATTAACAACCCTATTCTACCATGACTTCCTTCAAAAATTGAATTAAAAATCAAGGGGTTTGACGTCATGAACAATATAATTTGCGACAAAATTGAGCCAAAAAAGACAAAATCTGCGAACACAAAAGGATTTTTAAGACAAATAATGGACATTCCACATATAAAATCCAGGAATAAACTTAATTTTGATCAAAAATTGTCTAGTGCAATATCAGCTATCGAAAACAATATAAATTTCATTGAAATTCGTCAAAAATTGGTTACATCGCTTATAAAATAGTGCTTTCAAGACGTTACAGGTCTTTTCAAAGCAGCATAACACAAAAAAAAAACGATGATTTTCGATCAAAACTGCCATGTCCAATATAAGTCATCCAAAAAAATATCGAGTTCTCGCTCAATACACCTCAAAATCAAGCATAATAGCCTCTAAATTTAATTTAACAACCACTTTCTTCAATTTTTGATCTTCTAGTAACGTATTTTCGGCAAAAATAAAAAAAATTTTTGCACAATGCAGTCCCTCCAGACCTCTAAATCAAGATCAGGACCCGCTCCGATCCCCCCAATGTTCCGCTAAATTGTACTCTACAGGGAAAACAAACCTCCGTTCCACTTCCCATCTCGAGAAGCAGACGAAAAACACGAGTTACTGCTTTCTAACGGCATGTTAAAGTAGTGGGGTTTTGGAAGACAAACAAACCTTTTTTCCGCGAGCTCTCGCGCGAGAAATCCGATCACAAACCGAGGAGAACGCCCGTGAAAGCGAATGGAATAAAGGTTCAGCCGGAAATTCGAGCTGTTCGCGGTCTTGGAGATAAAAGAGAGGGGAGGACATCAATTTTGACAAATTTCGGCTCAAAAACAATATTTTCGAAGAAGGAACGGGTGAAAAACGTGTCTGATTGTTCGTTCTCGTGATAATCTAGACAGTCAATGATGCTTTAGGTTTCCATTCATAAGAAAAACGTGATTTTCGACATTTTTTATATTACTTTAGGTCAATTTGATAAAAAATCGCCAAAAGTGATCAAAATTCAAAATAACCCCACAAATTACAGTACGCAAAAAGTCGATGTTGATATCGGCCTTCATTGTTAACCCATTTCACATCTGTTTAATCCCAAAAACCCTCATTTCCCCCTAAATTACCATTCAAATCACCTACTACAATATAAACATCCAAATTCCACAAATAAACAAGACTTTTGCCCATTATTTTTCCATTAATGATTCATCCCGATAATTTCGGGCCAAATGGCATTACAAAAAACTCGCAAACTGACTCACCGAACTAGGGTCGAGCCGATCTTTGAGCTGAACTATATTCGAGTTCTCATCCCTCTTGGATGATTTGACCTTCCTCCGTCGCTCGAGCTGATCCAGCGTATCCTGGCTGAGGATTTTGTGGATGCGCCCCGATTTAGGCTCCACAAGCTTGGGTTGATCCAGTTTTCGGCGCTTCCGGAAATCGGCTCGATGGTGAAGATGTTCCCGCCATTTGGAGTGGTGGGATTGTTCGGAAGCTAGAATCAGACCTTATAATAGCCTTAAAACACCATATCTAGCTCAACAAACACTTTCATCATCAATATCAAAGATATTTTGATATTACTCATGATCAAATTCAAGTCATGCCTAAACCCCAGAAAAAACAAACAAATTTAAATCAACTCACCTTTTAATTTAAACCCAGGAGATTCAGTGTACCTTCTTTCGTCTACATATTGAAGTTTGGCGTCCTCAAAACTGTTATTCAGCCGGCTACAGGTCGGAGATTCAGCCGAAGTTGATTCGGAATCCGGCTCTTCTGAAGACGGAGTGGTAGCGCTGGAGCTGGAGTTGTAGTCGTAAATGTACAGATTTGGTCGGAATGATTCAGTCTTCAATTGATAAGCGTCGAATTGCTGCAAACAGAGGAGAAATTAGCAAATTTGTGTTATCCATAACAGTTGATGGAAAAGTCTTTCAAAAAATCAGAGAATCCAGGTAATTACTAGCTAAAACTGACTTGGCCAGCCACATGGGGCCTAATACGTTAGATCAACGTAAACTTTCTAAGAATAACATCCGCATAACCATTAGCGACCTTATTTTAGTTTCAGATAGCTACCTAAATTTCGAAACTCCCAAAAATTGATAAAAACTCAATTACTTCGCATCGTTTTGACTTGTAAAAACAACAGAGCTTCTCCATGAACGACTGGGAACCTTCTCCATCCCGAAAAAAGCAAAAACCCAATAAAAAATTTAGGCGCGACTTTGTCGGTTCAAAAAATCCGCAAAATTCTCGAAAATTGTACATTTTCTCTTCGAAATTGACCAAAAAATGCAACGAAACTTGTCGACTCACCTGTGCCGAGCTCCATGGAAGCAACATACAATCGGAAGGCATGGGAAAGAGCAAAATTTCTCGATAAAAATTGAGACTTTCCGTTGTTTTTCCAAAAATTTTTTCCGATTTGGCGGGAAATGTCCGCAGAGGACAGGACTGGACGCGCGAGCTGATCGAGTGGCACTCAATCTACATGCGATGGGTTCGACCTGTCAATACGAGCCCATTATTTATTCAGAGGTAGGAAAATATTATATTATACTTGGTGGCCTTGAAGGAAAATGCGGGAATTTTTGGAATTTGAGAGGGGAATACGGTAACAAAAGGGGTTTGAAGTTGGGATTTAGGGTCTATCAGTCTGGCCGAAAAAGAACCGGCCTCCCCGGACCCTTCCGTCGCACTCACCCCAAGCCCCAATTTGCATCGCCGAGAAATTTGGAGGGCATCGCCGAAAGAAAGAGCAAAAACAACGCATCGCCAGCGATAAAAGTGGGTTTTGCACAGTGCAAATGCCCTTTTTCTGCTGTTTCGCACTGTGCAATCCCAAAAATTCAGCGATTCTTCGAAGTCGCGCGCGCTTTTGCGATGCATCGCGAAAACATTCAATTTCGAGGTTGCGATTTCGATGCGCGAGGGGGGCCGGTTCTTTTTCGGCCAGACTGATAAAAAGATGGTATATTAAATTTTATAGCAAAAAAATGTAGTCACAGCAATTTCCCAGTGATTTTCTTCGAGAAAAGCCATCAAAAATTTGAAGCTCCCAAAACAGGAAGTAAAGTCCAAAGAGGGCAAAAACAAGTCGTAAAATGAACAATAAAGGTATACAAACGTATTTCAACGTCAGTTCAACAGGTTTAACTTGATATAACAGCCGAAATGGTATGTTTATTGATAAAAAACTGGGAAAAGGTGAAAATGGATGCCTAAAACAAGGTGTTTACCCTCCGAAACGTGAGTGGAATGTAATTTCAGACAATTTACAGGATATGTCAACAATTACCGATTGTACTTTACAATATAAAACTTAAAAAAATCCCGAAAATTTGTGTTTGAGTCTTCAGCTGAACAGATCCTCGTAGCTCTCGGCATTCTCGCAGAAAAACATACGTATACAGCTTTTTTTGATTGAATTGAACGTAGTATTGCGATCGGTGGCTAAGGCGATTATCGGACCAGACTGATTAGATCGTGTTTTTCCCGATGCAACTCTTGTTCGCGGAGATACCTTCAAAAAACAGGATTTAGAATGGAATGGAATCAAAAGACTGTTATATGCATGATTTTTGCATTTTTTGGCCATGATTTTTCGAGTTTGATCAAAATTTTATATGATAACCAAAACATTTTTTAAAATTTTTGGTTTGTGTAAGAAAAAGAGCCACAAAGTAACCTAGATAGGGCACATTTCGTCCCCACATTAGATGTGTCCAAATAATAAGAATCAAGACATACTGCGTAATTTGTGTCCTATATAGCCGAAAAGTTCACCACGAATGGGGTTATCTTGTTAATCAAACCCCTGAGGCAATGACCTCTCCCTGTAAGCACCCGCAAAATCTGCCGCCGCTGCTACCTGATAAGGGGTTCCCGCGATTTATGAGGTTATAATTGGCATGTAACAAGAAAGAGGCTCTGTTTTTCAAATATATAAAAGCTCAATGACATGACTGTTTGTTGTATTAAACATGTTCTCAAAGTTTTTGATTGTCTGTCTGTTAGGCTCGGCGTTAGCTGAGGTGTTTCGAATTGGGCTCACCAAGGAATTCAAAAGATCGAAAGAAGCAAAGGTGGCGGGACATGACCGAGGGCTAAACTATGCCGCATTGGATCATGTTTACACCGGTAGGTAATTTACAGAGTGCCACAGAATTCGGCATCGCGATAAATTCTCAGGACTTTTCGCGCTGTGTAGTACAATACCCACTACCCTTCCCATTTTTAAGGAATCGTCTCTCTCGGCACCCCGCTGCAAGATGTTAACGTCGCTTTCGACACAGAATCCGGGGTCTTCTGGGTGCCTGATGACGAATGCCCTTGCGATGCGGAATGCTCCAATGGTAAGGAATTTTAAAATGCGTTTTTGACATCGCGTTCAAGTTAGCAAGAACCCTATTACCAAAAAATCATTTGTATGGTGATTATTTTCTGGTCACTTATAGAACCCTTCTGCCGTGACATTTGTAGCACTCATTGCTGCTCTCGAGGCGGTGGAAATTCCACTTCGGCCGGCAGTGAAGATGGCCAGCCGGCTCCGGTCGGCGTCTGCACGCACAAAAACGTCTACGACCCGAAGAAATCGAGCTCTTACATTGGCCGCCGCGTTTCAACCGCTGAGCCCTTCTTGAACGAGAACATCACCGTCAACTTGGCCTACGAGACCTTCCGTCTTGTCCCTCATCGTGCGGATAGTGTCAGCATTAAGTACTTTCAGTTCGGGCACGTCAACGACCTTCCAGAAGCGTTTGAAGATGTCCCGTATGATGGGGTCTTCGGCCTTGGACGTGTGGGCCCAAAGCGGACGAAAGCGCCGATCAAGCAGTTGTTCGAGCGGAGGGTTATCCCCAATGCCGTAGTCACGCTCTCATTGAAGGACGGACATACTCCTAACCAAGTATATGATGGAGTAATAACTTTTGGGAAAATCGATGAGACTTTCTGCAACCTAAGCTCGGCTCACTTTGTCCCTGTCGCATCGACCAACAAGTGGAACTTCAATGTGAACACTGCTGCCCTGAACGCGACTATCTTAAGCGATTTAACTTGGACGGTAAGTCAAGTCGGATTCTATATATACGGCGCGGGACTTATAAATCTTTATGTGGCCATAAAATATGTCATGATTGCTCTCGTTTAAAAAGTGTCATCTTATAAGTCCATATCTTATACTTCTCTAGTTTTGGCTTGTTGCATAAATGAGAGCCATTTTTTAGGCCAGAGTTAACCCTTCATCGCCTTTTATCCACATCCCGATCAAAATCTGGGATGGAATTAAGAGCCAGCTCATTCATGACGTCGAGAATGACCGTTACACGGCGCGCTGCAGCGTCTTGAAAAACAAGTTGTTCTCAAACTTCCATATTGAGATTGGGTCCAGAAAGAACAACGTTATGGCAAAGCAAATTATTATTGAAAGGGGAAGCGAGCTGTGCGAGTTGTTGGTCCGGCCAGCCGCGGAGAATGACGACCATTGGATCCTGGGTCTCCCATTCTTCAGCGAACGTTGTGTGGCGTTGGATTACAACGGAAAGATTGCAGTTTCTGACTTCAAATAACAAATCTTTAAGTAACCTTGTTTGGAAAAACTTGTGGCTTGGATTTTATAAACTTGCAACATCTTTGTCAATTTTCCTATGTTTTCTTGTGACATACAAGACAAACCAAACGGCGCTGTGACATTTCGAGTGGACAGGTGGTCTTGTCTTTGTTACAGTAGGTCAGGGTCAGGAAAGCTACGGTGGGTATACGTAAGCTTATAAAAAACTCGTCGTATTGTAAGTCTCAGCGCCCGGATGATTCAACAGCTTTCCAAGGCCGTGTACACACCTTTTACAACCTTTTACTGCGTCTTCGCCTGTCTTGCGCTCATATAGGCCGAGTTTGACCCGAACGTCTTCGACCCGAAAAGTCCCCCTAGAACAACTTGCGTTTAAGGCCATATCCAATGATAAACGATGACAAAATTCATAAAATCTTGACCTCCAGCACCCCTTTTGTAAAATTAGAGAATGCTTGAATTAAGATAACACACGAAGGATAGGCACAAGTCGACTGATCGCTCGTTTGTAAGCTCCTTATACCCGCAAGTCTTTGCTTTCCACACCGGAGTGCGGTTATCCCCCGAGGAAGATAAATCAAGACATGCTCCATAACTTGTGTCTGCCTACACATCCCTAAAATACACTGCGGCGTTGTTCACAACTTTTTCTTCACACAATAATGTTTTTAATTAAAGCCCCAAACTCCATCGTGCCTATCCCTGTAAGCCCCCGCAAAATCAGTCGTTGATAAGGAGTCTTTCGCTGTTTATGACGTTTTAATTGTTATAAAACAAGAAAGATTCGTGTCCTTCTGCCATAAATACTAAGAGTTGAAGAGCCTGAGGATTGTTCGCCGAGTCGAACATGCTTTCAATGTTCCTGATTGTGTGCCTATTGGGCTCGGCCCTCGCCGATGTTTACCGTATTGGGCTGAACAAAGAAGTCAAGGTGTTGCGGAAAGAAACGGAGGCCAACGCAAATGGCCAAAGAGTGGATTATGTAGCGCTGGATCATGTTTATATTGGTGAGTATTTGGTGAAATTTGCTCCATTTCCAGCACAACTGTACTAGTCCTTACCACGCTTTTTCACAAGTGCGTGGACATTTTTGCCACTTGTTTGCACTGTGCAATGCCTGTAGCACGAGCAAAGCTCGAAAAGCCGTCTCTCACGGCACATTGCTAACTCTTCGCGTTTACCATACCTATTTTTAGGCACCGTCTCTCTCGGCACCCCACTTCAGGATGTGAATGTAGCTTTTGACACCGAGTCCGGAATCTTCTGGGTGCCTGATAATAAATGCGCCTGCGATGTGGACTGCTTAAACGGTATGCCTTTCGTGCATCCACACTCTAGCCCTGATGCCTTTTCTATAGGATTTACTTGTAGAACAGCTCTGCTTTGACATGTGCAGCTCCCATTGCTGCTCTAAAGGCGGCGGCAACTCCACTTTGTTCGAAGACGACGGCAATAACACAGCCCCGGTCGGAGTCTGCACGCACAAAAACGTATACAACCCCAAGGAATCGAACACTTACATCAGCCGCCGCACTTCAACCGTCGAGCCCTTCTTGAACAAGAAAATCACCATCAACTTGGCCTATGAGACCTTCCGGTTCGGTCCTCATCATGCTGGCGGCTTCACCATGAACTATCTTCAATTCGGGCATGCCAGCGACCTTCCAGAAGCATATGAAGACGCCCAATTTGACGGAGTCTTCGGCCTCGGTCGTGTAGGCCCTAGGGGATCTAAAGCCCCAATCAAACAGTTGGCCGACAAGCGGGTCATCTCCAATCCGGTTGTAACCTTGTCGTTGAAAGACGGAAAAGATTCCAAAGACGTATACGACGGCGTCTTGACTGTGGGGCAGATCGATGAGACTTACTGCGAACTGGGTCCATCTAAGTTCCTCCCTGTTGCATCAGCCAACAAGTGGAATTTCCGAGTGTTCAAAGCCCAGTTGGGTACCAAGACTTTGCAAGACTTGACATGGACTGTAGGTTTGGAAGAGTGGAAGGAGTAGTGTTAGCATAAGCAGCGCTTTCTGCGACTTCGCATTTCGTATACTCCCATTTTTAGGCCAGAATCGACCCCTCATGGCCCTTTATCACCATCCCTCAAAAGGTTTGGGAGCAAGTTGTGAAAACTGCAGTAACTGAAGACCGCGCTGGCCATTATACCGGATCATGTGGGACATTGAGAAGCATCTTCAGTACTATCAGCATCTACATGGGCAATGAAGTGCAAGCCACTCCGTATACGAGAGTCCTAGTGGAGTATTCGACCGGGTTATGTGAACTTTTGGTTCAACCAGCCGGAAAAGACACCGATCAATGGGTTTTGGGGACGCCATTCTTGACCAACCGTTGCCTGGCGTTGGACTACAACGGACGAATTGGAATCGGAAAGTTTCCGTAATGAATTGTCGATGAACGTAGTGTGATAAACTTGCAATGTATTTACATACGACAAATGTAAAATTACGTGTTTTTAAAGTTGACATCTGTACCGTTTGAGTTTGCGTCTACAATGTATAGGTGTTCGTAGTGCGACGCTCAGATTTTGATGAAACTTGGCGCAAATTTATAATACGTTTTGTAAGCCTCAAAACTTGAGCTCCCAAAGCCTCCAAATCAAAGACAAAGGGCACGGTTTCGGGAGGGATCAGAGCGTCCATTAACTTGCCTGTCTTCGCTAGCCTAGCGAAATGCTGATAACTAACATGTAAGGAGGTACTTGATCATCAGTCTTTCAGAAAAGTAATGAGCACTCTGTCACTATGCCAATCGCGTCGCTAAAGTTTAAAAAAAAAATTGATTTTGCCGCGACACACTCATCTTCTCGGCCACTGTGAAAATACTTTTTCTGTCAAAATTGTTTGCAATGTTTTGACATAAAGATGTACAGTAAATCGCAAGATATTGATATCAACAGAAAGCTCGAGAGTTGCTTAAGCTAATAAAACCAAAATATACCCATAACCATAGTATGTTGCAAAATATAGCACGAATCATGGTGTTTTGATTGTCTACCAAGGCGAGGAAAACAGCGGGAATTAAAAATTTGTATCGACGATACCGAGTCAGAGAGCGCTGGATGAAGCTATACGTCGACAAAATCTTTAAACTCTTTTTCAAATATCTACACCAGTCTCGTCCCGTTTATCGATGACACCCGTTTAGGATGTACCAGTGGTATAAAAGACGGTTGTACGACTACCAGTACTCCCCTGAGTACCCACTGTCGCGACCACCGCGAAAAGCCTAAAGACGCCTGCTGTAAAGTGCGTCAAAAATTTCTTTTCCCAAAAAATTTCTTTCCAATAGATTTAAAAATTAGATAGGCCAAATTTCGGGATAGGGCCGTCTCGATTTCTTTATATAAATTTTTGATCTTTATTTTTATATATTCTATATATTATAATTGTCGATTTCGTTATATATCGTGAATATTTTTTGTTTTGGTTTATTAACCCAAGTTTGAGGTTTTGAATAAAGTTTGGTCAACAATCGAGTTACCAACATCTTAAATTATTGTACAACGGAGTACAATAATTATCATTGTCGAGCGCACGGAGTCGCGGCGACAAACTGGGGGCTCAGCCGGTGATTTGGCTGCTATTGGTGGAAAAGAAGAACGCTGGTGCCATTCGTTGACGTCATCAGTTGGTGAAATTGATGAAGAAGATCTGATCGCTGGAGATCAAGCAATTTTTCAAGTCTACTCAAGATCGCTGGAGATCAAGCAATTTTCAAGTCAACTCAAGATCGCTGGAGATCAAGAAAGTTTCAAGTGGATTCAAGATCGCTGGTAATCAAGACCGCTGGTACAGGAAGTGGTACAGGTAGACAACCAGAACAGTTTTATCTTTAGTTAATCTATAATTTCGGAAATTTTCTTTGTAAAATTTTTATTTTTGCCTTCTCACTCCGACTTAATAAGTTGCAAAATTTCGAAATTTATTTTTATTTTTGTTTTCTCCACCCTTACTTAGTTTGAATTGTTCATCCACATTACATTTATAAGTTACAAAATTTCCAATTTATTTTTATTTTTGTTTTCTCCACCATTACTTAGTTTGAATTTTTCATCTACATTACAGTTACAAGCTACAAAATTTCCAATTTATTTTATTATTTGTTTTTCTCCACTATTTTGCCTTTTTCAACACTGATTTATATATTTTACACTTCGCCATTTCACAGTTTATTTTGTTTTTGGACTAGTTACATATTTTTCCTTCTCACTTATTCCAATTTTATTGTATTAACGGGCCTTATAGCAAATTTTCGAACTTATAATTCACACTATAGATTGTGAAACTTAAAAAATTCTTACTATAAAACCCCGAGAATAAAAAACCATTCTCTCCAAAAAATTACATCAAAACTTTTCGATTCCCCTTACAACATAACATAATTTTCGTCGTGGGATTACTACTACGTTTCGTTTAAGCTTTTTACTACTTCACTCTTTATACTCATCTCTATTTCTTTAAACCACAAACAACTACAATGGAGACGAAACCATCTAAAAAAGGTTACATATCCCGTAGCATGCATTTACGACCAATCCTCACACAATTATCAGAAAAAGTTACAAAAATCTTCACGGAGAGCGCAACGTTGACATGTTACACAGAATATACCGAAAAGGAGCCAGAAGAAAATCTCCTTTTAGCCCAAAATACTGCATCTAAACTTCGAGAAGCGATTGAGACCGGAGAAAGCCTTCGGGCATCACTCGACAAATACTACAATCAGTACGTCGAGCTCATGAACTCTTTGGGTCCAGAAGAATATGGACAAGAAGAAGTCCACTACCAAAGTTTACTCAACACACATTACATCCCTACTACCCTCGTCAACACACAAGAAGAGTTAAGCCGTCTAAAGAGCGAATACGACCTCAACATAGGCCTAATTGAGATGCTAAAGAGAAAAATGAGTGTAAACGTCGCGATAGAGTCATCGAACGTCTCAAGATCACACAGCCCAGCGTCATTTACAAACCAGACGAGACGGCCGCAACCTCTTAAATTAGGACCCGTCGAAAAGATCACCTTTTCCGGCAACGTTCTCGACTATCCCGCCTTCCGAGAAGCAATGAAAGTCATCGATGCGTCGGATAACAGTACATATGCCAAGTTCCTCTACTTAAAACAGAGTACCAAAGGCATAGCCTTCGATGCCATCAAATCACTTACTCTCACAGAATCAAACTACCAACTAGCCAAGGATCTACTGGAGAAGCACTTCGGTTCAGACGACCTGCTAGTTGATAGCCTTTTGAAATCACTTCAAAATTTACCAGCACCGACCAGAACAGCAGGGAGTTTGCAGAGATACTACTTTGAGTTAGAAAGCATACTGCAACAACTTCAAAACCAAGAAGTTCATACAGACGATGGCATCCTGCGCAACATGATCACCCAAAAACTTCCTGATCAAATTTTAGAACGAATAATCCGCCGAAGACACAAAATCAAAGAGGAGAACAAAGTCTGGAACACAGACGCCTTAATGAAAGAATTCTACAAGGCAAAAGCAAACAAGTACCATCGAAGGTTATGGTGGCGATAAACCCCTCAAAATCAAAAGAACAAGGTGAAAAAAATCGCCCGGCCATGTGTATTTTGTCAACATCTCGATCACTACAGTAAAGACTGCCCAATGGCAGATACAGTAGCGAAACGAAAAGACTCCCTGAGAAAATCCAGACGTTGTTTTAAATGCTTACAAAAGTGGGAGTCCGGGCACAAATGTTCCAAAACCTGTTATTACTGCAAAAAAGAACACAATACCTTACTTTGTTCACAACCTAAACCCAGGGCTGTATTTGTAACCATGGATGAAGACGCACAATCCGAAGTCGAAGATGATTACCCATTTTACGACAGCGACCCAGAGACCGACGCAGATCCCAACGAAACAGAAGAACACGGAGAACCGACTTGGGACGACTCAATGGTTTGTGTCCTTCGAAGCTCTGGAGAAAAGGCCTTGCTATCAACCGTAGAGCTAGTATTGAGAAACCCAGACAACGGCCGACAGTTCCGAACACTAGCCATCCTCGACAGTGCTTCTGAAACAACGTACATTACAGAGACCGCCGCCGCATCTTTGAACCTTAAGAAAAACGCGGAAACAGAACACAAATCTCGGACCGAAACCTTCGGTGGAACACAACACGTCACCAGATCGTCAAAAGTATCCGCTGAGTTTTTACTGTTAAATGGAGACTCTATTCCTTTCGTTGCCAGAACCACCCCCTCCATTGTGAACTTAGTCCGCACTGTCTCCGTTAAAGGAAAGCAAAAATTAACCGACAAAAAAAGGCCCCATTTATTAATTGGAGGCGACTTGATCTGGGCTCTACTTCCAGTAAAAAGAGAAAAAACAAATAATCCAGAGGTCATGAAAATCGAGACGAAAGTCGGGCCGATTCACCTATTCTCCGATGCCTTCCACTTGGGCAATAGGCAATTTGAAGACGACGAAATCGCTCCGTTAGTTCTGCAGGACCTCACCCCTAAAGAGCTAGACAAACAAATACAGAAACTTTGGACATTAGAAGGAATTGGAATCACAGAACGTGCCGACTCCCGACAAGAAGATATCGAAGACGTGACAAAACGTTTTTGTACCCAAATCGAAGAAAAAGAAGGCCAGCTCCATGTCAACTGGTTGTGGAAAAAGGACAAACCTCAAGTTCCAGAAAACAAGAAAATCGCATTTAGCCGTTTATTACAAATGCAGAAACGCGTGTTAGCAGATGAAAGTCTTCAAAAACTCTTACGGGACTTCATCAACGAACAGCAACACAGAGGATTCATTGAAGAAGTAGACATGAGGTGCCCCCCAGACGGCCCAGTCTCCTACCTCCCCTTCCAACTAGTCTACACTCCGGGAAAAACCACACCCGTGCGATGTGTTTTTGACGCATCAAGTCATACGAAAAATCAACCTTCACTCAACGATTGTTTTGAGAAAGGACCTCTCCTACTTCCCGATCTTACAAGTTTATTGATCAACTTTCGATTCGCGGAATTCGCGTGTGTCAGCGACTTGGAAAAAGCTTTTAACAGTCTAGCACTCAAACCGGATCAACGTGATGTCACACGTTTTATCATTCCTACAGATTGGACAAGCATCAAAGATTCTACCGTCAAAGTGTTTCGGTTTAAAGTAGTTAACTTTGGAACCATCTGCGCACCTACCATGCTGGCATTAAGCCTTCGATGGTTTCTAGAACATCACAGACTCAAATCAGACCCGGACATATTAAAGCGAACCTATGTCGATAACATTCTATCTCAAGCCGCCACTGAAGAGGAATTAGTCGCGAAAGCCAAAGAAGCGAAACAACTCCTCAGCACGGTCAGATTTCACCTCCGCGAATTTTACTCAAATTCGGCTGAATTGATGAAGGAGCTAAACCCCACAGAAACTAGAGACTCAACAAAGTTTCTGGGAAAAAACTGGAACTTTCAACAAGACTTAATCTTGATGACGACGCCAACACTTCAACCCATATCTACAAAACGAAGTCTTTTACAGTTCAGAGGGAAACACTTTGATCCAGAAGGACTAACATGCCCCTTGACTCTTCCTTTAAACCTCATCTTACAAGCCACATGGTCTATTCCGAACTTAACATGGGATGACCCATTACCACCCCACATCATGGAAGAGCTAAACAACGTCGTCCCCTTCTGGGAAACTCCCACAACGTTTCGAATTCCACGCAAAATAATTAACTGGAATCAACCATATTATCTTCACGCGTTCACCGATGGCTCGAAAGTTGGTATTGGCATCTTGATTTACTTAGCCGCTCTAGCAGAAGACCGCACGTTCGAATTACCTCAATTGATCATGGGCAAATCTCGAGTAGCACCGAAAAAAGCAAATTTGGATTCCGAACTAACCATTCCAACCACGGAAATTGTGTCCATTTCCAGCGGTGTCCTCCTGCTACAATTTGTCGAACAACACCTTCCCTTCCCTCCAGAAAAGATCATCCTTTGGAACGATAGTCGTTCTTCTTTGGAATCACTTATCAGAAACATGGATCACAAATCAGTTTTCGTAAAAAATCGATTACGTTTGATCCGCGATAAAGGACGAAATTACGAAATTCGGCATGTACCGGGTAAAGAAAACAGCGCAGACATTCCGTCCCGAGGAATAGTCAACCCCGCCGACTTAGTAGAAAATAAATTCTACTGGCACGGACCCAAATTCTTGCAAAACCCAGAAGATTGGCCTTCCGAACTCGTTATACCAGCTGGATCTTTCGAGGAGGACCAAACAACAGTGGCCGTCGTCACCCCACCAGAACCTCTGATTGACCCCGAACGGTTCGGTTCTTGGAGTAAACTTCATTTAACCGCCAGAATAGTCATCAATTTTACACGGAAACTGCAGAAAAAGCCTGCCGCAAACAATGCTGAGGTGGATCGTCTACTCTTCCTCCTGGATCAACAACGGAACCCTCCCTCGGAGAAAGAGATCACCGACTTCAGGCTCTTCCAAGACCAACATAACCTCTGGCGTTGCGACATCCGCCTACAGGAAAGCGACCTACCTCCAGCCGCAAAAACCCCTATATGGCTACCGAATTCGCATCAGACACGTCTAATCATCAGACACTACCATAATCAAAAGCTTCATGCCGGAGTTGATCTTACCTTATGCCAACTACGGACCAAATATTGGGTAAAAAGAAGCTTTGTGAGGAAAACCATCAAAACTTGTAGTTTTTGTAAGCGTCAAAAGTCAAAACCCTTCGAATTTCCCCCTTTCGCACCACTCCCCCAAACACGGTGTACACAAGGGATCCCGTTCGATGCCGTCGGAGTTGACACCTGTGGACCCTTCAAGGTGAAAGACCACGAAGATGTTCATGTCCTGATTTTTTCGTGTCTCAAATATCGAGTCCTCCATACAGAAGTTATAGCCAGCTTGCAAACCACTGATATTATCCACGGTTTTACAAGATTCATTTCACGAAGAGGACCCCCTTCACAAATCTTGAGTGACAATCACCCCTCACTGTGCGCCGCCAAAGACTTCCTTCAGAAAACCCACCAGACTAATCAAAATTTTTGTTGGAGTTTTATCACACCAAGGTGTCCTTGGGAGGGCGCTTCGTACGAAAGGATTATCGCAGAGTTAAAAAGAGCAATGAAAAACTCCGGAACAAAATCCAAATTGGACATTGAAGAGTTCCGAACGTTGATATCCCGATCGGAAGAAGTGGTAAATTCCAGACCTCTCACCGCACAATCTGACGACGTTAACGATCTTCGAGCGATAAAACCTTTCGACTTTATCGGTGTCCGATCAGACTACGAAGGAGACAGTGAAGGAGATGAACCAGAAGAAGAAGAAAGAGACCCAACTTACGTAGAACGAGAAAATCTACAAGAAACTCTACGAAAGAAGAAAAATAGAATAGAGGCAAGATTAGAAAAGTTCAAGACGTTCTGGATAAAACATTATCTTCAATATCTAGCCGAGAAGAATTCGAAAAAACGGAACAATGGGATAAGAAGAACCCCAATTGTAGGAGAATTGACATTAGTCGCGGACCCCACCTTACCAAGACAGCAATGGAAATTAGGAAGGATCCAACACCTAAACGAAGGCCGTGACGGTATCGTGAGAACTGCCGATGTCTTAGTGGCGGATAACTTGAAGAATTATCCAGCCGAAACCTCCAGAAAAATCATAAAAAGGAACATCACTCAACTCTACAGCCTGGAAATCACACCAAGCGAAGACACAGATTGGCTGAAAGAGTTACTACCACAACCGGATGTCGAAATACCGGCACCTCGAAGATCACCGAGAACAAAGAAATTGAATCTGGCCTCAGAACAATTCAACCTCCTGTCAATAAACACCGTGTTAATGGTGTTGTCAATTGTTTTCATGCTAATCTACCCAAGCGAGGGCTACAATTTCTGCCCCATGGATACAAGGCCAGTTTACTGGCGACCGACACCAATGCGCGCATGTTCGGTTCCTTATATGGAAAATCTTACCCCAACAACCGTGGTGGTGTATCAAGCGAATCACGTAGAATACAAGACAAAGGCATATATTTGCTCAGCTGAACTCCACAAAATAACTTCGTGGACTGACATCTATGGGTTTGAAAGAAGTGAAGAAGAGATAATTGAGAAATCGGAATTAAGTGCCGAAGAATGCTGGAGAATGAAGGAAACCCGAAAATGTATATACGGTTCACTATCTATGCATGGAGAAGATCTGAAGACCAACACAAGACCAGAGCTCTCTGATATCCCAAATAGGTTTATGAGTCTCCTCAACAGGAGAGACGAAGAATTTGGAGTTTGTAAAGTACTGTCGACACTAGTTCTCGCTCATTTCGGATCGACAGAAGCAGTATGCCCAAGAATAGACCTAACCAACTGTAAATATGAAGACAACCAATGCCGAACCAAAGACGATCGGATGGTGGTATGGATTCACAACACAACACAAAACTGTCCATACATAAAAGCATCAACTGTTAAGGGAGTTAAAAACAACCAGACGTTCATATCTGAAGAAGAGGAACTGATGCTGACCTTTTCAAATAAGAGAACAGTGTCGTGCCAAGATAAGCTCTGGATATCGGATCAAGGAGTCCCGTTCCAATTTGAGAAGAATACGTCACCCAAGAAAAGAGATTTGACAACAGCAGAAAAACAGTTCGCGAGTCACGTCAACCTAGTAGATCTCCAGAACACAACAAGGATCCTATGTGACGAAATCAACCAACAAGGCCAGATATTGAATCAATTAATAGCGAGCAAACCAGCCGAATTCGCCCAAAGACTTCTCAACCGAACAGACGTAAAAGTACAATCAGTAGGGCACGGCATCGTGAGTATTACCTTTTGCACCACAGTGCCGGATGAAAAAGTACACTTCCAACAAGAAGAGACCAGAGAATTTAGAATAAAAGTCAACGTAGATGGAAAAGGGATAATGTTCTTGGACCCAGTTACGGAGGAATTACATTTGAATCCGTCAGGCCTTTTCACAGATACGGAGCGAGTTGTCCGACATAACGGCAAATACTTCAGATCAACACAAGGATATCTCCAACCGATTAACGTTGTAACAGACAAACGAGAAGAAGTGCAAGTTCTCACCAAAGAATTCGTCTTCAAGAAGGGCCATTCCCTCACCACCCCGTGGCTGGACGAAATGTTGGTAAAAGAATACTTGAAATCACACAACGACCTCATCGAGTCTTTTTCCAAGCCAATCGTCAGGAGATCGTCAAAGACGTGGAGAGAAGAAATCACAGAAATCATCGTCTCTCCAATTCTGCCTTACTTACGGTTGTGGTGGTCAATCTGTGCGGGACTAGTCTCGCTATACACAGTTACGTCGATCCTAAACAACTTCACCGCAGAAAAGAAGATCCAACTCAAGATGCCAAGGAGGAATGCCAGGAAGAAAAATCCTCTCCGACGAAAGAGGAAAAACAACCGGAGGTCATCCCAAAGGCCCAATGAAGAAACCCCGCTTGGAATAGTCTTCCAACGGGCAGAACTGCCGAGGAGATCTGTCAAAATAAGGCAACTTCTCGCGCGCGGAGTGTCGCGACCACCGCGAAAAGCCTAAAGACGCCTGCTGTAAAGTGCGTCAAAAATTTCTTTTCCCAAAAAATTTCTTTCCAATAGATTTAAAAATTAGATAGGCCAAATTTCGGGATAGGGCCGTCTCGATTTCTTTATATAAATTTTTGATCTTTATTTTTATATATTCTATATATTATAATTGTCGATTTCGTTATATATCGTGAATATTTTTTGTTTTGGTTTATTAACCCAAGTTTGAGGTTTTGAATAAAGTTTGGTCAACAATCGAGTTACCAACATCTTAAATTATTGTACAACGGAGTACAATAATTATCATTGTCGAGCGCACGGAGTCGCGGCGACACCACAAAAAAAATTTGGTCGAACTGTGGTTATATGCAATTTGGATGACGAATTTTGTGAGTCGCATTTTCGCGGCGAGAACCTTTGCAATCCCCGCAATTTCTTGACGTTCGATGCGGTTTTCGATGCCAAAGAGTGTTCATTATTTTCCCAACAGACTGATACACGTTTGAGCTCTAATTTTCAAGTTGAATGTGGTTTTGCGACGGCTAGCCGCAGCTGGAGATTTGGTTTGTCGGGTCTCCGATCTCGAGAGAACCGAATCAAAGTAAAATAATTTGGTTCTCCTTTTTTATATTTTATTTTTGAATTACTTATTTGGGCGCTTGTCCCGTGGGTTTCCCGGGTTAACTCTCTCTTTCTCTCTCTCTCCCGAGATTTCGAGTCTGTGCCCACTCTTCCCTCGGGGGAAGGAAGAATTGATAATGGAAATCTTATTCTTTTGTTATCATGTCAACCTCAGTTGTGTGAGAAAATTGAGCTAAAGTCCATTATCGGAGCAGTGTTTCAGCGTTTGCACTATGCTGAAATGTGCGAGCAACAGCCCAAACAAGCCTAACGCAGCGTGCAGTAAGCCCTCTTCTCGCGTTGCATGTCACCGAAATCACTACAGCGTCAAACTTTTGGTCGTTATTAATCACGACGCAAATTGCTTAATTAAGACTTTCGGCTACTGCCTATCCCTTTTTTGCCCACGCAAAGTCTTTGCTGATAACCCCGTTATCGCTGACTTACACTATAAAACTCGCGTTGCAAGCGGGGGTCCTCACAATCAGAAAATGCTGTCGCGGGTCCTGCTTCTGTGTTTGGTGGGATTTTCGTTCGCCGAAGTCTTCAAGATCCCTTTGAAGAAGGAGGTGAAGAAGTCGGGGGGGCCGCAGTTTCTTCAGAGCAATGGACAAAGGTTGGAGTACGTCGCGTTGGATCATGTCTTTATTGGTAGGTTTGAAGAGATCTGTCGATAATATAATAGCGTCAACCAGACGGCGTAGCTGCCCAGACACTCTGGGTGGGGGTCACCATGTAAAAAATTACTTGGTACGCCCTACTATATCTTTTCTTCGACCCCGGTCTGGGGACGACGTGCCCCTATCGGTCAATAGGAGTGACCCATACGCCCGAGGGGCCAACAGGATTGTGACATTCCACTAACAGACATATATCGTTGCATGTAGAGAAAACTGCACTGGCGTCAACAGTGTCATGGCATTCCACAGATATTTAGCAACGGACATGAACTTCCTCATTTTCAGGTACCGTCTCCCTCGGCACCCCGCTTCAAGACGTGAATGTTGCTTTCGATACTCAATCCGGCATCTTCTGGGTGCCTGATGACAAGTGCCCTTGCGATGAAGACTGCTCAAACGGTAAGAGTTTCGCGCCTCCACGCTTCGTATTACACTGATGACTTTTATAACATTTACTTGTAGAACGCCTATGCTTTGATATGTGCAGCTCCCATTGCTGCTCTCAAGGCGGCGGCAACTCCACTGTGTTCGAAGACGACGACAAGAATACAGCTCCGCTCGGCGTCTGCAGCCACAAAAACGTCTACAACCCCAAGCAATCGAGCACTTATGTCAGCCGCCGCGCTTCAACTGTCGAGACCTTCTTGAACAAGAACATCACCATCAACTTGGCCTACGAGACCTTCCGTCTTGGCCCTCATCATGCTGGCGGTTTTACCACAAACTATCTTCAGTTCGGGCACGTCAACGACCTTCCCCAAGCATATGAAGATGCCCAATACGATGGGATCTTCGGCCTCGGACGAGTGGGACCAAGAGGAAGTAAAGCTCCAATCAAGCAGTTGGCCGATAAGAGAATCATCTCCAATCCGGTCGTTACATTGTCAGTAACCAACGGAAAGGAGTCAACACAATTTTTTGACGGCGTATTGACTGTTGGACAAATCGATGAGGCTTTCTGCCCCTTAAATACATCCAAATTCATCCCTGTCGCTTCAGCCAACAAGTGGAACTTCAGAGTATTCAAGGCTACACTGGACGGGACGTCCGTAAACGATTTGACGTGGACGGTAAGTCAAACAGGATTAGACTTGGCTCTCCGGCCGGCCCGGGCCGAAAATCGCCGAACAGGTCGGCCCGGCCCGTTTCAATTTTGCTTTGGCCCGGCCCGGCCCGAACACCGGGCCGGCCCAGCCCGGCAGCCAAGTCTAAATAGGATTATACATACTACCTTTTTCTAGGCCCGAGTTGACCCTTCATCGCCTTTCATCCACATCCCAATCAAACTCTGGAACGGAATTAAGGATAAACTCACTCATGACGCTGAGAATGACCGTTACACGGCCCGCTGCAGTGTCTTGAACAGTTTGTTCAGCAGTTTTCATATTTACATTGGAACCGAAGATTGCGCTGTGCCGCGTAGCCAATTTATCGTTGAATACAGCTCGCAGCTGTGCGAACTCCTGGTCCGACCAGCCGCCGAAAAAGACGACCAATGGGTTCTGGGTATCCCATTCTTGCATGAACGCTGCGTGGTGCTGGATTACAACGGAAGGATCGGAATTTCGGACTTCAAATAACATGTATCCTTGTTCGGAAAATCTTTAAGTCTCCTTGTTCGGAAAATCTTTAAGTGTCCTTGTTCGCACTAGGCTTTTCGCAGTGTCAAGTTGTTAAAAATGTTGGGTTGAAAAAAGCGCGCGGCTTGGATATAATAAACATGCAATTTTTTTATGTCTTTTTTTATTTCATGTAGGCTTATTGTTAGCAATACGTCAAAGCTACGAAATGGAACAACACTACGGAAAAAAGTCTACATATTTTATCGCTTTGAAAAAAGGCGTATGTGGAGAGTGAAAGTACAATACTACGATCATTCGATAAATATGTACATACAGGGTGTCCCAAAAAAAATGCATGTTGTTTTTATGGCTACATTTTATATACCAAACAAAATTTAGCCAAACTAACGATGGATATCAGTAACATAGAGAATTATTGATAACATATCAAGCCAGTTTCACAGTGGCTGCCCTTGGTGGCGATATAGAGCTTCAAACGTAACTTAAAATTTTGGGCTCGGGGCCGCAGCCTTTTTCGAGGAAATCGGTCCCGTTATTGGCGCAACGATTACTTTGCCATTCCAAACTTTTGTGGTGTGTAGTACAGGCAATGGCCTCCAATTGAAAAAAAATATAGTCAATCGGATTCAGATCCGGCGAGCAGACGGCCATTTTGCGGACGGGGTGAAATCGGGAAAATCGTTCCCATTTCGGGTCCTGAGTCGATTTTGCCCTGTCAGCCGGAGCTGAGTCTAGCAAGGACGCCAAATTTGCATTGCCGAGGTTCTGCTGAGTCAACAGAAGTACGGGAAAATCAAGATTAACGCGGCGCTAAAATTTTGCCCCCTTGATCCGAGAAAACCATGGAATTCTTGCCGCTGGGAGAAATTCCGCCTTAGGCGATGACGGCCCGGATTTTGACGGTTTTCGACGTTAGCCGACATGCCGAGGGCCTCATCTAAGAAGATCCAATTGCTCTGGTGGTTGTGCATCCGCCAAATAGTGAACCACGAACGAATGCGCTCACGTCTGTGAGTTGCGGCCCAGCCCTCGAGTTTTCGACATTTTTCGCACCGCACGCACTTGCCGTCTACTTTAAAGATCTGAGCTTTTTGCAGCTTATACAGCGTGAGGCCTAGCTCATCATAGACTATTCGGGTGACCGATCGGTCGCTGATGCCGATCTCACAGGCAAATTTTTCTTGAAAATAGCGTTTTGCTGTTGGTGTTCTCCCGGTTGACAGAACCGCTGGCGGTGCGTTTTCCTTTACGTCCTGGACGCTTACTATCGTTATCAAGCTCCTTACATCGCGTGATTACTTTTGACACAACGTCCTTTCTATACTGGGCAAATTTACAACTTGAACGGCTCAAAAATACTGACAAAATCGCAGTTCCTTTGTTTCACATCTTAAAAAAACCATGCTACTTAATCGATATGAACACAAAACTGAAATGACTAGGGCAGAAAAACACGGAGATTTTAGCAGTACAAAAATCTTTTGGCCTGACCTAAACATTTTCGCGTCAGGACCCATGGAAAAAAACATGCATTTTTTTTGGGACACCCTGTATCTACCCGACTGTCCGAGAAAACTGCTCGCAAAAAAATATCCAACAAGTTTCTGGCCCAGAAGCAGTCATCATGCTTTCATGATGACTCAAAGTGGCGAAACTTTATTTTGCGGAGAAAAATTGTCGTATACTTGGAAATTCTACCTCTATACTAAAAAGGTAGACTTCAAGAGCCGCTATAGAGCGAGTCCTCATCATTTCCGTGACAGACTGATATTACGAATATAATGAGAGATATACAAATTGTTTCTATCGCTTTTACGACCCGCAAACCCACCTTTCCACATATTCTCTTCCATGACTTCCCTTCGAGCTGTAGCACTTCAACGGCTCCGTTCCCTCGGCTAGCAAGGCCTCCGTCCAGGTTGGGAGTTGGTAAACCCAAGCAGTTGTCTGTCCACTCACGACATCGTTGTTCTTATCCGTTAACAGATCGAAAGTCTCCCGATGGCGGACGTAAAAATGAGGGTGGTTTTCGAGTTCATCCAGCTCGAGGAGTTTGGCGTCATCGACGGTGTAGAGCTCGCCTTCGACTAGCTGGAAATATTACATTTATAGTGAAGGAAGTAGTACAGTAGGGGACCTGATCCAGTGGCAAAAAGCGTACCATTTTGCATCCGGGAAGTATCGAAAATGTGGCAAAATGCTTCCTTCTCCAGGTGAAGAAACTCCGTCTTGAATGCCGCTCCTCACAAAAAGAGCGGGCGCGCTTTTGAAACTGGAGTTTTTTTTACTTGGAAAGGGAAGCATTTTGCCACATTTTTGACACTTCCGGGATGCAAAATGGTACGTTTTTTGCCACTGGCTCAGGTCCGCCACTGAAGATCAAAATTCGGAACGTAGGCAATTTAAACACTCTTTCGATAAAGTTTTAACCATAAAAAAGTGGAATCCGCTTTTATAAGTGTTTCCCTCTTACTCTTCAAAGTCAAAAACGCAAAAAAAATCTCCCATAAAAGGTCAAAAAACAACTTTGAAAGAGCCCGTAAAACAATACAACTCAAGAATTTAGAGGCTACAAGTTCCGGAAGAGCCCAAGTCAAAGTGCAAAAAACGAGAATAAAGCCGAGTTTAGGGACGAAACGGTGACAAAAACAGGTAAATAATACTGTTCGAGAGACGGGATGGGAAAAACCAAAGTTTACTCTCCGAGGCCCAAGCGTTTGATAACAATTGTTTTCGGAAAAAAAGTTGTGCGCGCGAAAAGAAAAGGCGAGAAAAGTTGCGAAAGTCGGGCGCTAATCGTTGGGGGAAGATTTGAACTGACAACTGAAGTGGATGCTTGGAAATGAGGGAAAAGTTTAGAAAAAAATAACTGAGAAATGTATGTAACTAATATACGAAAGAAGCGGAGTCATCGTAAAAATGGGTGTTCAAAAACAACGAGATTTTTCGAAATTTATTTTGATGTTTTTTAAATTTATAAGTCTGTCGAGAAAATAATGATCACTTTGTCGTAGCGAAAATCTCCGAGAAAATGAATTGTGTCGCGACAAAATCAAATTGCTTTTCAGTTCAGCGCAATTATCGCAGCGACATTGCGCTCATTATTTTCCCGACAGAGTGAATTTTACAATGTAAAATCAGTATGATGTCAAAAAAGTGAAAGAAAACACAATGCCTTAGGGCGTAAAGACTGGAATTCTTTAAATCAGATTTTTTGAGAATTCAAATTATGATTTTAAATGGCATCTCCGCAGAGAAAATCGCAAAAAATGGGTACTCAAAAAATGAGATTTAAAAAAAAATTTTTTTTGAAATTGCATAAATAAAAAAAGTTAAAGTACAGCATGGGGTGACTAATTTCTTGCTAAAAAAATATTCGAAATTCAGATTTTTCAAAACAAAATTTTTCAAAAAAAAATTTTTACGAAACTTGGCCCAAATTGCGTTTTTTTCAATAAAAATTGGCACAAATTTCGGAAATAGGCCACATTCCAATTCCTAAAAATCTTAGCTCGCGCTTTGGGCCGAGATATTCAACAATCCTTGCGGCCGAGAGAGTACGTGAAACACGGAGAGCATTCATAGAGGAAAACTAAGAGTCTCGCATATGTTTTACCAAAGAATTATTTCATCAAAAAAGTTCGAAAAAAAATAAAAATTAAAAAATCGAGCCTATAGCAATTTAAAATTTTTCGATAAATTTTCCCGTTGCGGCAGAACTCTCCCCCTTTTTGAACTCTCCCCCTTCAGAACTCTCCCCCTTTTTGAACACTCCCCCTCATTTTGAAAATTCAAAACATGAAGTGTGACATCTTATGCGATGAAAATTTTTTTCAAATATCAATTCAAATTGAAAATTTTTTTATCGTATAACATGTCACACCTCATTTTTCTCAATTTGAAAAATTTTTTCATCGTATAAGACGTCACACCTCGTTTTTTTAATTTTCAAAATGGGGGAGAGTTCAGATTGAGGGAAAGTTCAGAAAAGGGGTAGAGTTCAGGCTCAACCAAATTTTCCCTGTCAAGCGCTAATTCCTATAATTTTTCCTTCAAAAAAATCAAAAAAAAAACTCTTCAAGTCGGCTCTCCCGAAACCCCACTTCTACTCCTCGACTTTTCTTTGAACTCGAGACGAAAATCGTTTGGGAATGACCCGTTTCCCCACCGGGCAATATCAATCATCGTTCGCTTTGTTTACCCGATTCATAATAAATGGAATCAAACATGTTCTATTCGGAGTGTTGAGGTGGTCCGATATGATTTGTCGGGATTAAAAAATCGTGGAAAAACACTTGGGAAATGGAAAAAAATCGAGAATTCTGTCAGTCTGTCGGGAAAATAATGAGCACTCTGTCGCATCGGGATCGCCGCCGAGGGTTGAGCCTGAACTCTCCCCCTTTTCTGAACTTTAGTGTGTGACATCTTATACGATGAATTTCTTTTCAAATTGAGAAAAATGAGGTGTGACATGTTATCCGATGAAAATTTTTTTCAAACTGAGAAAAACGAGGTGTGACATCTTATACGATGAAAATTTTTTCAAATTGAGAAAAATGAGGTGTGACATGTTATCCGATGAAAATTTTTTTCAAACTGAGAAAAACGAGGTGTGACATCTTATACGATGAAAATTTTTTTTAAAAAGATATCACACCTCACTTTTCTTAATTTAAAAAAAAAATTTCATTATATAAGATGTCACACCTCACTTTTCTCAATTTGAAAAATTTTTTCATCGTATAAGATGTCACACCTCACTCTTCTCAATTTGAAAAATTTTTTCATCGTATAAGATGTCACACCTCACTTTTCTCAATTTGAAAAATTTTTTCATCGTATAAGATGTCACACCTAATTTTTTCAGTTTTCAAATAACCAAGAAATGTCCAAAGCAAAAATTCTAGGGGTGCCCTAAAATATCAGGTTAAAATCATTTTTAGACCCCGTTTTTATCCCAACCTTTCTTCATATTCAAATAAAATAAATCTTGGACATTATAACGACCTGCTTTCGGATCGCGGACGTGTTTATAAAAAGAAATGGGTGGATGTTTTTACGACCACGTAAAGCCATCCGATGACTAGGTTGGTCTCAAAATTTTAGGGGAATGGCCTGAGGGGATTTGAAGTTTAAAATCAAAAAAACATTTTTTATAGCAGATTGTCGGGAAAATAATGTGGATTTAAAAAATGTCGCGCCTCGTCGCAGTCTTACATCAAATCTCCAGCCACCGTCGCAAGCGATGATGGGCGATCAAAAGACGCGATGAATCCACATTATTTTCCCGACAGACTGATATTTACTTCGCGTTGATTTTTGTTGCGCTAAGAAAGCTTTTCGGTCCCGATGGCGTAAAGAAAAAATATTTGCAATTTTGCAAAATGCAGTATGTAAAAAAATCAAAAAATTGACTCCTAAAAGCCGTAATGACATTTTGTCTTGATCAAAAAAATGATGGCTGTTTAAAAGAGCAGTGACTAATAAAGATTCTCATTCCGAACGTTTTCATTCCGAGCAACAAATAAACAGATCAGTGGCCTATTTTGTTTGTCATGGCTCAGAGAGAGACTTGACCCAAAATTTAATTAATAAGCAAGAGATGAAAAACAACACATGACTTGCTGAAACAAGGCAAAAAATATGATTTTAATTGTCAGCGACAGATGGGAAATTCTACAGCAGAAACCGGCGAGATTTTTCGGTCAAAAATCGCCAAAAATGTCCTGTCGGGAAAATAATCGGCACAATCTTGCTGCGCCGCGTTGCGGCGGAATTCTCCCCGTTTTCTGAACTCTTCCCCTTCAGAACTCTCCTACTTTTTGAACACTCCCCCTCATTTTGAAAATTGAAAAAATGAGGTGTGACATCTTATACGATTAAAATTTTTTTCAATTTGAAAAATTTTTTCATCATATAAGATGTCACACCTTATTCTTTTCAATTTGAAAAAAAAATTCATCGTATAAGATGTCACACCTGATTGAAAAAAATTTTCATCGTATGACATGTCACACCTCATTTTTCTCAATTTGAAAAAATTTTTCATCGTATAAGATGTCACACCTCATTTTTCTCAATTTGAAAAAAAATTTCAACGTATAAGATGTCACACCTCATTGAAAAAAATTTTCATCGTATAAGATGTCACACCTCATTTTTCTCAATTTGAAAAAAGTTTTCATTGTATAACATGTCACACCTCATTTTTTCAATTTTCAAAATGGGGGAGTGTTCAAAAAGGGGGAGAGTTCAAATTTTCTGGCGATAATCAAAAAAGGGTTCAGCCTTTTTTGGGGGAGTGTTCAAAAAGGGGGAGAGTTCATATTGAGGGAAAGTTCAGAAAAGGGGTAGAGTTCTGCCGCAACGCTCATTTTGCACCATTGCACTGCGAAAATACTAACACCCCAGATTAGAAACTGAAACCTCCACAAAAACCGTCCAAAAAAAGTAAAACCCTTTCAATTCGACCTTGCTCTTCACTCCACAAGCCGCTTGATAGTACAATGTTTTGTGTATTTGAATAGGAAGTCGGAAGAGTTATAAAAAATCTCTTCCCCAGCAAGGTTGGAGCCAAAAAATGCATCTCGCGAAACGGAGCCGGACGTTTGGGTCAAAGGGACGCGCTCGTTTTGTGATCCGAACATCTGGACGAAATGACAAAATATATTGGGGAGAACGGGGAAATTAGATTGATTTGAGGTGGGAAATTGCGAAATCCCGGAATTAGAGGGCACTAGAAGAGTGCTGATTGAAAACAAGATGGATTGCGAAAGAGGGGGAGAAGAGGAGCAGAAATTATGGTCATAATTACGATGAGAAATCGGTATGACAAGAGAAAATGAAAAAAAAAAGTTTTAATTTTGTCAAAAAATTTAAAACCGGATTTTTTTTAGTCTTTCCATAAAGTGTGCAGATTTTTTTTTGCGTTTTGCTTTTGAATACTAGCCCGCGGTTTGCAGAAACGACCGAGATTTTTAGATCGAAAGTGGGCGAAAGTTTGACACTTTTCGCCAAATTTCGACACGAAAAGTTTCATGACTATTTCTGCCATAGAGGGTAATATTTCTGCCAAAAATAATTTTTTTCCGCACAAAACTAGCAAAGTTATGGCCAAAAAGTGTTCTTTCTCTGGCTCTGAAAATCCACATGCGGTCACTTTTCAGGTTTGATTAAAAATTCAGTTCTGTATAAAAGTTGTTAAAAGTGACATGGCTGGAAAGATCTCCAGCCATGTCATCTGAAAAAGTTCACACGTCAATCTTATAGCATACGCTCGCTAGACCCGCTTAAATGTCGACAACTAAAAAAAATTCGAAAAAATCGGTGTCCGATTCATTAAAGAAAGCGCTGCACGTCAAACTGAGGAGTCCGGTGACCGGAGATAGAATTTTCGCTATCGGTTTTTTACACTTCGTCTTGATTTCCAGAGAAAGAGAGAAAAAAGACGCGCAAAAGCGTACTCTCTCGCCCCAAAAATTCCCCATTTCTTCCCCGACAAAACGTTTTTTCGCGTCTTTTTTTGGCAAATTGCCAATCCATTCACCGGACTGTTTTAGCTTATCTCACAAGGGAAGTACTTCAAGTGCGACGCTCAGATTTTGATAAAAATTGGCATAGATGGAGATTGGAATTTTCTTATTCGATTACGAGCATCCTAGCTCGCGCTTTGCAGAAACCGCCGAGAAAGAAGGGCCGGAATATCGAAAAAAATCTTCAAAAGACGGCGAATTTTCCCTGATTCCCTTGATCTTGGCATTCCGTTTCAGGATAAAAATATATTTTTTCTCGCAAGAAATTTTTTCTTGATAATGTTCAACACTATTTTGTTGCTTTTATGTGGATTATGATGTGTTATTTTCACTTTTTTATACTCAGGACATGATTCTAGCGCTATTAATTGGATTGTTGCCATCCGAAGGGTAAAATGTTTCGTTTTTTGACGAATTTATGCAGCTTTTCCTCTGCGGATGGGCAAACCACTCTAATAGTTGCTTCAAAGTTGATTAGGGGAGATGCAAAACGTTCTACTTCGTGTATGAACGAATCATAAAGTAAGTTTCCCAAAAATTTTATTTTTTTATTTCAGCAAGCAAATTCAGAACAACGAGAACAGCGAATGTGCACCATCGGAACATTGAGTACAATGGCGGAACACCTTTGGGACACTTGCTTTGTTTGCTGAAATGGAATAAACTGAATAATAGTGAAAAAATAAATTTTTTTGAAGACTTACTTTATGATAACGTTCACGCACAAAGCAGAGCGCTTTGCATCTCTCCTAAACAACTTTGAAGCAACTATTAGAGTGGTTTGCCCATCCGCAGAGGAAAAGCTGCATAAATTCGTCAAAAAACGAAACATTTTACCCTTCGGATGGCAACAATCCAATTAATAGCGCTAGAATCATGTCCTGAGTATAAAAAAGTGAAAATAACACATCATAATCCACATAAAAGCAACAAAACAGTCTTGAACATTATCAAGAAAAAATTTCTTGCGACACAGGGAATTCGGATTTACTTATATGTACGTCTTTTTTACTTATATGAAATTGAAGTTTATATAAGTAAATAAACGTACATATAAGTAAATAATCGTACATATAAGTAATTCTGAAATTACTTATATGTAAACTTTATTTTCGGCGCTCCACAAATTTACTTATATTTACAAATAAGGATTTTTTACTTATATTTACCAATAAGGATATTTTACTTATTTGTAACCCAGAATTATGCACAGTGCAGATTATATTATAAACGTTTATTTTGATTCTCAAAAACAACAAATACATGTGGATAACGCATCTTGTGTGCTCCGGATAGTTTTCTCATCTGTTTTTGTCCTTATGAGGCATCAATTGCTTGCTTTCGAGATCTTCTATGGGGACTTCTGCGTCTGCATTCACTGAAAATAGTAACAAATAAAGAAGATAAGGTCGTTCGACGACATTTACTATAAGCCCTTCTCAATTGTTTGTGTTTCTCCACCCCGAAAAATTAGTTTTAGGTTCACCAAGTTTGTAAATGAAATTTCGAGACACTAAGTTTTTCATGTTGTACTAGGTCCAGGTGAATATTCTCAACATACCTGAATCATCCGAGTGCCATTTTTCCGGGATCGTGTGTATTGTCCATTTACTACCCTCCACGACCAATTTTTCGATAATCTGAAACCTAGAGGCTTCACCTGGACCTAGTACAACATAGCAAAACTATGTCTGGAAAAATCTTTGGTTTTATGAAATGTGAAAACAGTCAAAAAAACCTACCAAGTTTGAGCACACAGTTGTTCATCCAAATTCTTTCCTCATAGTGCTTGTTCATAGATTTTTGGGAACTGCGTGAAGTTTGACGTTAACATGCTCCATGCTCGGGAAGGTTCTCGCGTTCGCAACTTTTGATCCGAGCACTCTGTTACTCTGTAAAAGAAAAAAAAAACTAACTACAAGCAACTTACTTTATTCGATCCAAGGTTGAGATACGTTCTTTGACGGTCCAAAAACTTAGAATTTTTCTAAGTCCGGCCAACGCGTGCAGAAACCAAAAAGCGTCTTTGACGCTCAAAAGTTTTCTTTTCGAGGCTCATATATGTACATATAAGTAAAAATGAACGAGCTCCGCCGTTTTTTACATATAAGTACCGCTATTTGTAAATATAAGTAAATAAACGTAAATATAAGTAAAAATAAATAAGCCCCGCCTTTTTTAACTTATATGTAAGTTATTGGTAAATATAAGTAAAAAATTTTACTTATAAGTACATCCGAGTCCCCTGTGGACAAAAAATATTTTTCTCCAGGAACGGAATGCCAAGATCAAGAGAATTTGCAGGGAAATTCGTCGGCATTTGAAAATTTTTTTCGATATTTCGGCCCTTCTTTCTCGGCGGTTTCTGCAAAGCGCGAGCTAGGATGCTCGTAATCGAATAAGAAAATTCCAATCTCCATCTATGCCAATTTTTATCAAAATCTGAGCGTCGCACTTCAAGTACTTCCCTTGTCAGTTTGACGTGCGCTGTGCGTTCTCTCTCGGCGGCAAAAATCGTTCAATATCTCGACGGAGCCCGCAAAGCGCGAGCTGAAACTTTCAGGAATCGACATTTAGTTCATGCCCGAGGTGTGTGCAAAATTTACAGAAAATCGGAGCGTCGCACTTGGAGTATTTGCCTTGTAAAATTGAGCCTAGGGATTATTTTTAAAAATACTCAACCATTATTGTATATATGGAAATTCGTTGCTTAGATATTCAATAGTAAGCATTTTAAAAAATCCTCGCCCTACCCACCCCAAAAAGATCAAATTTTAAATTCCGAAATCACCATTCACTCACCTCCCCCTTTCCGGCGTCCTTCAACAAAAATGGAATATTGAACTTTGTAGATACGATCAGCGGGTATCTCTGCGTCATCCGGGCCGTCCCCTCGAAGCTCGCCGTTCCTCGGATTTCGTTCGCCATCACCCGATGATTGGGCTCGTTTCTTTTCAGCGTCCCGTAGACAAAAACCAAATGTTTGGACGCCATTGCGCTGAAAAGAATTGGGCGATTAATTCAATTTGCTAAATTGGCGTGAGAAAGTTTGGGCGATCCCTGACGTAAATTTAGGGGAAAACATCAGTCTGTCGGGAAAGTAGTGATCGAAATTTCGCATTGAAAATCGCATCGCAGCCGAGAAAATGAATTGTCAACTTGCCGTTCACTTTAGCGACGCGATCGGCGCGGCGGCATTTCAGTACTTTCCCGACTTTGTAGAAAAAACTAACAGGGAAGTACTCCAAGTGCGACGCTCAGATTTTCTTTAAATCTTGCACACACGTCGGGTATGGACTAAATATCAATTCCTGAAAGTTTTAGCTCGCGCTTTGCGGGCGCCGCCGAGATATCAAACGATCTTTCCCGGCGAGAGAGCACGCTAAACGTGGAGAGGGCTCAGAGAGAAAACGCCTTTTTGGCCATAACTTTGGCAATTTCGTGCGGAAAAATGTGATTTCTTGTAGAAACATTATCCTTTATGGTTGAAACAGGCATGAAACTTTTCGTGCCGAAGTTCGGCAAAAAGTCCTAAATCTTCGCCGACTTTCGATCTAAAAATCTCGGTTGTTTCTGCAAAGCGCGAGCTAGGATTCTGGCATATATCTTAGGAAAAATTATTCTAAATTTGTGCCAAGTTTCATCAAAATGTGAGCGTCGCACTTGGAGTACTTCCTAAAAGCTGAAATTTTTAAAAGTTGATAAGAGGCCTATGCAGAAAACTCATGCTGAATTTGCACGGAATCTTCCGATTATACTTGGAGTTTCCCCCGAAAAAATTATTCCCAAAAAAATGCGATTTCTGATCAAAAGCGGAATAAAGCGAGACAAAGAAGCCAAAATTAGAGCAGAAAAGATTTTTTTAGTAAAAATGGATCGTCAGCGCATCTAATAACCGCAATTTTTTCTTCCAAAAGTCAGAAAATTTCTTAGAAATCGAATTCCTCAAAAAAAAAAACTCTTATCCATCTGTCGGGAAAATAATGTGGAGTTGTCGCAGAAAAATTTTTGGCCTCATTGCATCAAATTTATATCTTCAGAAGCGGTCTGAAAACAATAATGGACGATTCCACGGCGTGAAAAAATCCACATTATTTTACCGACAGACTTCTGAAAGGACTTTTTTCCCAAAAAATCTAAAAATACTCGGCCATTCGATCAAAAAGTGACTTGGACTTTATAAAAAACTGTCAACAAACGTCTCAATTGTTTCGGAACACCTGGCCATTCTCAACTGCTCTTCTTGTGGACAAACACACCAAATTCATTAGTTTCGTCTGTGCAATAAGTAATAGCAAATTAAGAAAATTATCTTATCAGTGCGAAGGAATTAAAGAGAGGAGCCGAGAAATATGAGAGAACTTTGAAAAAAGAGTTAAATATTCGATAAAAAAGTCGAATTTTTTGCTGCGAAACAGATGCTAGGTTCCAGTTTTTTTAGCAAAAATTCTAAAATCAAAGGAAATGGAGGTTTACTCTTTGTGACGCGACGCTCAAATCATCTTCAAATTTTGCATACATATTCTGTCTAGGCCAGTTATTGGTCCCAGAAAGTTTTATACTTAGCACTGCAGTGATAGCCGAGATATTCAACGACCTTTGCAGCCGAGAGCGCACGAAAAATGCGGAGAGCGGGCAGAGAAAATACACTTTTTTGACAGATCATGGCTATTTTTTAGATTAAAAAAGCAGAGAAACATGGACCTTGAGATTCTTTAAGACGCGACGCTCAGATCTTCTTAAAATTTTGCTTAAATGTTCCATCTGGGCTCCCTATTAACCCCAAAAAAAGTTTAGCCCGCGCGTTGCAGGAAACAGACGAAATATTTGACGATCTTTGCAAGATGAGATACTGTGACGTATGTGGAGAGTGGTCAGAGAAAAAAACACTTGTTGGACAGGACTTTTGGCAGGAAAAATATACATTTTTTACATTTTTTTGGCTAGATAGAGTATACTGGTTGACAAAATTTTCTTTCCGCCTCTTATCTCGGGAACCGCTGGGCCTAGAACTTCCAAATTCGGCATAGAAACATCCTGGGACAATGTAACACCATACCCAAAAAATCATATCATTTGATGCACTTTTAGTGCACTTTTTATGCAAAAGGCAAAAAAAGGGATGACAAAATTTTATTTCCACTTTGGAAAAACGTTTGTAAATCATGAGCCAGTGGCCGCTAAGACATGATTGTGGTATCGTTGTGTTCGCAAAGAAGTCCTCTCTCGATTCATGTCACAATCTTGCAGGAGTTTTCATTTGTTTTTCAAATTTGGTCTATGTGTTCTGTATAGGCGGCGTATCAATGCTTCAAAACTGCTCACTATTTTCCCAACAGACTGATTTACAAAAGTCTTGTTTGGCCAGCCGGCATGTTTTTGGTTTTGCGACGGACATTTCCAATTCTGAAAAATCAGCTTCGAACTGCATATTACGTTTTTTTTCAAAAAATCGCTGCTCAATTGTCTGTCGCGGGCGAAAAATCAGCGGCGACACAGTTGAAAATGCAACTGAAAGAGACTCGCGCGAATCGGCATTTCGATTAAACCACACGTCAAACCGAGGAGTCCGGTGACCGGAATAGACTTTTCGCTATCGGTTTTTTACACTTCGTCTTGATTTCGCAGAGAAAGAGAGAAAAAAGACACGCAAAAACGTACTCTCTCGCCCCGAAAATTCCCCATTTCTTCTCCGACAAAACGTTTTTTCGCGTCTTTTTTGGCGAATTGCCAATCCGTGCACCTGACCGTGAGCGCCGCAAAAGGATACTTCCCCTGTCAGTTTGACGTGCACCATGCGAATGAAAATGCAGATTGGTCGTTCTTTTATGGCCTCGTTCTGACCTCATTCCAACACTGCTTCTGCATAATTTTCTCCACTCCTCCAACATTGTCTTTTCATGTTTTTTCAGGCTCCAAAATTTTTTTCAGACCGTTATCGACTCCCGATATCACAAATTTTGAAGTGTTTTAGAAGGTTTTTCTCGGCTAATTTTTTTTCAAATTGGACATAATTCTTTGCATAGGTCCCCAAAAAAAAATTTTTTTTGAAAATTTGAATTTTTAAAATTCGGAAAAAGGTATTTGTCACTAAATAATTTCGAGGTAAAAAAATTTCCCATTTTTCCAAAAGTGACTCCAAAATAAAAATTAAATTTTTCAAAAAAAACACAAATTTTTAAAGCTCGAAAAAGCACTTTTAAAACTAATTTTTTTCGACGAAAATTTAGGAAAAATATTTTAATTTTTTTCTAAAAGTAACCCTAAAATAAAAAAAATATTTTTTTAAATCTCGAAAATGTGTTTTTGAAACTGATTTGGCTGAAAGCTCAGAAAAAATATTTTCATTTTATGTGTGAGGTCCATCATAAAAAATTTTTGTTTTTTTCAAATATTTAAATTACCAAAATCAAAAATTTATTTTTTTTCAAAAAAAATATGAAGTTTTTCAATTCACAAAAAATATTTTGAAATTGATTTTATGCCAAAAAAAATTATTTATTTTGTACAAGGGTCCATAAAAAAATTCGATTTTTTGCAAGAGCGGCCCAAAATAAAAAATATTTTTTTTTTCAAAAACACAATTCACATAATTTTTTTTGAAGCTATATTTTTTTCTGAATTTTTTGTGACCATATTTTTTATTTTTTTTTTTATTTTTACAAAAAGGGACCCCAAGATAAAAAATTAATTTTTCCCCAAAAAATCGATTTTTTTGAATCTGAAAAAACTCAAAAACTTTTTAAAAATGATTTTTTTCAAAATTTTTAAAACTGCTTCCAAAGAATTTCAATTTTTTAAAAGTCATTCTTTTGTTGTTCAACCTCTCCAAACGTTGTAAAGAAACGTTTTCCCGGCGTTTTCCCCGTGCAATAACAAGTTTCTTTTCTCTTATTTTCCCCAATTGGAGTCCCCAAAAACGTTTCGCTCACCTGTACAAACGTTGGCTTTCTTTTTTCGAACAATTTTTCCTCTTCTCTTTTTTCGACGTGGCCTTTGGAAACGAGGGGAAAAAACTATTCGTAAAGCCAATAAATTTCCATAATTCGGTGGAAAATCTCTCCTTTCTTATGAGATTTTTCATCTCCAATATGTTTTGAGAGTTGTTTCGGTGGCAAATTTTTTTATTTTTCGCGAGATTTTTTTTTGTTTCCCGATTTCTTTTTTGTATTTTTAGGTAGCGAAATGATTTATAATCGGCTTTGGAGGTTCAGAATGGGAAGTTTGAACTGGCGGGAGGAATAAAAAGTAGTTATTTTGCAGGTTGTTACGCAATTTTTTTTGGAATTTTATTTTTGTTTTTTTTTTATTTTATTTTTTTTTTTTTTTTAATTTTTGAGATTTTTAATTCGAGGTTTTAAAAAGCGGAAAAATAAATCGTATTTATCGCATTTTACAAGGATTTTTTTTTATTTTTTGGATTTTTTTTGTATTTGATTTGATTATTTTTTTTTTTGATTTTTCAAATTTTTTAATTCTCCGTAGTTTACAATTTTTTAGATTTTTTTGGAAATTTAAGATTTTTTGTTTGGTTTTTCCCAGTGGGTAAGGCAAAAATCCGTATTTTAAAAGATTTTTTTGGATTATTTTGAGTTTTAATTCTTTTTTATTTTTCGAATTTTTTGAAAATTCCATATTTTACAGTTTCTTTTTAACTTTTTTTTGGATTTTTGGGAACCAAAAATGCTTATCGCTTTTTTACAAAAAAAAATCTTTTTTTTTATTTTTTTTTTTTTTGTTATTTTTAAATAGGTTTTTTTTCTTGATTTTTTTATTCTTGAGAACATAATTATCCGTATTTTTTAAAATTGTTGGGATTTTTTTAATTTTTAAGCAAAGTTTTTTTTTGATTTTTCTATTTTTTTTAATCTCGTGTTTTAAAAAAAAAATTTTTTTAACTTTTCTATTTTTTTTTTCTAATTCCGTATTTTACAAAAAAAATCTTTTTTATTCTTAAATTTTTTTTTAATTCCGTATTTTACAAAAAATTTTTTTTTGATTTTTCTATTTTTTTTTAATTTCGTGTTTTAAAAAAAAATTTTTTTTTAATTTTTCTATTTTTTTTTTCTAATTCGTATTTTACAAAAAAAAATTTTTTGATTTTTCGATTTTTCCCCCAAAAAATGACTAAAAATCTTTGCTCTTCTCAAAAAAAGTAATTTACTTTACAACTACAGTCTTCAACCCACGTTTCCTTAATGTCGAACGGGTAAAACATCACTCTTCAAATAAACAATTAATTGATTTCAAATTTTTTCAACTAATTTTACCATTTTCAGACCCCAATTTCCATGCCACTTCCCAGATGAATCCGCGGTTATTATGTCGGTTTCTGATCCCGCGCCGCTTCGAGAACGCACTCAATTCGGTGCTGACCTTGATCTTGCTGGTAATGGTCGTCTTTTTCTGGCGGGAATACCAAGACTTCCATCCGAAACGCTTGCCCGTCATGGAAGGGAGAGTGTGGCCGACGACCACGGTCCCACCGCACACAAGACCAGTGCCGGGGGTGGTTAGAAAAGGTAGAATTTTGGAAAAAGATAAAAAAAAATTGAAAAAAATCAAAAAATTTTTTTCTCAGATTTTTCTAAAACTTGGCATAAATTTAAATTAAAGCTTTCTAAGACATATCCAAAAATTTTATCTTGCCTTATGCAAAATTTACCGAGATTTTTAGCCCAAAAGTTGCAAAAATTAAAAATTTTTTTTTTCGATTTTCAAATTAAAAAAAATTAAAAAAAGATCGAAGGAAGATAGTAGCACTAAAAATTAATTTTCTCCAAGCAATATTCGAAAAGATATAGCCGGAAGAAAATTTTTTCTCTGACCGTCTCTCCTCATTTTACGCACTCTCTCCAAAATGACCTTTTTAAATTTAAAAATATCTCGGCTCCCCTTGAAAAGCTAAAGCTAAAAATTTCAGGAATTAATTTGTGACCCATTTGCAATATTCTTATCAAAAAATTTTTTAGATATCAAAACATCTGAAACTTCGTATTTTAGGTCCCGGCGAAAACGGAGCTCCAGTAATATTGCGTAATAAAGAAAAGATCAAAGGTCAAGAAGACATGAAGAAATGGTTTATGAACGTTGTAGCCAGGTACGATCATGTTTCACCGTAAAATCGGCAAAATTCTGTTTGGCGAGCTGCGCCCAGCGCAAACTTCAAATCCCTCTAAATCCCGGAATTTCAGCGATAAAATGTCATTGGACCGCTCGATTCCGGATATGAGACACCCGGACTGTAAATTAATAACCTATCCCAAGGACTTGCCTAAGGCATCAGTCGTCATTATCTTCACGGACGAAGCGTGGACACCATTATTACGCACTGTGCACTCTGTAGTGAACCGGTCACCTCCTGAATTTTTGCAAGAAGTAGTGCTTATCGACGATTTCAGTCAAAGAGGCAAGTCTTACGCCATCTTGGGCTGGAGAGAAACACTTGACCCAATTTGCCAAGTTTGGGTCAAGTCTTTCTCTCGGTCGAGGAAGGTCAAATTTTTGATTTTTGATGATAATATTGCTAATTTTAGCCGAGCTAAAGGACAAATTAGCAGAGTACATCAAACGTTTTGGTGGTTTAGTACGACTTGTAAGGAAAACAGTGCGCCAAGGCCTAATCCGAGCCAAAATTGTGGGCGCCAAAGAGGCCAAGGGCCAAGTCGTGGTGTTCCTCGACTCTCACTGTGAAGCCAATGAAGGATGGTAAGTTTTAGGTCATTTTCTTCAATTTGTGATCTGTTTTTTCCTTTCAAATCACCTAAATGAATTTCAAGTGTCAAGTGCAATATAATTTTTTCAAATTTTAGGCTAGAACCGATTCTTCAGCGAATAAAAGACAATCCAACGGCCGTAGTATGCCCTACCATTGATCATATTTCGGCGCAAACGATGGCTTATAATGGAGATCCGAATGCCGAAGCAGTGGGTGGATTTTGGTGGTCGCTGCATTTTAAATGGGATCCTATCCCGGAATCGGAGAAGAAACGACGAAAAAGTCCTACGGAGTACATTCGGTAAGATTCTACAGGTTCTCCGAGAAGATTTGAGCGTATTTTAGATGAGGGAAAGACTTGACCCAAAGTTGAGTCAAGTCTTTCTCTTGTAGGATTTTCCAGGGAAATAGTGTTGCAGTGTAAATAAAAAATGATTAAAATGCTGTAACGTGTTTTAAAACCAATTTTGAGCGTTTTTCATAAGCTTTTTTTACATTATCCATTGCGATTTTAGATCTCCAACGATGGCTGGCGGCCTCTTAGCGGCCGATCGAAAATACTTTCTGGATGTTGGCGCATACGACGCTGAGATGGATATATGGGGAGGAGAAAACCTAGAGATCTCGTTTAGAGTAAGTTCCAGCAAAAAATTATATTATCCATGATAGGTCTGGATGTGCGGCGGTTCGATTGAGATTTTACCATGCTCGCATGTTGGTCATATTTTCCGAGATGGCCATCCGTACAATATGACAGGTCGAGGAGGGAATAAGGATGTGCATGGGACGAATTCGAAGAGGTTGGCGGAGGTTTGGATGGATGATTACAAACGGCTATATTACCTACATCGAATGGATTTGAAGGATAAAGTAAGTTGGATAGGGTGTAAAATTCTGTCCAAGTTGGTATCTGATCGTAAGAATTCATTTTTAATATCGAAAATATGGTATTTTGGGAGTTTTCCGAGAGAGAAAGACTTGACCCATTTTTTGGGTCAACTGTTTCTCTCACAGGAATTGCTTCAGAAACTGATCTTTTACGTTGGAAAATAAATTTTTACACTTCCGATACGCATGAAGAAGACACATTACGAATTTTTGGGTCAACTGTTCCCCTCGATAAGCTTCTTTTTCCAGGATGTCGGCGACCTCTCGGAACGTCATGCCTTGAGGAAAAAATTGAAATGCCATGATTTCAAATGGTACCTGGACAATGTTGCACCGGACAAATTCATTCCCGACGAGGAAGCCGTAAATCACGGACATCTGAAAGCGACCCAAGGCTCTCTATGTGTCGACACACTGCAACGAGACGAGAAAATGGAGCAGGATCTGGGCCTATTCTATTGCCAGGGCGGCGGCAGTGCGTCACAGTACATTTCGTTGACGAAAAATGGACAATTGAGAAGAGAAGCGTCCTGTGCGAATATAAATACCAGCACAAGGGTGGTGAAAATGACTCCGTGTCGGCTGAAGACCGAATATGCCGAGTGGGAATACGATAATGTGGTAAGAAATCGAGTTTTTTACAATTTGAGTACTGTATTTTAAATGAGGGAAAGAGTTGACCCATTTTGGGTCAAGTCTTTCTCTCGGTAAAATCGCGGCCGGAATGGAGAAAAATTGCTATAGCAAGTCTTTTTACAATGAAATTTATTCTGTTTTACATTTCCCATCGAGAGAAAAACTTGACTCAAAATGTGTCAAGTCTTCCTCTCGGTAGATTTTGACCTAAAAAATTGTAGAATACGACCTTAGTTGAGAAACAGTTTAAGTCAACTCACATTTATCCATTTTCTTTGAAATTTATAATTTGTCGGTAACTTTTATATTACACATGACATTAATTTTCAGACCAACCACGTCAAAAATACCAAACACAACCTGTGCCTCGACGTAACTGGCCTCAAGAGCGGGCAAAACCTGAAAGTCGCCGAATGCAAGGACGTCGCGGGCCAGAAATGGCAATTCCAATTCTAATTTATTAACCTGGTCTACCATAATATTATAGTCTAACATGCCTTTAACTGCAATGACATTTTTTTACGCGGGTATTGATTTGTGATAAAAATTCCTCGAAAGGCTTTTCCGATTCGTACCAAAAGCCCTAAGGACCTTCTTCGCTTCTTGAGAATAAACTTTACGTTTTCTATTTTTTTAAACAAAATTTCGGCCGAAAAAAGGCCCGGAAGCACCGAAAGAAGAGTTCGAAAAAAGAGGAGACGCCAGATAGATGTGCGTACGTATGTTACAAGGACGAAAATGAGGAGTAATCCAAAGTGGGGACCGATTTTCGGCCGGAGAAAGGGATTTTCTCCAGTTTGTCCTTCGGATTAGTCCAGTGGAAAGTAAATCCAGAAATTGTCGAATAGCAGTGTACATACGGCCATGAAACGTACCATCCGAATTAAGTCAAAGGTACTCTACAATTCCATAGAGGCTTTTACGTTTATCTACGTTAGTTCTTGCACTATAACGAAAATTTCATTTGCTGTCAACAACAATATAAAGGTGAATATTTCGAAAATTTATCGAAAGAAAATTGTCGAATGATAGATAAAGCATTAGAGGCACTACACTGACCTCGTTGCACTTTTATTGCCATTACCAAATTGTTTACTTTCAATAAAATAAAAAGGTAGGGCGCAGCTCGCGCAAGGCCCGACGAAAATTCGTTCCTCGCACGACGAAAGGACGCACATTTGTTTCGGTTGGTTTCGGACGAAAAAAGGTCGAGCTCTCTCTTCCCAGCGGCGGCCCGGGCCGTGTGTCCGCTGTGTTTCCTTCGCCTCCCCTTCTTCTATGTCAATCACATGGGTATTTTCGTCTGTGGAGAATTTTTTATTATTTTTTAGGGGAAATTAGGGCGTTTCGACCATGTACAATATAGATTTCTCGTTGTTTCGAATGGTTTCGAGTGAAAGACGGTTTACTCACTGTTCTATGCGCTCGCAAGAGCGCCTGCAGCAAGTCTAAATGGGTAGACTTTGTGGTTTCGTCGGACTTTTTTCGATTCTCTCTGATTTGATCTCCTTCTGATGGGGAGATTGACGAGTTTTCGGATTTTCGGGGGTACAAAGTACGGGAATTTCACCGTGCGCTCGGCGTATGATCAATGAACAGCACTCTTACAAGGAAATAAATAAATATTTTGTCGGCTGCATGTGATTTCCGATAACATTTTGCTGATGTCTTGAGAGTTTTTACATACACTCCGAAAATTGGTATTTTTCGGTGATAAAAAGGTTAATGTAGGGCTAAATTGATATGTAGTGTATCGATTAGACATTTGTCTTTCTGTTTACATCTAAACTTCGCCAATTTACTTTACGTTTCCATCTGAATTTACGATTTTTATATTACACTTGACCTTATTTGAGGCTGTTCGTAAAAAAGGTCGATAAAACCTTGAAGTTTGATTCGATCAGCCGAATCTTTTGGATTCTGATTCTAGGATCCTTTGTGCACTCAAGTTTCCGAGCTCTCAGTGTCGTAGTTTGAGCTCGCTTTGCGCTTTTTTCAATGAAAACATTGGAGTTTCCATGGAAAAAAGTTCGTCTCCTCCACGCGGGGTTTTTATGAGCGGTTATACTTGAGGTTCAAGGTCTGTTTGGGAAGGGTTTTTTAGATGAAACGTTTAAGGATACCTGATTTTTGGTCGCTAAAGGGCAAGGATTTTAGCTGGACCTAGTGTAATATAAATCTTTGGCTGGAACAAATGATGGTCCCTGATCTCTTTGATTTTTTCGGCAGCTCTTTTACAGCCCTTGAACTTCTATTTGAGCAAAAATTGGGCCATAGGATTATTTTCTCAGCTGGCTATAACCTAAAGTAATATTTACCTTGCCAGCTGATCGCATGACGTCACGGTTTGCTTTCTCGCCGAATACTTTGCAAATACTTTGATGTTTTCGCTATAACGTAGCTGTCAAGGGCGATTAGCCTCTAAATTCGAGTGGAAACAAAGGGTTTTCGTTAGTTCTTGATCTTACACTTGAGGAGCTCAAGGAAAAGCTCTTCAGCTGGAAAAAACTTGGACCTAACGGGCCGTGAGGCATTCTAAAGGACGAATTAGATGAGTAGGTTGGTAAACAGCCCTGTTTTGACATCATAATGGTCTTTTGTATTAGACAATTGATTGAAAACATTGACCCAAATACAGGTCCCTTTGTTGAGTCGCTGCGTCTATGATCTTTGGTTTGCGGAGTGATAAAGCCCACGGGGCTTTTGTTTGTTTACCTGCCTTCTGGTGGTGACATTTTTCTGGGTTATCGCTCTTTTTTTCACGAAGATCACCTCAAATTTATCTTATCCTTGACGGCTTCATGGAAATTGGACAGAGTGAAATTGGACAGAAATAAATTAGACGGAGCGTGGAAATTGGACAGATTTTTTCACTGCAAAACATAATTAAACAGTGACATTTGTATTGCAGTGAAAAAATTTGTCCAATTTCCACACTCTGTCCAATTTATTTCTGTCCAATTTCACTCTGTCCAATTTCCATGAAGCCGTCAAGGATAAGGTAAATTTTTGACGCGAATCGATCGATTCTCCGTTATGCGCCTCCGAATTTGACGAACTGGTGATGGTTATACAACATTTTTCTGGGTTATCGCCTTTTTTCGCGGAGATCACCTCAAATTTATCTTATCCTTGACGCGGATAGGGTAAATTTGAGGTGATCTTCGATTTCTTCGTTTTGCGCCTCCGAATTTGACGAACACTGATGTTTGTCTTCAGATTATGTTCTAAACTCTTGGGTTGATCGAACATCACGCACCGCCGAACCCGTCCCCCATTCTCTACGAGTAATTTTTTCGTTGTTCATCTGAAGCGATGGTGATGCTCGCCTACGGCCGCCTCCTGATCCGTGTCGCGGTTCCGCACGGCAAGGAGCTGAGCAACATCCGCGCCGTCTCCCTGGCCAAGAACTTTTGCCAATCCACCCGCGCCAGCACTGCCGTCTCCACGGACACGGCCGCCTCGACCGCGCCGAAGGCCGCGCAAAAGGTGGATTCGAGTTGTTGTGGCTTCGCAAAAGACCTGATTGGAGGCCCGTCGACCGTCCTGGACCATGGAAAATTTGGTGAAGACGCTTGTTTCGTCACGAACTTTAAACACACTCACGTCGCAGGTAAGATTTTTCCTTTTTTCTCAATTTTTAGGTCGGAGATCAAGTGTAATGTAGGAAGCATCTTGTTTACCAAAAATAAATATTGAAAGGGATAAAAGAACGTTATCGAAAGATGTAACAATCTTTTTCCAGGAGTTGCCGACGGTGTTGGAGGCTGGCGAAAGTATGGGATCGATCCAAGCGAGTTCTCCTCGAACCTCATGAAACATTGCGAGAAAATCGTCGAAGCCGGTGAATTCAGACCTGATCGGCCAGACCTAATCATCAGCAAGGCCTTCGAACGGCTAGCGGTATCTCCTCGACCAATTGGGTGAGAAGTTTTTCAAAAAGACGAGTTTTTACCTAGTGTAGTATAAAAAAATTTAAGATAACCTAATCTTTTTGTAATTTTTAGAAGCTCAACGGCATGTGTAGTCGTAATTCACCAACATACGTTGTACACAGCGAACTTGGGCGACTCCGGGTACCTGGTTTACAGAGATGGAAAGATTGTTCAGAAGTCAACGGAACAGGTCCATTACTTCAACGCCCCCTTCCAGCTAACGTTGTTGCCTGAGCAATGCGGTAAGGGATTTATTTTGAATCAATTTTTTGTAAAATACGAAGATTAGTTGACGAGCTTTGTCATGGATAATATAATATAAATCATATAAATAAATCTAAATGTTCCAGAATTGGAAGGATTTATCCGCGACACCCCCGAGAACTCGGATCTCAACGTCTTGGAGCTGGAGAAGGGAGACGTTGTTGTTTTGGCCACTGATGGCCTATGGGACAATGTTCCAGAATCCTTGATCTGTGAAGGGCTAGAGGTAAGGATTTTTTGATTTTTTCTTGGATTTTAGGACTCTTTGAAGCTATTGGAATCCATTAGACGAACTGAAAGCGAAGATAAACACTAAAGTTGATCTTGTTCCAGGGAGTAACTGCTCAAAATCTCCAACAAAAGTGCAACACGATCGCCTTGATGGCGCGAAGATTGTCGTGCGACGTCCACCACCTGAGCCCCTTCGCCAAGAAGGCGAGCGAGCACGGAATCCGCACCAAAGGCGGCAAACAGGACGACATTACCTTGGTCTTGCTCTACATCTCGTAGTTCAATTTTTGTTGTTAAACCGTTTGTTTATATACGAATAGAGGTCTCGTTTCGTAACCATTATTAGGTGATTGTAATATGGTTTGAATTTTTGTGGATGTTGTAGGGTATGGGAGAAGATGGGAGAGATTTTTGGAGATGTTGATAGGCATTATCTAAAATAAGGTCGGAATTTTGGAATTAGATGTAAAATGCGAGAATTTTAGCCTTGAATAGCGCTGTTATGCTGCTATAAAGGATTTGGTAGATGTTAGGTGTCATGATGACGCATTTTTTGGAAGTGTTAACCGATTTTTCATAGCTCCAACTTATATCTAAAATAAGGTCGGAATTTTGGAATTAGATGCAAAATACGTGGGATATACTTTATACATGTTTTATATTGGTATTTCAAACAGTATGAACAGAAAAACCCGTCATCATGACACATTTTTTGGACATTTTTGCCACAAATTTTGAAATTGCTCCAAGTTCGGCACAAATTTTTCGATTTTAGTATGAAAATCTCCCTTTACACCCCCATCCCTCAACATTTCCACCACCCCCATTGTATCGTACGTAACGTCTTTGCTCAAACACTTGTTTTTTCTCAGAAGCATTTTCGCGAACAAACACAAAAGAAAATCTTTCCCCTAGGTACTCTCTGATTGTAACCATTGACGAAGAGGTCCCAAACCGTGACCAAATTTAGCTCTAGACGGTAATCAGGCAGCCATTTTGTTAATTGTTATACCCACCATACAAAAGAATTGTAAAAATCGGCCATTTCACGGAATAAAGGTTCTAATTTGGAAATTGAGCAGTTTTTTGAGTATTTTTTGTTGAATTTTGAGATAATTTTTACGCGAAAATCAAGGTAGAGGAAGAAGAATCATCGAAGAGGTCTCGTTGATTGTTTTGGAAGAATTGGAAATAGAAAAATTAGGGGTTTTTGACGTGAAGGTCATCATGATCATGGATAATATAATTGTGGCAAAAATTCAACAGCCATCTCAAAGATTTTGTGTTCAAATTAACCGCTGAGATCTATAGATACGATTGCGACTACTCTCGACTGGTTTCGCCATGGAAATTTTTGATTTTTGGCCTAGAAGTCATCTTGATTATGGTGAATATAAATTTGAGGATTTTGGTAGGAATTGAACCTTCTCAATCCTAGATTTGGGCGTCAACCTAATTTTTGAGCTCTATCAACATGATAGCGGCTATTTTTTCACTCTTCAAAATACGAACTTGAGATTTTTTGGCCTAGAAGTCATCTTGGCCATGGTGAATATAAATTTGATGGTTCTGGTGGGAATTGAACTTTACTGATCCCATTTTTGGGCCTCACCCTTAACATTGGGCTCTATCAACGTGATAGCTGCTATTTTTCACTCTTCCAAATACGAACTTGAGATTTTTTGAACTCAAAAGTCATCTTGATCATGGTGAATATAAATTTGATGGTTTTGGTGGGAATTGAACCTTCTTAATCCAAGATTTGGACCTCAACCTGATTACTGAGCTCTATCAAAATGATAGCTGCTATTTTTTTGCTTTTCAAATTTTAAAATTGAGATTTTTTGAACTCAAAAGTCATCTTGATCATGGTGAATATAAATTTGATGGTTTTGGTGGGAATTGAACTTTACTGATCCAAGATTTGGACCTCAGTATATTTTTTGAGCTCTATCAACGTGATAGCTGCTATTTTTCACTATTCAAAATACGAACTTGAGATTTTTTAACTCAAAAGTCATCTTGATCATGGTGAATATAAATTTGATGGTTTTGGTGGGAATTGAACTTTACTGATCCAAGATTTCGACCTCAGTATATTGTTTGAGCTCTATCAAAGTGATAGCTGCTATTTTTTCACTATTCAAAATACGAACTTGAGGTTTTTTGAACTCGAAAGTCATCTTGATCATGGTGAATAAAATCTTCTCAATTCCGACCCTCAAAGTCCTCAATTTCGTCGCTGCGACAAAAAAAACATATGGTTTGGTCTACAAATCCCTTGCGGGCAGTACAAATCCGACCGTCATTTGTGTTTCTCGCATTCAGTGCCATCATTTATTGGCGGCGCGGCTCTAAGAACCCCCGTGGCACTACGCGAGTGCCAAGTGTTATGGAAAAGGGCTTAAGGAGGAGTTTTATGTGTCGTCCGCGGAAGCTTTAGGACCTGAGGGCATTGTTTGTTCGATGAATTTCGGAATTTTGCCGAGAGATTCGTCGGGGACAGACGTTTTCTCCCCAATAAGGCGGTTTGATGAGATTTTTTAGGGGTTTTTAGATGGGTATAGGGTAAAATACGGCTTTGAATGCCTTGAATTTTGTTAGTAGTATCATAAATAGCGATGATGACTAATTTTTCGTCAAAATTAGCATAATTTCATCATACTAAAATTACAGCGGGGGTACCTGATCCAGTGGCAAAAAACGTATCGTTTTGCATCCAGGAAGTATCAAAAAATGTCGCAAAATGCCTTCCTCTCCAGCTAAAAAAACTCTTTTTTTGAAGGGTTCCCTCATAAAAAGAGCGGGGCGTTTTTGAAATCGGAGTTTTTAGCTTGGAGAGGGAAGCATTTTGCCACATTTTTGATACTTCCCGGATGCAAAATGGTATGTTTTTTGCCACTGGATCAGGTCCACTGTAACCCAAAAATTCCCCGAATTTACTCAGATATCCGTCCAGCTATTACAAGGCGTCGAAAAAATAAAATAATCGTGTTTTAGCCCAATGACAACCCCGATTTCATCGATAAAACCACGAGTCACCGATGCCGGCCGCCGTTTGCAAGACTGGACCAACAAAAACGTCTTCATCGGCTCGTTCGAAGAGACCGAGCTCGCATCCTATCAGAATCCCAGCCGAAAGCCTTCGCTGACTCCGGTCGGCTCCGAAAATGAGGCGTCGGAGACGCCGCCGGCGGCGGATCCGCATTGTCCGGATGGGAAGAAAATCACCGCGCTCCAGGCCGCGTGGAATATCACAAATGCCATTCAGGGAATGTTCATCGTCGGTCTACCGTACGCGGTCAAGGTAAGGGGCCAAGAACAGGGTTTTGGAGAGTTTATTTTTTGAATTTGTAATTTCCCGCTAAAATTGGCATTGTGTTTTAAGGAAGGGGAAGTCGTCGTTTTTGGGTTCTTTGCATCTAGAATGGGTGACTACATGTGGCTGGCCGTATTTTACAACATAGCAGTCATAAATTTGATAAAACAATTCAAATTTCCCGCAAAAATTGGCATTGTGTTTTAAGGAAGGAAAGTGGTCGTTTTGGGTTCTTCGCGTCTAAAACGGAGGACTACATGTGGTCGATCGTATTTTACAACATAGCAGCCATAAATTTTGTAAGAAATTTAAATTTCCCGCCAAAATTGGCGTTCTGTTCTAACCAAAGTAAAAGCTTTAATTTTGTCTTTATAAGCTCTCGAAGGCTTTACAAAAAGGGAAAATGTAGATAGAACGTATTTTACCACTTGAAGAACCCTAAAAACTTTCTAAAATTCAAATTTCCCGCCGAAATTGGAATTTTCCAAAATTCTCTAAACCATCAAAATTTCAGATTGGAGGCTGGTGGACTGTCCTAGCACTTGTTGGCGCTGCCTACGTTTGCTATCGAACTGGGATATCACTAATCGAATGTCTATACGATGATAATGGCAAGAAAATCCGGCATAGCTACCGAGAAGTGGCCGAAGCAGCGTGGCCTGGCTTTGGGAAGCTGGTTCTAGCCGCTCAATTAACTGAATTACTGTCTACTTGCATTATTTACCTGGTCTTGGCCGGCGATCTGCTACAAGGATGCGTGCCAGCGATCGATAAACCTGCGTGGATGATGCTGGTGGCCAGTATTCTACTGGGAACAGCGCTGGTCGATGATATGAGATTGGTAAGCAATTTTAGAAACCTTGAAATGACACATCTATCAAAAAAAACCGCACCACTCATTTTATGTGCTCAGCAGATGCAACCGCCGAGCAATCCAAAATTTCTCTTTATCAGCCACTGAGAATTCAGAGCCGAAACATGAGCTAACCTCAAACTTGGGTTAATAAACCGAAGAAGTTTCCCTTCGTTATAGCCTTCCCTATTTTCCTCCCTTCTTTTCAAATGGGGAACAACGCTTTTCGGGAGGCAATCGGCTTCTCTAGCGCTCCCTGTTTTTTCACACTGAGAACGCAGTCCCTCGCTGCGCCCTCTCTTTCTTCAACCCTCCTACCGAATGCGATATCTCGTCGCTGGGCTAGAACTAGAGTTATTACAACACTTCTGTTGAAAGTAATCAACGTAACCCATACTAAGCGAAGGAGTTGGTATCCTACTTGTTCTCGCCAAGCGTTCCAAAATTTCTCTTTATCAGCCACTGAGAATTCAGAGCCGAAACATGAGCTAACCTCAAACTTGGGTTAATAAACCGAAGACGCTTCCCTTCGCTCGTGATCTCCTTATTTCAATCGCCGCTTTTCAAATGAGGAATTTCGCTTTTCGGGAGGCAATCGGCTTCTCTGTCATCGTTTTTTTCGCGGTTAGTGAGAAGTCTCTTCAACGCGTGCTTTTTCTCCGACTCTCTGGCTAATGTACGTTCTCTCCCGTAGGAGCTGCTAGAAGCCGTACAAAGAGAAACAAAAACAGTAAGGGGTGGAAAACGATGAAGATCATTTTAAAATTACTATATTTCAAGTTTCGTATGTGCCCGGCAGATGTAATCGCCAAGCGTTCCAAAATTTCTCTTTGTCAGCCACTGAGATATCAGAGCCGAAACATGAGCTAACCTCAAACTTGGGTTAATAAACCGAAGAGATTTCCCTGCGTTATATCCTTCCCTATCTCCCTCGTATCTTTTCAAACGGGGAACAACGCTTTTGGGGAGGCAATTGGCTTCTCTAGCGCTCTCTGCTTTTTCGCGGAGAATCTTTTCCGCGTGCGCTTTTTCTTCAAGTCTCTCGCTAACGTGCACTGTCTCAGGCTGCAAGAAGCGCTACCCAGAGAACTGAAAACATCGAGGGGTGAAGAACAGTGCAAAGATCCGCAAAACAACCGTTCTTGTGTAATATGTGCCCAACAGATGTGAACGCTGGGTGTTCCATAATTTCTCTTTATCAGCTTCTGAGACGCCCTTTGTGACGAACAGCAAATGTACGAAGGGGGTTTACGTGCTGCCGACACAGATTATAGCAAAATTACCTTATTTCCAGTTTCGTATGTGCTCAGCAGATGTAATCGCCAAGCGTTCCAAAATTTCTCTTTATCAGCCACTGAGAATTCAGAGCCGAAACATGAGCTAACCTCAAACTTGGGTTAATAAACCGAAGAAGTTTTCCTTCGTTCAGACCCTCCTTATTCCCGTATTTTCTTTTCGAATGGGGAACCTCGTTTTTTCGGAGGCAATTGGCTTCTCTAGCGTCATCCGTTTCCCTTCATGCAACGGGAGAAGCCTCTTCAACGCGTTCTTTCTCTAAGACCCTCCAAAACAAAGCGCTGTCTCACTTGCCCGTAACACATGTACTTTAGAAAACAGTGAACGTTAAAGCCGGTATACAGAATCCTTTTCACCAGACACGGTCAAAATAATCCGAAAAAAACATAAAAAGTTTTGATGAAATATGAACAGGATTGAGAAACTGATAAGTAAGCGTATTAACTCCAGTAAAACAGATTCCCCAAATCAATAGGCATGCCGTGAGTTTATAAAAGAGCCGAACAAGTCATGGAGGATGATTTTTTCCGGTTCATTACACAAGTTTGAGGTTAGCTCATGTTTTGGCCCTGAATTCTCAGTGGCTGATAAGGAGAAATTTTGGAACGTTCAGCCGCTATAACTGCCGAGCACATACGAAACTTGAATCAAGATTATTTTGCGGTGACCTGCATCGTTTCCCCCTTTTCTCGGTCAGACTGCTTCTATTAGCAGTCCCTAAGTGAGAGAGTGTACGTTAGCGAGAGAGTCGAAGAAAAAGCGCGCGTGGAAAAGACTTTCAAGTCTCCAAGAAAAAGCAGAGAGCGCTAGAGAAGCCAATTGCCTCCAGAAAAGCGTTATTCCCCATTCGAAAAGAAAATATGGGAATAAGGAGGGTCTGAACGAAGGAAAACTTCTTCGGTTTATTAACCCAAGTTTGAGGTTAGCTCATGTTTCGGCTCTGAATTCTCAGTGGCTGATAAAGAGAAATTTTGGAACGCTTGGCGATTACATCTGCCGGGCACATAAAAACAAATTTAAAAAACAGTGCACTTTCAGTGTAAAATACGGTGCGCCGAAGCGTCATTTTTTATGTCATCAACATTATATATATTTCCTAGCTCGACCCAAAAATTTTCAGGTCAGTCAAATCTCATTTTACAATGCAGTTTCGCATCTCATCATCAACGCAATTATGGTTTTATATTGCTTCTCGCAAATTAGCGATTGGAGTTTGGGATCAGTCGCATTCCTCCCCAGCCTGCGGCTATTACCGACAATTATCGGCGTGGTTGTATTTGGATACACCTCTCACATCTTCTTGCCTTCTCTGGAGGCCTCAATGGAGGTAAAATTTTTCGGTTTTTATCAATTTTCCGACAAATCCACGAAAAAATTGTTCGTATTTTAGGACCCAAAAGAGTTCAAGACAATGCTTAGCCAATCCCACATTGCTGCAGCCGCTTTCAAGGCCATTTTTGGCCTTATTGGATACCTGACATTTGCCCATTTTACTGAGAGAGAGATCTCGAATTCTCTGCCAAATCAATTGTTTAAAATTATTGTGAACATGGTGCTAGTAGTGAAGGCTCTACTCTCATATCCCTTGCCATTCTACGCCATCGTGCAGCTGATGGGCGACAATTTTTTCCGAGGTGTTCAAGTCACCTTATTTTCCAGGTAAAATACGTGATTTTGCGTTTTTCTCTTAGAAAGAAGACAAAAAAGCCATACAATCTAACAAAGTGATGTTTCATCTACAGTTTTATATCAATATCGTCCAAAAAATCGGTCAACATGACGTATTTTCTCGAATTTTTCTAAAAGTCCCAGATTTTCGGATAAATTGCAAAAAGCCGTTATAAAGTACTGTATCTGTATTCCAACGATTCGGAATTGACTTAGAACTGAATAGCAGATCATATTCTTCCTATTCATTTCTTTTCTGATAATAACTTCCGTCATTAAAACAGATTTTTTTGACTTTTTCCAAAAACACCAAAATGTTTGGGTACGATCGGAAAAACCACTCAAAAATTACAGTAACCCATTATTTAAATTTTCGAATCCTCTCTAGTATTGAATTACAAGGCATTATCTATCAATTACACACCAAATTTCCCTCTAAAATTATCATTTTCAGCTGCTACGGGACGGACAAAAATCTGCGCGAATGGGCCGTGGGCCTTCGAATTTTCCTCGTTCTTTTCACTCTGATCATGGCTCTCAGTGTTCCCTATCTAATCGAGGTTATGGGCTTGGTGGGTAACATCACTGGGACCATGCTCTCACTGATTTGGCCAGCCGTTTTTCACTTGAAACTCAAGGGGCACAAATTAACGCCCGAAGAGATCAAATTCAACCAAACGGTCATTGTTGGTGGGGTTTTTGTCTGCGTTATTGGGGTTTATTACTCGGCAATCGAGTTGGTGAATGCTATTAGATATGATTCGAGCTAGAAATCCAAAAAAAATCGACTTGATTCAGCCCGGATTCGAACTCGGATCAAAAATTTTGAAACCGATTTTTCTACCACTTGGCTATTTGAACACACTCTTTAAGCCAAAAAATTAGATTCTCCAGTCTATATACCTTATAATCGCTGCCTGATCTCACATATTTTCGCACGTTTCAATCAGTATATTACTGTAAATCAACAAAGGTATCTGTTCACTTACAATTAGCATTTTCATTTATTTTTTTGATCATTACCTTAATTAGACGCAACAATTAATAAATATAAACTCTAATTAACAAAGGCGGCGTTGATTTTTGCGGAGATTCGTTGGAAGAAATCGGACTTTTCCCAAAAATCATCAAAATTTGGCCTAAAGTAACCTAAAACAAGGTCAAACTCAAAATATTTCATACAAACTGTATCATCTTGCATTTTTTATCCCTTCTAATACCTCAAACAGCAATTCGGCAATTATAATATTTCAATCTTTTTTGAAACAAAAATTATATTGTTTTAGGTGAAAAACAACTCAAAATCCGATAAAAACTCAATTTCCTTCCCAAAAATCTCCGAAATCTTTATGAAATGTGATTGTTTGTTCGATTAAAAGTAAACAAAACTGATTATTAAGAAAATTGAATGCAACTTTTTGGGGTTTCTACAGTAACCCTTGAGAAAATAAATGTTCTTTGAAAGGGTAAAAACAAACAAGAAACGAACAATTGATTTTGCAGCAAAACAACGAAGAAAAAATGACCCGATTCAGTTGAGAGAACAACGATTGAGACAAATTGTTATACCGTGACATTCGCAATGTCTTTGGACTCGTACGAGTTGGAGACGGTGATCATGTTTTTCATCTGGAAATATTTTTTATCATACCACAGTCTTTCCGAGCAACGGTTGAATCTATTTTTGGGCACTACACTATAAAAAAAATTTTTTTTGTCCCACCACGAAAACTTGAAAATTTTTCAAATCACTGTAAAATAATTTTATCGAGTGTAAAATCAACTCCAAAAAAGCTCTACCAACCGCTTTTGCAGTTTTTTTCCATCTTTTTGATGCATTTTAGGTCCCACAACGAAAACCTGAATCCTTTCAAATCTCTGTAAAAACATTTAATTGAGTGTAAAATCAACCCTATATAGCTCTATTGACAGCGTTAGCAGTCTTTTTCTTCTTCTTGACTCCATTTTGGGTCCCACCACGAAAACTTGAATTTCCCCAAAACCGCTCGGAAACCCTCCAAAACCACTCAAAACCTTCATCCAAGCAACTTACAGGAATATGGCCATCCTTTTTGCTCGTATTATCCGGCACATACAGTACCGATAAGCTGTCGGACTGTCTGATGGCCGCCTTTTTCGGTGCCGATTCATAACTCGGGTACTGACTTGTGCACAACGCCTTGGACAGATTTTGCCAGCATCCCTCGGTGAATGGATTGTAGCCGGAGCGGAATTTGCCGGTCACTTGTTCGTTGGTTGTGCGGGCCCTGACCACAAGTACAACATGGAAGCCGGTGAGGCCGATGATGGGGAAACAAAGCAGAACAAACAGGCCCATTAGGATCAAGGAGCAGAGGTAGGGCGGAGACAGGTATTCTTGCCGCAAATTCACACTAAAAACACATCAATTTTAGCATTTTTCATCAATTTCTGACCTAAAACAATAAAAAATTCCAAAAAAATTTTTTCACTTACCCCGTAGTTAGGCAAAACGTCAGGCACAGACTGAACATGGAGATCATATGCAGTGTGAGGAATATCAGAAACAGGAAAAAGTATCGATAATTCCGCCGACCAACACAGTTGTGGACCCATGGACAGTGATGGTCGAAACAGTCGATGCATTTGTCGCAAACCGAGCAATGCGAGGACCTCGGTGGTCGATAGAATCGACAGGTCACACACCATTTCATTCGAACCGTGATTCCATTCACTTCGACGTTTTTGTAAAGTGGGGATCGGAAGTCATCGACGGATTCCTCTGAGGCTATCGCTGAAAATTTTTTGTTGTAAAATTGTCAAGACAATACAAAATAACAATATTTTGTAGTTTACAGCATTTTAATTTCATTGTGCAATAAGAATGGTGCAGTAAGTGGATTATTTGTAAGCTAATTTAGCCTACAAATTATCCACCTGCCGCACCTTGGCAAAACAGGTTAAAAATAGCTTCCAAACGTTTCGAAAATTCCCCGAACCGTATTTTTACAGTATAAAAACATCCATAACATCTAAAAACCGAAAGAATAATATCAAAGATGTATCAACTTACCAGCCGGATGTCGTCCCGGATCCATTGTTGTTGCCATAAACAAGTTCGCAACCAAAAATAAGAAGAATACCAAATCCAATGAGCACAACATCATACCCAATGTACCCAACTGTTTGATTAATGCCGGCACTACCAAATAAAAGAAGGCCGAAGTGCAACCCAATATCAAAAACCAAGTGAAGACGGCCGGCATGGCCTGCCCAATCGATTTTACTGCCCGTTTCATGGTGAAGACAGGTCGATGCGCGGCGGATGAGGATCTGAGGTACAAGGTCGGCTCAACATGAATCTGAAAGGAAATGGGAGATAAAATTATATTATCCATGGCGAAGGTGATGGAAACATGGGAAATTCGTGGCTGTAACAGTAAACAAAGATAATACAGAGCATAACAGTGCCATCAGAAACAAAAAGGAACAACAAATTGGGTTCCAAATGATTTTTTTTATATTTTCCATGCTGAAGTAGATAAAGATTATGAAATCTGTTATTTCTTGTTGAATTTAATCGAAAATCTTGGTGATTATGGTCTCAACCCAAACCTCATACCAAAAGACAGATGTGAAAGCCATAATAAGCAAAGATTTTAGCAAATTTCAACTTTATGTTACACTTGACATCAGTTCCAACCTAAACCAAGAAAACACTCCAAACCGCAAAGACTTACATTCTGCTCCTGTCGAAAGTCTCCCGACTGCCGCACCACGTAATTCCGAGCCGGATTCTTCTGCACCTCGTGTTCGTCCACCTGCGCCTTGAGCAGTCGTTGGCCCGAGTCGTTCCGTTGATGACGGGGCTCCAAATCTGCTGTGGGGAACTTGCCGGGGCCCAGCCCGTGGCCGCTTCTCGTTGAGGAATTCACCTTGGTGGCGGAGGGTCGATTCTAACGGGATATTAGTTGGATTCGGTCCGTGATTTTGGGACCTTGTTAATGGCGAATGTAGGAGATGTTAGAGAGTTAAATTAGCATTAAGGACCGGCTAGAACTAAAAAAATAAAACTCTTATTAGATGGTGGAAGTCTTGAACTAACTATCCACGACAAAATTTGATTGAAAAAACGAGATATTTCAAGAAAATTTTCCAAAAATAAAAAAAAAGACCTAGTATAATATAAAATCTAAAAATTCTGTTAGAAAACGTATTCACAGAGGAATCGCAAATATTTATCCAGTGTATACCTTCAATTTGCCATCATATTCAATTACATTGTATGTCAAAACATTAAATTTTCGATCAAAATCTTCGAAATTCAAAATTGGACCTAGTGCAATATAAGAATCTCAAAATTGTGAAGAAAAACAAAACAGTACACATCCCGTAGATTTCCCACAAGCTTCCCAACACTATTTTCCTTCTTTTTCAACAACATCCGCCCCAAAAAGGCATCAACAACATCTCAAATTTCAACAAACTCTTTACAAAGTCCGAGCAAAGCAAATCACGAATTTCCGCCTTGAGCGCATCTTTTCCCGACCCGGTCTGGGCAAGGTTTCGACTACATGAAAGATGAATCAAGGCCTTCACGGAGCGAATTAAATACACTGTACAAACAGTGGAAGCTGTTTTGATATTATAATATATTATTTCAGCCCCTTGGGTAAACAGAGGTGAGATTGGGGGGAAGAGAAAAGAGATTCGAAGGTCGAGAAATGTGTGAAATTCGAGAGAAAGTCAAGAAAAAACTTGGAAGATCCAATTTTTTCGCAGAAAATGGTTTGCAACAGAATGCCAAGAATCGGAAATTTTTCGTCGTGGGACAAAACCAAACTGCTTGTGTTGACGAATTTTCATTGAAAAAACAAAGAAAAGGCTTTCGTAACGTTTCTTCAGCCATTTTAAATTTGGTTACGCGTTTTTTTCTACCTCAAACTACAAAAAAATTCGAGGAAAACAAGAAAAAAATCTGGGCCAAGAAATGGCCGAAATTTCGTTGGCCAAACGCCTCGAATCAAGAGAACAAAGCGCCGAAAAACTGCACAAATTGTTTTTCAGCCGAATTAGAGGCGGAAATAACAAGAAAGGGCATGCACAGTAACTAGGCGCTAAGATACTCTCCATGGGACCTTATTTTAGCCGAATTTCGTCGAAAACCCCTCTAAAACAATGCGAAATGGACTCAGCCCCACTCCAAATGGCGAATTTATTAATTCTCCATTGTTTTCGGATACTACAAAGGCCATGAAAGTCGTGGAAAACAGAAAAGATTGCCTGAAATTTTCGCTCTTTCCAAGAATTTTTTTCGTATTCTTGACGGGAAAAACGTCGCCTATTCAAGTTGGAGGCCTTTATTGAGCCCGACTGTGACTGTGAATCGTCTTTTCAGTTATTTTGGAAAAGGAAAATAAGTAAAATACCGATCTTTGGGATGAGTCATTTCGGTCCCGCAACGAAAGTTTGGAAATGTGAAAAATGCTCAGATAGTGATAAAACTTGGTAGAAATCTAAAGTGGAGCTTTGTAAGAGCTTTCATCCGGCTTTTTTACCTTACAATTTACAGAAATCATCGGGATTTTTAAGCCAACAAATGGAAAAATTTTAAAATTTTTAGCGAATTTCAAAATGCGAATTTGGCATTATGTTTCAAGCCCAGAGAGCTATATTTTTGCCAAAAATCATCATTTTCCTCCCAAGACTAGCAGACTTATAGCCAAAAAAAGGGTTTCTCCACCCGTCTCTCTTCATTTTCCATAGTCTCTCGTTCGCAATTATCGTTGAATATCTCAGCGCTCCGTGCAAAGCGAACGGTAAAATTTTCAGGAATTTACAAGTGACTTAGGTAGAAACTTCAGGCAAAATTTCAAGGAAATTTGAAAATCTTACCTCGGGCAATTGACAGTAAAACATGAGTAGCTCAAAACGCCAAAATTTCGTCTAAAACTGACCCAAAATGGGGTGAAAGCTAAGCAAACCGAACGGATTATCCACATCCGCCCGATTATTTACCCCAGCAAGAATTTGTTTTTTAGCCTTCGGCAAAAAAAAACAGGAAATTTCAAAGGGGAAATAGCACGAAATGCCATTTGACACATCGACGGCTTTTCCGTGAAAACGCAAATATAATAACAGTCTTGCGTGATCTTGTAGTGTTATAGCGGGAATGTAGTCTCTAAAACATGGTTTTAGCTTAGTTTTTCGAGAAATGTATGTTTCTAGAATTGCTAGTGGGAGATTAGGAGAAATGTCTGAAATTGGGCAGGCTTGTTTTTGGAAGTGTTCTTTAGGCTATGTAAAACTATAAATGAACAAGATGGATATTACTTTTCCAATTTCCAGTCGCACATTTAGAGCATGTGGAGCACAAATTGCAAAGCGTAGAGAGTAAAACGAATCTCCAAACAGGTCTGGTCAAGTCAAGGCAAAGCTGAGATTGAAAACAAGGACAGATCCTACCCGCTGGCAGCCAATTCCTTGTAAGCCAATATCTTTTCAATTCAGAAATATCTAAGTAACTCCAGATCAAAATGCCATACCATCAGTCTGTCGGGAAAATAATGAACAAATTTGATTTTTTCGCGTCACAATTCATTTTCTTGGCTGTGATCCCGATTTTCGATGCGACAGAGTCCTCCTCCGCATTTTTTTACCGACAGACTAGTAGCAGTATATAAATCGCCCTTTGACTCCCAAAAAATTTCAAATCCCAAAAAATTGCCAAAAATTTCAAAAACAACCCACCCACGACGACAAAACAGGTCTAATCCGATGACACTCGGGGGCCAACTTCCACGAGCCGAGTTTAACAATAGAATCCAAAACTTTACGGTTTGTTGGAGGGTGTTCATCGTTTATTCCGTGTTTGTATTATGAATTCTTTGGGTTTTATAGTTATTTGAGGTTGTTAATGGCTTTAATGGGCGTGATGATGACTTTTGATATTTTTGGAGGAAAACTTTTGATGTGTTTGTGTGTAATATGACAAAGTGTCTCAGATTTCTTATTCCTTGTGTCTATTACAGTAATCTTCGGTGCAGCAAATCGAAAATGACCAAGCAACTTATTTGTTATATGTACCAGTCTGTGGGGAAAATAATGAGCAATCTGTCGCGCCGAAAATCGTATTGCCGCCAAGAAAATGAATTGTGTCGTGGCAAAATCAAATTGCTTTTCACTTCATCAACGCGATCGGCGAAGCGAAATTGTGCTCATTATTTTCCCGACAGACTGAAAATGGATTTGTTATAGAAGGGCTTCGTTGTATGGAAGTCTATTTTTTGTTGAAAAATGACTCTCGAGAGCTCTGAAATTGTCCATTATAAACAAGTTTCATTGTACGGGAGTTTTACGTACAGAGGTTCCAATGTGTTTTTAGTCATCATGCTGGAAATGTTTAATCGTATAACATGGTTCTTTTTGGTTTCTGGCGGAGCAATCGATATAAAAACCTTTGTAAAGTCTTCTGGATCCTACATAAACCTTCTGAAACATCTACTGAAGATAAAGACGCAGTAAATCAACCAAAAATTTATAAGGGATGTTCTTGAAGTACGATGCTCAAATTTTAAGGAAGATTTTTAGGTTGTGGTTTACAGAGGACAACTTTTTCGCAAAAAAAATTTTTCCTCGGGAAATTGGCAGCGACAAGGCCAAAAAGTGGTTTTTCTCTGCCCGCTCTCCGCATTTCGCATTCTCTCTCGGCGGCAAAGAATGATGAATATCTTGGCTGTCACTGCAAACCAAAAGCTGAAATTTTCAGGAATTGATACGCCGTCCATATAGTGTATATAGACCAAAGTTGAAGAGAATCTGAAAAAAATTTTTTTTGCCAAAAATTTTGTCATTTTCTGCTTTATCTGTCTGTCGGGAAAGTAATGAGCACAATATCATTGCGCCGATCGCGTTGCTGAAGTGAAAATCAATCTGATTTTGTCGTGACACACATTATTTTCTCAGCGACAATCCCAATTTTCGATGCGACAGAGCGCTCATTATTTTCCCGACAGACTGATAAATATCATTAAAATCTTGTTTTTCAAAATTTCACAGTCTAATTAAAGCCATCACAGGTTATTTTTCAAAACAACATTTCCAAATAGCACTATTTTTAGCCGAGAACAACAATCGAAGGGAGAGACGGGTGTTTACGAAAAGGACGATATTTACGAGAAGGATTCGTGCGTTTCGCTCGCTTTCTCGCAATTTCTCCGCTCTTCGGCCTCCATTGAAGCCGTCCATTTGCCTCTTTCGCCGCGCCCTTTCGAAATAACACGTCGGGAAAGGGTCGGAAGAGGGGAGAAAAAGCGGCGAAAGGTCTGGAAAAGTCACCCAATTTCTTTCGCGAAAGGAATGGGAATTTTGTTTTGGGTTGGTATGGAAAATACTCCAAATACGAAGCATGGATATTGATGAAACTTTATGCAAATTTAGAGTAGCATTTTTAATGACATATCCCGACATTTTTACCAAGAACTTTGCCGAAATTATCAAGTTTTTTAAGTCGAAGAAATCTCCAAAAATTCAGTTATTGTTTATCACTCTGTCGGGAAAATAATGAGCAAAATTTTGTTGCGCCGATCGCGTTGCTGAAGTGAAAAAATTGATCTTGCCGCGATGATTCATTTTCTCGGCGACGATGAGATTTTCGATGCGACCGGGTGCTCATTATTTTCTCGACAGAGAGGTAAATTTTAAGAATAAAAAATGGCACTCTTTTGAAACTTCAGTATACAGTTTTTCTTCCCAAAAAATAAGTTTTCCCTAGCAAAATTTACAAAGGTAGAGCCAACACTTTTTTCTCTGCTTTCTCTCATTCTCCACAGTCTCTTGTCAGCAAACGTTAATCGTCGTTGAATCTCTCGGCTCTTCCTGTAAAGCATTATCTAAAATTATCAACTCATCTGCAGTATATTCACAAGAATCGTGCCCAGTTTCATGAAAATACGAGCATTGCATGTGCAGCAATTTTGAATTTTACACAAAAATCAACATTTTTGTAATCCTAGAAAATGGATGCAAAGCAAATTTTTATTACTCGGTTCGCCAAGTCGCCAGAGTGATTTCTGGCGTTTGAACTGTGCAGAGAGACTCAGGGTGCGAGCGACAGCCCAAAAAAGCCTATTGCACGGTGCAAAAAGCAACAAATTGCACCGTGCAAAGTGAACTTTTATTTTCTCACAATGCATGTCACAAAAATCACTTCAGCGACTTTGCGAAAAGACTAGTAACGCAGCGAAACACTAAATCAGCAAGAAAATACATTTTCTACAAAAAATGTTTTATTTTTCATCTCTAATTCTCCTCTTTTTCCAGAATTCTCCCTTATTTCCCTCTGCAAAAACAAGCTCCGCCCTCTTTTCTTTCGCGAATTTTCTTCGCATTTCCATTCCCTTCGCTTTTCGCCGGCGCTTCCATGACTCCGCCCCCTTCGAATGGTATATAAGGCGGGGGTGGTGAGTGGTCGGGCAAGTCGAAAAATTTGAGAGAAATACAGAGTGAATTCTTGTCTAAAACCTTTTGTCTTCTTCTTTTTGTAATTTTGAATTTTTCCGTAGCCAACGAAAATATTGAAGGTAAGTGTTGGGGCCATGACAAAGGTAGGAGGTTGGTTATGCAGAAATGAGGTGTCTGTGACCGTTTTTAGAGACTAAATTTGATGTTTTCGTCAAGAGAATCCATGAAATCATTAGAAATTTGTAGAACTGTGTCAAAATTTGACCTTTCTAGGATTGTTGTAGTCTAATTCCTCTTCTTATTGTGTCTAATCCCCCCTCTTACTCCCTCTACTCTCCTCTCTTGTCCACTTCAACCCTACTTCCAAGACTTCCAAGACGCTGAGGAAGACTTATAAGCGCTTCAGCTAACAGTCGATTCCATTGATAAGCCTTCGCTCAAAGCCTTGGAAGTCCCTTAAAACCTTTTCATTAGTATTTCTTCTTCCGTAATCCCAAAGCCAGCGAACTTGAGTTGCAAGCGCTGCAGCTAAAAGCCAGTATCCGTCGGCATCTCCAAGTTTGAGGCTTTGAAGATTAACGTAAAGTTCCCTTCATACCTCCTCATTAGTCTTTGTTCTACCGTAATCTCAAAGCTAGCGAACTTGAGTTGCAAGCACTGCAGCTAAAAGTCAGTATCCATCGGCATCTCCAAGTTTGAGGCTTTGAAGATTACGTAAAGTTTGTTGTCATCATCTCTGGATGCTTTCCAGGGCAATGCCAACTTACCGCAGGCTGCTGGAGCCAAAGCCTATGATTACAAGTCTGATAATGGCGGTTTGAGTGTTGTCAAGGCTCTGGAAAGTCCAGACTTAGCTTCTAAATCCTCTATTTGTATCTATTCACTTCATTGTTGACCTGCCTCTTTGAAGAAGAAAAAAGAGCAGCTCCTGAAGGCTCAGAAGCCAAATTTACCACTTTCTCAATGTCAGAGAGCTGTCTAAATTCTTGCCAAAGAGGCTGATTATGTTTATTGTCATGTCGAATAGAGCTGTCAGTGTTTGAACCGGCTCTAAGGCTCCAAAGCCAAAATTATGACTATACATTTTGGATGTCCAGTTCAAGGTTTGACGGTTTTATTTGACATTTATAAAGCTTCTTGTAGCTTTGGCAAAGAATTCCTGGTCTGTTCAAGCCTTGGCATAGACACTTCCATCTGCATAGCATACAAAAAACGCTGTCTGGCGTTCACCAGTCATGGGAGAGATCTCGAAACCTTCAGCGCTACATCTCACTAAAAAATCTCCGATTTCAGATCCGAAAATGAGTCTACTACCGTTCCGTGATCCTTTCTCTATTCTTCCCAGCTCGTTCTACCGTCCGCACGACCCGCGGATGTTCGAGTCCTTCTTCGACGACGACCCGTACGACCTCTGGGACAACGTGTGGCACTCGTGGGTGCGCCCGTTCGTCGCCGAGGCGAATCGCATCCTGCCCGGCTCGCTGATCGGCCAAGACCTCAGCTGGGACAAGGAGGGCAACATGTCGATGAACTTCGAGGCCAGCGGCTTCAAGCCCGAAGAGATTCAAGTGGACCTGGAGGGCCGACGGCTGAAGGTGCGCGGCGAACACTCGGAGAAGTCCGAGAACGGCTATATCCAGCGCAAGTTCGAGAAGATGGTCAAATTGCCGGAGGACGTGAAGTTGGATGAGATCAAGTGCGAACTGGATGAAAAGGGATACCTGAACATCAACATCCCAAGAGCTGTGGCTTTGGAGGAGAGCAAGAAATTGCCGATTGAACAGAAGAAAAAGGAGTGATGGATAAATTAAGGGAATTTGACCAACATTTTAAGGCCTATACTGGTATGTAACACTGTAAAACATCTTGTCGTAATGTAGATTGTATTGTAATCGTCTTTTTAACTAATTTTTTCAGTAATTTTGCCTTTCATAACGCCTTTTTTAACTAAATATTGTAATTTTTAGCCTTTTCTTCCGCTTTAGCCTGCTTTTCAGCCGTTGAAAGTTCTACAATAGTAGCTGAAGACTTGAAAGTTAGTTTTTAGCTCTCTTGAAAGTCCAACGCTTCTATTGTAGTCACTTTTTTCGGCCAGAAAGTTGTGTTAAAGCTGGAAAATCTGTCTAAAGTAATATTTCTTGTAATTTTTTTATCCATTTTGACTTGAATTTCAACCGGCAGCTAGCACCATTACTTTTCCCGATTTAATGGTAAAGATGGATCGACTTCAAAAACTTTGTAAACCCCTAAAAAAATTGTTTTTCTTTTAACTTTTATTGTATCTCACCAACAGCAACATTCAGCTTTTTCCTCTCACTCCTTTTGCCTTACATAATACGCCGTTTCTTTTAACTTTCACCGCAATCTATTGAAGTGTCTCGATATTGTAGCGAGTCTTTGTAGATTGTAGCTTGTTTTGTAAGCATTTTTTTGGTATCGTGGTGCAAGCTGTGGCTTCTACTACTTTCAAATACCGTAATCATGTTTATTGTAATGTAATGTAAGGTAGTTTGTAAATAAATTTTTTTCCAACAATCTTATTTGGTATTTTTTTGATAGTTATTTTAACCGTAATGTAAATGGTTTTAACCATAGAAATACAGAGAAAATTGTTGTGAAACTGTTGTATGCAGCGTGCTAAAAATAGACAATTTTTTGGCGATATCTGGCTCTAGGGCAAAATATTTGGGGAAACGTTTTGACCCAAGAAATAGCAATGTTCAAACAATATATTGACGATAAGAATGAAGGCGTAACTTTATTGCAACTTTTTTTCTCGAAGGTTCAAGCTGACCATGTCTAAAAAGTGGGTCTTTTAGAAAAAGCGGCACAAAATTTTTTTGAAGCGTCACCAAAGCTTCAAATGAAAGTTCTTCACTTCACCAAGACTAGTACTATTACATATATAAAACAATAGCAATAGTAACTTTCCATGTGAATACCATGGGCATTCAAACCTGAGTTCATTTTTTAAAAAAAGCTTTTTGAATTGGACGTTTGAAAGGGGCGAAAGATCCATATTATTTTCCCGACGGAGTGATATAATTTTTGAGACTATAGATCACAGTTATAGGCTTCTTTTTAAAATCTTCACCGCAGGTCCTAAACCTCCAATGAGTCTGCATGATCATTAACTAGCCTTATTTACTTTTCCTCTTCTATAATTTTTTTGTATCAAAGCACTTTTAACTTACTACCAACTAACGTCTCTCACTTACCTTGTTTCAACTCCTCAGCTAATAATAACTAATGTGAACTATCTGTCGGGAAAATAATGAGCATTCTGTCGCAGCGAAAATCGCATCGCTTCCGAGAAAATGAATTGTGTCGCGGCAAAATAAACTTGTTTTTCACTTAAGCGACACGATCGCCGCATCGACATTGTGCTCATTATTTTCCCGACAAACTCATTTTTATTTGTTAGTCGAATTTTTTATTAATTAATCATCAAAATAAACCCCTTAAAGTTTCGATTTCGGTTCGGCATCAAATAGGTTGTTGGCAGCGAAAATGTTCTTCGGATCCAGCTCCTGCTTCAACGCCTTCAGCACGCTGATTCCGGTGGGACTGATCGACGAAGAGAGCCATCGTTTTCTCAGCTTTCCAATTCCGTGATGATGCGAGATGCTTCCGCCGCAGGCAATAACTTCGTCTCGAGCCGCGACCTGAAATATTACTTTGAATTTGAAGCCTCACTATGTAAATATTTATGATGACTTGATAAAAAAACATACCTCAATAGCATCATAAACGGCCAACGGATCGTCCAGTCCAGTGCAGTTGAAGCCAAAGTAAAAATAGACACAAGCGCCGGCGTCATAAACTTGAGTCACCCTGAAAATCATAGGCACTGTAAATTAGCCTCTAAAAATCAAAGTTTTCCTAAAAAAATCAATGTTTCCTTAAAAAATTATTTTTTACCCCAAAAAGTGAATTTCAACTGTAAAAAAATAAATTTTCTCTCCAAAAAAGTCAAGTTTTCCCCCAAAATATCTAATTTTCTCCCAAAAAATCAATTTTTTCTCTAAAAAATTAATCCTCCCCCCTCCCCCCAAAAAATCAATTTTTCCGCCAAAAAATCAAATTTCTCCCCAACTCACCTGCAGCTGCTCAAAATCGGGTATTTCACTCCCAGTTCTGCTGCCTGTCTTTTCAACAGCTCCTTAACATTCCGGCATAACGCTTCAACCTTGTCCCAGGGAACAGAGGTCTCAAACGACTCCCCAATCACTCCATATTCCATCCCCAAATCCCGAAGGTAGGCAATGGCGAAAGTTAGCCGATATCCGTAACGGCCATTCTCCTCGCCGCCGACAACTCCCTCGAACTCCGAAGCGATCTCGTAGAGTCGCTTCGACTGATGGGCAACTTCGTCAGCGGTCCCTTCGAAAAGACAAGTGGCAACGACCATTTCATCGACCTGTAATGGGGAAAGAATGGATTGGAAGTTCGGTAAATTGTTTAATACCCATCTTTGCGTGCTTCGTATTTTAAATTTAACTTCGCCAGTTTGTTTTATCGTTCTTCATGTGCTCAGCAGATGTAATCGCCGAGCGTTCCAAAATTTCTCTTTATCAGCCACTGCGAATTCAGAGCCGAAACATGAGCTAACCTCAAACTTGGGTTAATAAACCGAAGAAGTTTACCTTCGCTATTTCCTTCCTTATTTCTCTCCTTTCTTTTCAAATGGTGAAGAACGCTTTTTGGGAGATAATTCGCTTCTCTAGCGCTCTCTGCCTTTTCGCAATGATAGCGGAGAGACTGCTAACCACGCGCTTGATCTTCACCTCTCTCGCTAACATACATTGTCTCACTTCGAAGCTCTCAGCAGTAGACATAAAGGTGGTCATATAAGAATTACGAATTTTGTTTTCCCAAACCGCGATTTTCGGTGCACAAAAAAGTTGACGCCCAAATCGAAAAGTTGGCGTCGACTTAAGACCCCGATTTTTTGGTCTGTACCCAATTCCGAAATCCGGTGCATGTTTTTAAAGCGTGCACCAAATTCCGGAATTCGGTGTTGACTTAAGCCTTCGGTGCAGAGTTTTTTTGTTTTTCGCCAATGTTCAAGACATATTTTCTGGGTGAAGACAACATGGAATTTGTCCAAAAAAGGTATTTTTACCAAAAGCAGGCTGCCCCGTTCGATCTGATGTTTAGATTTCCCATTTTGTGGTCGGATGACCCACCAAATTCTAGAATGTTGTGATGTTTGTTGCACCATGGTTAGTGTAAGTCGATTTTCCTATTTTTTGTCCAAACTCGCAAATTATCGTACATATCGTACGCGTTATGTACGCGTACATAACCTTTGTCCAAAGTTTCATATGTGCTCTGCGATGTAACCGCTAAGCGTTCCAAAATTTCTCTTTATCAGCCACTGAGAGTTCAGAGCCGAAACATGAGCTAACCTCAAACTTGGGTTAATAAACCGAAGACGTCTCCCTTCTTTCGGGCAATCTTTATTCCCATCATTACTTTTCAAATGGGGAACAACGGTTTTCGGGAGGCAGTTGGCTTCCCCAACGCTCTCTTGCTTTTATCAGACTTTTCAAGGAGTTCTTTTTCTCTTCCGCCTCTAAAGACACAACGATATCTCACGCAAACGCGGCGTGTTACCCCTTACGTTTTGAAGGGACATTAGAGAGATAGAAACATGCGTAATACCGTGAAAATACGAAGGATTTGAGGAAAGACATCTACCTCCTCAGAAAGATCACTCCCCATTTTAAACGTTATGGTAGAAAGGTGGGAAGAACGCGATATACGATGAAATATTCGGTTTATTAACCCAAGTTTGACGTTAGCTCCCGTTTCGGCTCTGAATTCTCGGTGGCTGATAAAGAGAAATTTTGGAACGTTTGGCGATTACATTGCTGAGCACATTTAACAATTGTAAAACCATAAAACAAACTAGCCACGTTATATGTAAAAATACGATGCGAGATTTAGTGCCGGTAGGTCCTATACTGACCTTTTCCTGTAGTACGTATTTCAATATTTTCAGCAGACCCTAGCTGTTACGCAGAAACGAGATATCGCGGTCGGCGGGAGAGTCGGAGAAGAGAGCGCGTCAAGAGACTGCGCTCAATGCGAAAAAACAGAGAGCGCTAGAGAAGCCAATTGCCTCCCAAGAAGCGCGGTTCCCCATTTGAAATGAAAGGAGGGAAATAGGGATCACCCTAACGAAGGGAGGCTTCTCTGGTTTATTAACCCAAGTTTGAGGTTAGCTCATGTTTCGGCTCTGAATTCTCAGTGGCTGATAAAGAGAAATTTTGGAATGCTTGGCGGTTTTATCTGCTGGGCACATACAATACATACGCTTTGACGATTTCCAGGCGCTTAGCACGTGAGCTTATTGTCGCTATTCGTATTGTAAAACCCTCACTGACCTGGAAACCTTTCCATTTCGTAATGTAGGCCTTGGTTAGCGCTGAAGAGAGCGAAGCAAACCATCCAGTCGTCTGTGTTTTCATCGACTGTCCCATGATGAACTGCTCATTGTCAACAAGTCGTAGTGAGGAGGGCTGGCATCTCTGGAAAGAAGAAAAAGTAAATTTTTACTTCCAACAAGATTTCTAGGCAAATTAGAGCAACTCGAGCCAGAGTGTTCGCGACACTCGAAAAAACCCATTGCAAAAAGCAACAAATTGCACAGGACAAAGTGACTTTTTGTTTTCTCACAGTGCATGTCGCAAAAATCGCTCCAGCGGCTTGCCAAACGGACCATTAACAATAAGGTGCCCTGAGGTTACAGAAACCAAAAAAAGTTTCTCACCTGTTTCGCGACCTCTCTGAAGAACTTCACTCCATTCGAAAACCTCGGGAACACAATTGATCCATACTGTCTGACCTCGGGCAACGGGAAAATCTTCATGCTGACCTCCGTGACCACTCCGAAGATCCCCTCTGATCCCAAAATGAGTTGATGAAGATCGGGTCCGGCCGAAATTCGCGGGACTTGGCATTGCTTTCGAATCAGGCCTTTCGTTGTGACCAAATTCACATGCACAATGAGGTCCTCTATATTTCCGTACTTGTTTTTCTTCATGCCCGAGGCGCGCGTGGAGACCCAGCCGCCGACGGTGCTGAATTCGAGGGAATCCGGCTCATGTCCTGAGGTGAAGCCCTTCGAATTCAATATCTTTTCGAGCTGAGTGCCCGTGAGGCCGGGCTGAACGCGCGCGATCAGATTGGCGTCGTCGATGTAGATAACTTCGGTCATGGTTTGCATGTCCAACGAGCAAATGCAACGAGTCTCGTTTTCCGGGCAGTTCACAGCGTTCGTCACGGACGTGCCACCGCCGATTGGGATAATAACCACGTTGAAGTCGTTGGCGGCGTTAACCACCTGAAGGGATTAGACAATAGAATAGAGCTCTAAGGAATGCATATGAGTCTGTCGGGAAAATAATGTGGATTCGTCGCGCCTTTGAACCGCTCACTATCGCTTTGCGACGACAAGTCGCGGCTGAATATTTGGTGTAAAAACCTCATTTTGTACCGTGTATCGCCATAAAAAGTTTACGGACTTTATGAAAATGCTATGGCAAACGTCGCAGAATTCTTTTTTTTTTTTCAATTTGCCCCTAATGTCATCAAAATTTGTCCGCTGAAATTTTGGTCACTCTTTTCATCTATGGCATCAAAAGCCCCCAAAAATCGACATAGCGACTTTTCGTTCGACGACTATTCGGGTCACAACAAAATTGGTCGATATTGGGCCAAGGGTAGTTGAACCAAAAAAGGTCGTGGAGGTGCCTATAAGGCATGGAAAAGCCGTTGGATGCTCGGTGGACGCTAGACGAAAGCTTGGCGAAGACTTGCAATATGTCCACTTTTTGTAACTTTAGCTATTACGAGGAAGACTTGACACATTTTGAGTCAAGTTTTCCTCTCGATGGGAAATGTAAAAAAGAATAAATTTCATTGTGAAAAGACTTCCTATAGCAATTTTTCTCTATACTGGCCACGATTTTACCGAGAGAAAGACTTGACCCGAAATGGGTCAACTCTTCCCCTCATCAAAATGCAGTACCCAAACTGCATTTACTAACGTTTGTTTTCTTGATCCTGAGCTACTGTAGCATAGAAACGAATCAAGATGATCCATAGTATCGTTGAGCCGAAAAAAATTCGTAGCCTCAAAAATCCCCTTCCAACCCCTTACCTGCTGAACTTGCATCTCACTTTTGGGCCACACCACAATGTCCGGGATTCTCTCCAAATGATTATATCTCACTGCGAACATGTCATGCACGGTATGCCCATGACTTCTGTTCACTCTGTAGATGCTTTTGTTCGAAAACGAGATCCCATTCGTTTGCAGGAACTCGACAAATTCTCGATTGAAAATCGCCTCCGGCACCTTCAGCTGGTTGTACGGGACGGATGGTGTGGGTTTGTTCAGGTCCACCTTCATGTTATTTTCGAACCATGGCCTTAGATTGGGGATGATTTGGCCGGAAATCTCGTAGCGATCCCCCGTCATATACGCATCCTTGTTTTTGGACAAAGCGAAGTAAGAATCCGCGTATCCCCAGCCGTTCCATTTGAGAATGGTATCACTAAAATTGGAAGTGTGAAAAAAGGATACTGTAACATACCGAGCGACTTTCGGAACGTCCAATTCGACGGTTGGAGCCATTTTTGAACCCTGAAAAGAATTTTCATGATTTTTTGAGGAAAATATCAGTCTGTCGGGAAAATAATGAATGCAATGTCGCTGCGCCGATCGCGTCTCTGAAGTGAAAGGGAAGTCAATTTTGTCGCGACACAATTCATTTTCTCGGCGGCGATACGATTTCCGATGCGAGATAGTGGCCATTATTTCCCCGACAGGCTGGTAGTTGGAATGAAAACACATGCAAATTTTTCAAAATAAATTTTTTATAGTCTAATCATTTATACTTTCTTCAAATTCCTCGTCCTATATTTGAATATGTTACACGTCAATTCTTGAAATTTTGAGCTGGCTCTTTACACAGGGAGCCGAGATATTCACAGCTCTTTGCGGACGTCAGACTATAGAAAACAAAGAGAGACGGAAAGAGAAAATGCCGTTTATGGTCATATTTTTATGAAATTTGTTGAGAAAAGCCGAAATGTATCACTCAAATTAGCAAAGAACATGGTCGAAAATCAAGTTTTTATCTGACCACTCTCCTCATTTCGCCTAGTTTTTCGTCGACAAAGATTGTTGAATATCTCGGCTCTCCCTGCAAAGCGCAAGCTAAAACTTTCAGCAAGCGATTCTTGGCCAAATTAAAGTATTCCGGGGGAGTTTGAACAAAATCCAAGGCTCACTGACTAAGTAACCTTGCTTTTCAGGAAGTACTCCATGTAAGGTAGAAACGGTGCTAAAAATGGACAAAGACTGCAGCAAAAACTTGCAGCAGCAAAAATCTTTTTAAAAATCCTAAAAAGGCCTTAAAAGTATCTTAAAGTCAACTATGACCATTTAAAAATAGAAAAATCCCAAAATCAAGCAACTCTTTTCGGTCACAACCGCAGCGGTTCCCCTGCCCTCAATTTTTTCGCTCAGTTTTCCAAGTCGAATGTTGATAAGACCCACAGCCTTGGCGCCGATAACACGTAGACATTGACATTTCCCGTACTTGGACTCGCCGAGAGTTCAGGGCGAAGCGATCTTTTCTCCAAGGGTCACGAATTGATAAGGACCAACGCAGTTTTATAGGGCAACCTGAGGAATCGGAAGGAAATCGTGGCGTGAGACGTTGAAGAGATGGTTTTTGATGCGTTAGTCTGTCGGGAAAATAATGTGGATTTGAAAATGTTTCTGCAGATCATCGCTGGCTGTCGCAAAGCGATGATGAGCGATTCCAAGACGCGACGAATCCACATTATTTTCCCGACAGACTGATATTACGCAAAGCAGTGAGGAGGAAGAACAGTGGAACATATAAAACATTGCATGTAAATACAACGATCTAATCAATTTTTTAATTAGTTTGTCGGGAAAATAATGTGCAATCTCGCATCAAAAATCGGCGATAAATGTCCATGTAATTTATGAAAAGGAAACAGAAAGACCGTTGAATATCTCGGCTCTGTGCGAACGGAATGGCTTCAAATTTTCAGGAATATATATGTGGACAACATAGATCTTGGATGCAAAATTTGGATAATAGCAGACGACTTCAAAGCAAAATTTTTAAATTTTTTCTGGAAATTTTTACCGATTTTTCACAAAATCAAAAAAATGTTTACTTGTAAAAGAAAATCTTCCTATTTCTTTATTTTAGGCCATTTTACATCATCAAAAACCCAATTAGTAATAAAATAATTTATTAAAAACCATAAAGGCACTTAGAAAAAAAATGGTCTGTAAACAAAAAAAAACCATAATATAATTGAAGAATCCTTGTTCTGAAGCTGAATTTGAGCATGTGGATGGGAAACACAACAAAATATGACCACAAAACGATGCGGAACAATATAAAAAAAAAATTGGGTGGGATAAAATCTGGATTTGTCAACAATTTTTAGTATTTTCAACGTTTTTGGGTGGGTTCAACAACAACAACAGGAACGATGGGGGCTAATTGGAGAACAACTAGTCCTTCTACAGCAAAAACTTTGTATAACACATTCCAAAAAAAAAAAATCAAAAAATTTCCAAAAAATTCGCTGCAAAAAGACTAAAACATCGATAACAAGTGTGGGTGTGAAAGCACAACGACTTTAATATCGGCGGAATGGGTCTTTACTGTTGTTGGAGATGTCCATCGGCTCCGAGCCGGCCAGTTGGCTCTGCAGGTTTTGGCTGGACGCCGAAGCGAACAGCGTCGCTGTCGAGGGGCCCGGCCGTTGTTGGTTGTGGGCGAAGCTGCTCTGGCTGAAAATTTAGAGGTCAATCAGTGACAAAGATCAAAAAATTCTTCATCAAAAAAAGATTGCAAGTGGGGGACCTGATCCAGTGGCAAAAAAAACGTACCATTTTGCATCCGGGAAGTATCAAAAATGTGGCAAAACGCTTCCATCTCCAAGTAAAAAAACTCCGATTTCAAAAGCGCGCAAGCTTTTTTCGTGAGGGCGCCCTTCAAAACGAAGTTTTTTTCACTTGGAGAGAAAAGCATTTTGCCACATTTTTGATGCTTCCTGGATGCAAAATGGTACTTTTTTTGCCACTGAATCAGGCCCTTCGCTGTACTTCATTTTTGGCCCAAATTTTTATAAAAACTCCCAAAAATTTTTTTTTCGACCAAAAAAAATTGTTGAGACAACAGCCCACAAACTTTTATTAAGGCATTAAAGGGCCCTAAGTCCCTTAAAAAACCCCTTATCCCCAGTAAAGACCTCATTTTATACAAAAAATCTCAAAATTTCTCTTCAACTCCCAAAATTCCAAACTTCAAAAACTCACGCTGTAGATACATGCATGTGACGTCTCGGTGACCTTGGTCGAACCGTTGGCACTTCTGCCTCCTGTTGCATGTACTCTTTCAAGATGGATGGGGCGACATAAGTGAAGCCCTCGAACGGATTAATACTCATTGGGATCGAGGCCTCACAGGGCGAGTCTACTGGTGTCATCTTGGTAAATTTGGTGTCGAATAGGGATGTGTCGTCATCGGATTTGATTTCCGGTTTGAATGGAGGATCAAGCTGAAAAAACAAGCGAATTATTTACATTTTTTTATATTACACTAGGCAAATTTTCGCCAAATTTTAAAAGGAAAGTACTTCTATGGGGTTTGGAGCCACAGGTCGAGACATACATCAAAAAATCGTAAAATTTTTCTGATTCAGAATATGTAAAAGTTAGCTGCCCAACTTTGGTTTGTAAGGGCGAAAAAATCATCAGCACTTTTCTCGCAACGTCATGCAAATGCCCCTTTTTTACGTTGGAACTACTAATTAAGGTGTAGCATTAATCAAATTTGATATTTTAAGGCTTGTCAAGATGTCAGGGTTTACTATTGCTCAAAACAAAGTTTTTTTTCTCCTTTTTACCAAGTTTTTACCAATTCAAAAGCTTTGTCTTGAGCTAAAGTAAACCCTGGCATCTTTACAAGCTTTAAAATATCAAATTTGATTAATACTACACCTTAATTAGTAGTTTCAATGTAAAAAAGGGGCATTTGCGTGATGTTGCGAGAAAAGTTCTGAGGATTTTTTTCGCCCTTACAAACCAAAATTGGGCAGCTAATTTTTATATATTCAGAGTCAAAAAAATTTTGCGATTTTTTGATACATGTCTCGACCTGTAACTCCACACCCCATAGAAGTGCTTTCCTTGTCAAATAAAGTCTTCCAAAACTGGTTTCAAGTCGGCCTACTGTATTTTCTAGACCTCAAATTCAATTTCACTCCTAATCAATCCAATTTCAAGAGGCCTTACCTCTCTTCTATAGACCATCTGCCAATCCAGATGTCTAAAGAAAGGATGTGCCTTGATCTCCTTGGCGTCGTCCGCGCTGGCTCCTAATCTCGTCTCGGCGTTCCTTCGAAGTAGCCGCTTCACCAAGTCCCTCGCTTCGGGACTCAGGTAGGGTGGGAGAGTCAGGCGAGCCTTCAGGATCTTATCTATGGTCTTCTTTCTGTTATCGGCGGTAAATGGGGGTCCGCCGGTCAGCATGTCGAAGGTCAAGGCGCCGAGGGACCACCAATCCACGGCACGGCCATGACCACATCTGATCAGGACTTCTGGAGCCATATATTCGATGGTTCCGCAGAATGTGTGGGTTTTTTGGTCGCCCTCGATGGCTTCCTTGCACAGGCCAAAATCGGTCAATTTTACATGGCCTGAAAGAAAATTTTCATATAGAGAATGTTCCACAACACATATTCTTTCATTATAAATCCGAAAAAGTTGATATCAAACCCAAAAATTCAAAAAAATTTAATTTTTCCCCAACAGACCTCCTACAATATAAAAATTCTCAAATTTTGTCAAAATTCCACCTCAATTTCTCTGTCACCCCTTGAAATCTACTTACCACTAGCATCCAACAAAATATTCTCTGGTTTCAAGTCTCTGTAGATGATTCCTTGTTGATGGAGATGCTCCAATGCTACTACAATTTCGGCCAAATAAAACGCGGCCGTGTCCTCCAAGAAGATGCCCTCCCTCTCCAGATGCATGAACAGCTCTCCTCCGCTCAGATATTCCAAGATCAGATACAATTTCCCCTTGGTTTGGAAGGCATACATCAAGTCGCAGATGAAGGGGTTTTTGACCGCCTCCAAAATATTTCTTTCAGCTTTGGTATGGGCGGTATCCTTTTGATTTCGGACTACATGGGCCTTCTTGAGGACCTTCATGGCAAAAATCTTGCCCGTGTCGTGGCCAGTCACTTTGCGGACTTGGAAAACCTAAAACAATATGGATGATAAACTGATGTTGTCAAAGCTGAATGAGCGACCTAAAAATCAAAGAAAACAAAGAATAAGGTCTCACCTTGCCGTAGCCACCTTTTCCAAGGACCTTGAGGCATTGGAAGTCTTCTGGCTGGACCTTGTAATTGGGATTAACAGCTGACGGATCGAGCTCAATTGCTTCGACCGCTGGATCGTCAATGTATGAGGAGCTTGGTGGAGGCTCGGTAATCGCACCCTAAACATAATATTCATCAAGAAACGGGCAAACATACATCCGCTACATCCAAATATTCATTGTCCTCCTCCATGTCCTCATCTTCATCGTCGTCGTGCCGATTGATGGGCACGGCATCGTTCAATTCGATCTCAAACACTGTTCCCATTGTCTCTTCTTCGTCGCTGATCTCAGAGTCCGAATAATCCGAGTCGTCGAGAACGTCCGGCTCTTCTTCGGGCTCGGCTTCCGACTGAAGGGCGGCGAAACGGTTGTTGCGCGGAAGTGGACGTGTGCGGCTCTTCAGACGTTTGCCGGGCGCGTCACGCAGTCGCAAAGGAAGGATCTGGTCTTCGTGCGGGTCCGCCGAACTCGAACTCGAGGGCTGCTGCGAATCGGCGCTGGATTCCGGGCTCTGAAAAAAAATATTCCACATGACCGCCGAAGTGACCTCGAAAAAACAGCTGGGAAAGGGCGAAAAAAACTAGAAAGGAATTCGAATTTTGAGTGCAGCAGAAGCACAACGGTCTAACCTTGATTGTCTAACCGCCTAAACGTCGAGAAATCAATAAATCAAACCGAACCCACCTCAATTTCCACGTCGCTCAATTGGAACGGATCGTAGTCTTCGAGCTTTTTGTGCTCAGACTTTTCTTCCACCTGAAGGACTCGATGGAAGCGTCGAAGTCCAGCTGGTTGTGTACTGAAACGGAGATCATAAATAACAAAAAAAACATTAAAAAACTGGAGATGGAAGTCTTATCAAAAGAAAAAAGTGGCGCTATCAGATCATGTCCAATTTTTTTAGTGAATTCGACTTTAAATTTTCGGATTTTGACTTTTAGTTGAGTGGCGTCAGATTCTATGGGATCAAGCGATCTTCAAAACAAAGATTCGGAGTGCCTAGACTACGAAAAAATCAAAGAAAAAGACAACATTGTTTTAGAGCAGTTGATCTCCACAAAAATATAAATAACATAAAATTTCAGGCGAATTTTTACTACAAAGACATTTTATTTTCAAGAGAGCTAAACGAAGTAATCTCTCAAAAGGCCCGCATGACTCGATCTAAGATCAAGGTGTAATATCAAAATTTCGTTAGACTCCCGACTTGGCGAACAAAAAGGCGAAAATCGATAAAACTCTGAATGATCTGCCTCTAGAATCCAAAAAATACGTTCAATCCGTCCCGAACCAAAGAAGCTTTCCACTCGACAATTCCTTCAAACGTCGTTAAAAAATTTTTTTTTATATTATACTAGACATTCCGCGGCTGCTCTCTCTGGGACAAAGCGTCTGGCTGGGGGGAGATAGCGTGGCGTCGTGAATCGCAGAGAGAGACAGACGTCTGACTCCGACCGGTGTGGAGTGATCGCGAAAGAGGGCGAAAAAGAAATGAAGGACGCATTCGGGGCGAGACTTGACCCCAAAGTCGGAAACGGGTCACCTGTACCGCTGACAAGAATTGTAATTGGTACAAGACTGATAAAAGTTGGGAAATGATCGAGAACGGTTAGGAGACGTATGTTTCGACCTTTTGAAATACGGACCATCAAAATCAAAGCGTTTTCGTAGAGAGCTAGAGAAATTCATGAAAAAAGGAAGAGATGACTCACCGAGTCAAGTGTTCCGATGGGTCAACAATGACTCTATGATGACTCAAATTTGAATTCAAGAAATCAAAAAGGCTATTTCGATCAATTACAAGCAATTATAATAGTCTAATCAAAATTTTGACTGAGAAAACCTTTTGAAATAAAAGATTTCAGTTGAAGGTCCAAGGATAATATAAAAAATGGTCGGATTATAAACTTTTTTCGCCGTAATCTCCTTAAAATTGAAAAGCCGGACTCAATAAGCTGTAATCTCGCTAATTAGATTAACTAAACGGATAATAAACAGCGAAGTCAAAAGCTTTTGACAAAAATTTGGCCAAGACACCAAGTAAAATATCACCTGAACAGACCCCGTGGTTCGACGTCTGGAGCGCAAAAAAACCGGACCGAAGAGACGAAAAAAGCCGTAGCTTCTCCATTTCGCCAATTCTTCTTGTCTTCACGGACTTTTTGGCAGTATTACAACAAGATCTCTTCTAGTTACTCTCTCAAAATTGATGACTTATAAAAACCTTAATTTTTTGAGGGTTTTTCTCATTAAAAAAGCAAATAAATTTGAAATTTGATGAGTACATAAATTTGCAATGCATCATCAAACGTTTTGCAAACAGAAAATTGCAAAAAATGATATTATTCATGATGTTTGAAATTTAATCGCGAATTTTTGAATTGATGACGTGGGGAAATTGGGATAATTTTTGTATCCTTAGACAGCACATGGACTACAGTCAAAATGGAAGAGAAAAAACGAGTCAAATCCAAAGAGAAAAGTTTGGTTTTTGGCTCGTTTTCGAAAGTTTCCGACAAAAGGAAATGCGCGAAGTTTTGGCGCCAAAAGCGGGCCATTTCGGAGTTCAAAAAGGGGCATAAAAAAGGGCAAAAGTGCAAACAAGACTTGGCTAATTTATTCCCCTTCTCTCTGCTTATGGTTTTTCGATGTCGGCCAAAAGTTTTTTTGGTGTGTCTACTACAATATCAGGCCAAAAAAAGGATTAAAAAGTCAAAAAGTTGACAAAATTTTTTCTGTAAAATACGAAGAAGTTCATAAAGGTTATTTTGTAAATGAAAATTGCACGTAGAATAGAGAATTAATTAGCTTTTTGCAAAAAGAAACCATAAAACATGGTCTGTCAATGATAATTTACAATTTTGATGGTACTTTGATGTTTGAAAATACAACAAAATTGAGAAAAAATTTGACAAACAAACCATAAAAAGTTTAGCTCACGCTTTGAAAGCACAGCCGAGATATTCAACGAACTTTGCCGGCGAGAGAGTACGCAAAATGTGGAGAGCGGTCAGAGAGAAAAACACTTTTGCCTGTCTCGCTCAGATTTTGATGAAACTTGGTGACAAATTAAGAATAACTTTTTCGAAGATATACGGGAGATATCTACAGTTCGCGCTCTGCAGAAACAACCGAGATTTTTAGGCCGAAATTTGAAAAAAACGGGAGAATTTTTTTTGCGAATTTTGTCATGAAAAGTTGGATGGTTATTTCTACTGTAGAGGGTAATATTTCCACAAAAAATTAATTTTTTCCCCGTGAAACTGGCAAAGATACGGCCAAAAAAATGTCTTTTCTCTGACCGGTCTCCGGACTTCGCGTACTCTCTCGGCAGCAAAGATTGTTGAATATCTCAGCTGCCCTTGCAAAGCGGGAGCTAAATCTTTCAGGAATTGATGCTTAGCTTATGCAAAAAGTGTATGCAAAATTTGAAAAAAATCTGAGCGTCGCACGTGGGGAGAATCCTCTTGTAAAAACCATAAAAAAAGTGTGAAAAGTACGACGAAAAACAAAAAAATGTAAAGTAAGTAAAGTCACCGCTGTTAGACCGCTTATTTTCGGGGTTTTCAGCCGTCCGCACTTTTATGGATTGGCTCCAAAACTTTATTTTGGCGTCAAAGATGAAAAAGGTTCGTACGAATAAACAAAAACATGGGTTATGAAACCGGAAAAAATATGAAAAATTTTGAAATCTCCGAGCGTTTTCAACACCAAAATAAAATTCCGTTTTCTCAAGATTTTATTTTTGCTGTCGAGAGAGAGAGAGAGAGTGCTCGAAATGCGGAGAGCGGTCAGAGAGAAAAACACTTTTTGGTCGTATCTTTGCCAGTTTCGTGTGGAAAAAATTGATTTTTTGTGGAAACATCACTCTCTACGGTAGGAATAATCATCAAACTTTTCATGGCAAAATTCGCAAAAAAATTTTTCACATTTTTGCCAAATTTTTGCCAAGTTCCCTCAAAATCTGAGCGTCGCACATGAGACGTTTCACATGTGGTCTGTCTCCGTTTTCTTTCAAATATGACGACGGAAAAGGTAGAGGGTTCAAAATACAATGAATTAGCGAAAAAAACCACCGAAAAGAAGGGAGGGTGAATAAGAAATTGACAGAACTCTCTAAACCTTGTTTGTAAACAGCGGATGGCCTTGGAATTTGGTGATAAAGTGTTTGGCGACTGATAGGGAATGGAACAATGGACAGTCAAAACTTAGAGTATACGAAAAGGATGGCGATCTTTGCCGCCGAGAGAGTGCGGGAAATGCGGAGAGCGGTCAGAGAGAAAAAAGTTTTTTGGCCGTATCTTTGCCAGTTTCGCGCGGAAAAAAATAATTTTTTGTGGAAACATCACTCTCTACAGTAGAAATAACCATAAAACTTTTCATACCAAAATTCGCAAAAAAGTGTCAAATTTTCGACGATTTTCGACCAAAAAATCTCGGTCGTTTCTGCAAAGTGCGAGCTAAAAATCTGGCATATGTATTAGCGAAAATTATTCTAAATTTGCCCCAAGTTTGATCAAAATCTGAGTGTCGCACTTGGAGCTGTTCCCACTTTTTTGAAGCACACAGACTGGTTACTAAACCATTCATCAAGTTGGGATCACATGCTGAACTGAACAGTCGACTTTGGACAAAATCGTGATAAAAAAGTCTGATTAAAGTCCCCGTTTCATTAGTTCCACATATCAGCTGTTTTGTGAGTCAAAAATTTCCCAATAGACAGAAAAGTTTTGAAAGAAATTTCGAGGAATTTCAACGCACACTCCTCGAAGTGCGACGCTTGGATTTTCTTTAAATTTCTCCTACAACTCGGTCATAGGCCACATATCAATCTCTAAAAATCTTAGCTTGTGCCTTGCAAAATAAGTCGAGATATTCAACGATCTTTGCGGCCGAGAGAGTACGCGAAATGCGGAGACTGAGAAAACACTTTTTGGCTGTAGCTCTGCTGATTTGGTGCGGAAAAAACTGATTTTTTGTGGAAATATTACTCTCTACGGTAGAAATAGGCATGATATTTTTTATGCTAAAATTCGCAAAAAAATTGTCACATTTTGGCCAACTTTTGGACTAAAAACCTTGGTTGTTTCTGTAAATCGCAGGCTAGAAATCTCGCATACGTTTTAGAAAAAATTTGTCCCCAAGTTTCATTGAAATTTGAGTGTCGAATTTTCACTAAATTTTTGATGTTTCTGCAAAGCGCGAGTTAAAAACTCAAAATTCAAAAAAGTAATTCTTATTTTTAGAAAATACGGATTTCAATTTTTAGCAAGCAGCTTCAAAATCTCATTGCCAACACGTGCCGCAGCTTCTTCATACAAGAAAAAGTAAAATGTATACTCGTCCCTTCGGCTTGACAATGCAACAACAAATTTACATTAGGGATTACACTACAATCTTCAAAAGAAAAGCGACAAAAATTGAACTCTTTAAGCGCCAAATTGAAGTTATTTTTGGCCTGTACTCACCTTTTCTTCGGTTTCAAAAATTTGAGCAGAGAAAACACCATGTTTTAGGAGGGAAATACAGTAAATTATATAGCCGTAGGCAATAAATATGATCGGTTTTCGGGTACAGTCCGAATTTTCAGTTCAAAAGTCCCACAATTTTTGGGACGTTTTGTCCACGAAAGCTGTTTAAAAATGACTTTTTGGCCGGGTTTTTGTGATTTTACCAAATATTGTGTTCGATTTCCGCAATTTTTTTGGCCTTTTATAAGTTTTAACGGCCTGGGAATCCAAACAAATGATGTTTGCACAAGGATATGGGCATAGAAGGGCGGGGGGATCCGTCTATGGCCTTTTATCTTTCGGATGGAGAATACAAAAAAAGTGATGAGATTCCGGGAGATATCGAATATTCAAGTAGTCGGAATCGAATTGAAATTAGTGGAAGTCCTTTGGACTATTGGGAAAGACTGAAATCAGTAGTGCAATCGGAGGCTATAAACGAAATAATCGAGGAAGGGAGATTTTTTGCCCTCAAAGTTCATTGCGGCGGAAGAGACCACCTCGATTTGAAAGACATATGAGATAAGGGTTACGTAACGCATACTTCATACCTTGTGACGGAAAGTAATGTCAATTGAGAGACTATGAGCTTATTATGTTATGACTTTTTGAATAAAAATGAGATTATGATGACTTAAATTAAAAACGGTATTGCCTGAGGCATTGTGTTCAGATTTACTTGAAATTTGGCACAATCAATCAGTCTAGAGAGTGAATGATTTGCTGAGAATTTCAGCTGAATCCTTACAGTAAAAGCCGAGATATACAACCATCTTTGCCGACGAGAAACTACGGATAATGAAGAGAGCGGTCAGACAAAAAATGAGAATTTTGCTCGGGAAAATAATGAGCTATGTCGCGTCAAAAATCGAGATTACCGCCGAGAAAATGAATTGTGTCGCGGAAAAATCAAATTGCTTTTCACTTCGGTAACGCGACCGGAATTCAAAGGCCAAAAGTATCAATTTTATAGTATAAATTTTACCCAAAATGTACTTCAGTTTGTCGGGAAAATAATGAGCAAAATTTAGCAATCGCTTCGCTGAAATGAAAACCAATTTGACTTTTTCGCGACACTTCATTTTCTCGTCGGCGATCTCGATTTTCGATGCGACAGAGTGCTCATTACTTTCCCGACAGACTGATATGAATAAATCTCGGCTCTTCCGTGAAAGCGCGAGCTAACATTTTCGCGAATAAAAATTTTATGTATGCAGATGAAATATCTGAAATTTCAAGCAAATCCAAGGGCTGCGATTCGAGAAATCGCCTTATAAAATAAGAGCAGTCTATCTATAAGACTGACCTTTTGATAACCAACAAATTTTTTTTCTTCCTTGCGATTTGAATTGCAAAGGTCCCACTATTCTTTTACCTACCCTTTATTCTTCCTCCGAGTCATGGAGATCTGGCTCGAATCGAACACTAGGCCAAACAATATGTCAGTTGCAAAAAGTTCTTGAGCCGAATCAAGCATTCACTCATTTATCGTTCTTACGAACCCTTGGCAGGTGTCCCGAAATAGGTTCATCCCCCGGACAGAACCGTTCCCACCTGCTCCGAACTTTGGCGGTTGTTGTGTCTTGACTTGCACGCCGAGAATGTCAAGCATGAAAAACAAAAGCAGCGTCTGGAGGAGAGGGGGATCAAAGTTCCCGGAAAACGGGGCCACCCACTTTACTATTCGTATTTTCAGACGGTGCAGAGAGATCATGTCGCGAGGCGCACTGTGCACAAAAACCCCACATTTTGCACAGTGCAAAAAAAAAACGATCCGCACCGTGCATAAAAAAACTACCCGCACAGTGCACAAAAACATTTAGCCAGAAAAAAGAGCAAAACAATGCGCACCGTGCACCAAAAAAACAATCCGCACTGTGCACAAAGGCCCTATTTTGCACCGTGCACAAAAAGCCCCGTTTTGCACTGTGCACAAAACCCTTATTTTGCACCGTGCATTTCACTTTTTTTTTTGGTTTACGCACTGTGCGGCGAAATATCGCTGCGACGAAGGCAAGCTTCAACTACGTCGCTGCGAGGAATTTGCACAGTGCAAACGGCCTTTTTGAGATTTGCACTGTGCGAAAAAAGGAAAATGCACTGTGCGTTGGCGACAAGCGTGGGAAAAAGTTCAAAATGCACTGTGCTTTGGCGACAAGCATGGGAAAAAGTTCAAAATGCACTGTGCGAAGGGGAAAAATGTCCATGCACTTTTTTTTGAATTTTGTTGATGTAAGAAAAGCCAATTTTTTGGAGAGGTGTCTAGAGACTATGGAAAATGAGGAGAGTAGAAAATATTTTTTGCTTTATGACTAAATATTTAGCTGATTTCGCTTGGCAAAACATAGCTTTTTTGTAACAGAAATGCTGGACAGACCATTACTAAAGAAATCTCAAATTTTTACGGTAATATTTTGTATAGTAATCCTCAATAAACTCACATATCATAGTCATCAGAAAAGCCTCTACTAGACGATGACGCAATTTGAGAAATTTCTTTCGGAGCCGAAGCCGGCGGCTTCGGAATTACTACTTTCATCGACTTACTTCACAGACAAGATTCTCACGCTAAAATTTCAAAATGAAATTTCAAAAAAAAAATTTTTTTTTCGCGCCTCGAAACGGAAGTAATATCACAATAGAGGAGATCAAAAAACCCCCCAAAAAATTGCGCGGCCAACAGTTTTTTCGCCGACACGGACTAGCACAAGCCGCGAAACGAGCCCAACGCGCTCGCAATCCACGAAAAAGAGGGAGTCCGCGAGCTTCGGCGACGCAAAAGAACGCCCCCGAACGCAGTCGGCGCTCGCGAATTCTCTCCTCTTTCCGCGGTAATTTCCGAAACGCGCCCAAATGTTTATTTTATTGTCCAGCAGACAAGAAAAAAACCGTAGCGCAGAGGGCTAAGTGCATTGTAGACGGAATTACGAGAAAGTGGCTGCGTTTCGGGGTTGATGAGCATACAGAAAATTCTGGGCAGAGAATTTTGAAATGGCAGAAAATTGGAGATACCATCATCATGTATTAGCAAACGGACTATTATCAGTTTGTCGGGAAAATAATGAGCAGAGTGTCGCATCGAAAATCGCTGCGCCAATCGAGTCGCTGGAGATATTTTTATTAAAAAAAACGAACGAACTTTCTGGACGAAAATATTTTCGTCCAAAATATCAGTCTGTCGGGAAAATAATGTCGCTGCGTCGATCGTATCGCTGAATTGAAATTTTTTTATTTTACACCATCCTTTTTCACTGAGGCGATCCGATTTTCGATGCCACAGAGTGCTCATTTTTTTCCCGACAGACTGATATTCAACAACCTTTTGCAGACAAGAGACTATGGAAAATGAGGAGAGACAGTCAGCAAAAGCTAAAACTTTCTGGGATTCCAAAAGATTCCGAATATTTATGACCTGCTCAGACTAATGGAAATCCGTAAATAGTCCGACTTCTAATCCCATCCGGCTGAAAGGCGCCCCGAAACATCTGTCAAAATAATGGAGGGCGTTTGGGTTCTCATGAACGTCTAATAAATAAAAACCAGGCCCACAATTCTTTTCTCAATTTAATCCCATCGGAATGTTCAATTGTAACATGCATAAAAATGTGATAAAATCGCAGGGAAAGGTGTAAAAAGAGGGAAATTTGCAAAATCGAATTGATCTTGTTGTTAAAAAAAATAATTTTTTAGCTCATTCCGGGTTTATGTCATTCAAAATACAAGCTAAATTTTGCGAAATTACAGTCTAGGCGATCCAAAAATTCAAAACAAGACATAAAATAAAATTTTTCTCTGATCGTCTCTCCTCATTTTCCATACTCTCTCGTCAGCAAAGATCGTTAAATATCTCGACTCTCCTTGCAAAGAGCAACCTAATATTTTCAGAAATTAATATGCAGCCCCTATAGATTATACAGTCCTAATTTGAAACAAAAAATTTAGGCCTGCCCAAAAAAATTTTGAAAAAGTCACCCCTTACCACACCCTCCAAAAAATCGTCTATATGCAAATTAGAGCTGAAATTGATGATATCAAATCTTTTCTAGCCCGTTCGTAAAGTCGCTGGAGTGATTTTTGGCGCCTGCACTATGCAGAAAAAATCAGGGTGCGAGGAACAGCCCAAAAAAGCTTATTGTACGGTGCAAAAAGCAATAAATTACACTGTGAAAAGTGAATTTTTGTTTTCTCACAGTGTATGTTGCCAAAATCACTCCACTTTCCTGACAGACAATCATTCTGTCGGGAAAATAATGTGGATTTGTCATAGAAAAAGTATCTTGTCTCGTCACACACCAAATCTCCAGCCGGGGGTTGCCGTCGCAAAGCGATGATGGGTGATTCCAAGGCACCACGATGCCGCATTATTTTTCCGACAAACTACAAAAGATTTGTCGCAAGTTTCAATAAAATTTGAGTGTCAAAATTTCCTCTTTGAGGCAAGGGTTTTATCAGTCTGTCGGGAAAATAATGAGCCTTCTGTCATAGGGAAAATCGAGATCGCCGCCGAGAAAATGAATTTTGTCGCGACATAATCAACTTCAGAGGTCCAGAAATATCATTTTTCCCAAATTGAACCTCCATACAACAAACCCTTTCGATAACGAGCAAACTTTTTTGACCCCTTGCGATTTGTTCTACAGATCTTTGCGATTGTCTCAGCGACAGAGTGCTCATTATTTTCCCGACAAACTGATAACATAGAGTCCAATTTCCGCTTATTATTACATAAGCGTCAATGATCAGAGAAAAAAATCACCACACAGCATCGCAAACCCCTCGCTTTGAACATATGATTCCCTTCCGCCCGCTTCCGCTCCTCTCCATTTTCAAGATCAGACGAAAATTTGTCTGCGAAAGGAATGAGGAATTCCTCGTTGGCGATCAAGTCGTTTTTTTCGGTTGCTTCAGATCCTCCCGCAGCTCCCGTCGACGGAGGCGAGAGATAAAGGGCGTAAGGATGAGAAAAAAAAGAGAAGACAATGATGAGAAAAAAAGGTTG